CTTTCTAGAGTAGGTGTGTCTCGCTCGGCCGAATTTGTGGGCAGCGAAGAAGGAAGGATAGTGGGTAGTTAGGAGAGAGGAGGGGGCTCACGATGGTGCGGACGGATCTTATTTCTTTTTCGATGGTGTATGTATGTGCCTGGAAAAGATAGTTTACTCGCACGGTGGTTGGTAGTTAAGGTAGTAAATGATGATACCGTTGGTTGACGTTTTATCGTCGATGCAATTTATTATGATAGTGGTTTTTTATGTATGGGTGCGGTGACAGGTGGTGTAGTAAGTGATGCTGTATATTAATGAACTATTCGTGAACTCGGTTTATTAGGCGGGTTTTTATTTGCTTGGGTAATTACCGTCATGGGGATAAATAAGAGTGTTAGTTGGTGGTGTATTTACTCGTCAGCTCAAATTTATGTGCTGGATTTATATTCATTTTTATTTTCAGTTCCACTTCACCACGGAAATTACCACGGAAAATAATCACTTTGTCCAGTGGAAGAGAAACCTACCAATCTACGTAATCCAAGAGTCATAATCCGTGCAATTATAAATATAGCTAGATCTTATACTTTATACGTCAACCTGAGGGGTTGGATCATGGGTTCCACAGACTATTGTATGGGGGAGGGATTTTAGTGGGCGGAGGGCGGTATCTTCGCCACGGGTATATCTAGCGACATAACCCATTCCTTTCATCAAAAACGGATCCGAACTGGTGTATCGGTAACATATCCGCCTCTCATGATCATTGATCAGAACCCGCGGTTGCGCGGGGTTCGACTCCCCGGTTCGGAAATCTTCAGAACCATCTACTCTCAAGTAGATAAGCGTCATATTTTTTTGCCTTTTTTTTAAAATATTTTTCTATAATACTTCTTTCTAAATTAACATTTTTCTTTTAAGACTGACTCTTCATTTGAATTCACTATGCACTTAGAGCACGAGGGACACAAGAGCTCTTTTTTTGGGTGGGGGGCGGGTTGTGTGACCCCGCCAATGCTGGTGGTCCCCGAGAAAAAAAATATAAATTCCGATGCCGAGCAAGGCTGATATCACGTGCACAAGGCGCTTACTCAAACAGCCTTCAGCCTTCATGTGTTGTTGACGGGAGCGGGAGGTACAGGTACTCAGCCTGCCACCCAGCGACCAGTATTATCATCAGCCTTCCCAGCCTTCCTAGCCTTCCCCCAAATATCCTAAATATAGTACTACAGTCCTGCACCAAGGACAGAAGATTACTCTCCAACTCTCTCCAACTGCATGGTAATCACTATAATCGTGGTAATCATTACCAATCCCGCTCACTCTCACTGGCGCGTCTACTGCTCCTGCAGTTATTTAGGTGAAATAGTCAAATAAAGTAAGAAATAGTAAGAAATAGTAAGATTATTGCCAGCGAATCCTTGATCCTTCCATTCCTTCCGTCGAAGCTATTTTACCAGACAGAGTATAGGTATAGTAGTATAACAGAGTGTTACCACTACTACGTAGTCCACTGCGGCTAGCCTCACATCAGCTTACGACTGCTTTCGGCGCAGACCTCAATTGTTCCGGTGGCTCCGCTCACGTTGCATCAACAGTGGCTTGGCTTTATTTGTGTGTGTGCCGCCGTCCTCCGTACTCCATTTATGCGATAAAATACTGCATAGACTTGTTTACTACAACACCAACACCAATATACATACAATTTTACTAAATTCCTCCTCTAAAAATCATTTTATCGTGCAAACTCTACCCAACTTCACCGTTTATTCCTTAACAACCTCCCCCCACTAACTGCCGCAAATACTACTCTACTAACATCCACTGTAACGGCGGGCCAAGACGCCGTTGTGGATGTTGTGGGTGTGTCTGCTGGGCGTCTGGTGGGTATCATAGTAGCATGTACTCCCTGTACTCCCCAGGGAAGGCTGTGTCGGCTGGGCGGCTTGTTGATAACCAACCAAACCTCAAACCTGAGACTTGGGTCTCCCCAAAACCAAAGTCAACCCTCTTACCACTCACTATTATGCTGTGCTGTTCCCTCGTTCCTCTCTCTAGCACATCCTTACTCTGTTAATATATTCTCCCATCGTTTTTATACAGCATTTATTATTCCTTTGTCGCTCGTTAAATCAAAGGCCTTCGAAAGCCTGAAACATAACAAGACCCCTAGAGCGCCAGACCAACCACACCTTGCTGGAGATAAAAAACGATACAACAAACGCTCGCTGCATGACCGGTATATAAGTGCTATTTAATCGCCCTGGGGTTGGGCTATTCGTCCGTTGCTCGCCGAAGTAGGACGTGAGGTCTCAGGTGTATATAGCGTCATATTCTTTGCGTTATGAGGTTCTTAAGATGCGTTGCGGCGGCCCTCATCAGCGCCAGCTTCTCCCATATCGCCCAAGGTATGTTTCCCCAGCCGTCATATTCGCCGGGCAGCTCCTGACAGAAATGATCCAGCACATTCGGTCAAACGAGCTCCTCTCTCATATCTTTCGATTGTCGATGAACCGGTAATACACACGCCGTCGCATCGTGTACATGCGCAATCATCTTTCGATCTTACATTCCATCTGCATGACCGGCAGCAGTATATCAAGCTGACGCTGGACCCCAACGACGATGTCATAGCCGAGGGGGCAACGGTGAACTATATCGGGGCTGATGGGCAGGTGCGAGAGGTGGAACTGATAGAGCGGTCGGATCATAGGGTTTTCAAGGGCCATGCGTGGGTTCGCACTCATGAGGATACACAATGGACACATGCGGGTTGGGCGAGAGTGGTGATACATCGGGACGGTGCGGATCCGCTTTTCGAGGGAGCATTCAGGGTTGATGGGAACCATCATCATATTCACCCGAGGAACTCATACGTCGCGACGAAGCATGAGTTGGACCCGTATGTGGAGGATGATAGGGAGGATATTATGATTGTCTGGAGGGATTCCGATATCACGCCTGATGAACCTAACAGGGAAGAGCTCAAGAGGGATGTGAACACAGGGTCGTGCTTGTCGGATGATCTGACATTCAACTTGATGCCCGAGCATCCAGTGTATTCTCAAGGATATTCCCAGTCTCCTGTCATGAGGAGGGGCGAATCCTACTGGGGATCCATCTCGTCAGGATCGATATTCGGCAGAGACATCGACCCCACCGGAAACCTACCCGGAAACGGAGCGGCTGTCAACCTCCTGAACAGCATTGGAAACCCGGCCGGCTGTCCCACCTCCCGCAAGGTCGCCCTGGTTGGAATCGCAACGGATTGTACATATACCAAATTCTTCAACTCGTCGTCATCAGTACGGGCCAACATCATCACGCAGATGAACTCGGCATCAGTGCTGTACGAGGAGAGCTTTAACATCTCTCTCGGGATCCAGAACCTCACCATCACCGACGGTACATGCCCAGGAGTCTCACAGGTCAACACACCCTGGAACCGGGACTGCAACTCTGGTCTCCAAATCCAAGACCGCCTCAACCTCTTCTCAGCCTGGCGAGGCGCAAGCCCAGACACCAATGCCTACTGGAGTAAGTCCACCCCTCTTACTTGATAATTCCCTCCTAACCTCCCTAGCCCTCCTCACAACCTGCGGCACCGGCTCCGCCGTCGGCCTCTCCTGGCTCGGCCAAGCCTGCGTCAACACCGCTCAACCCTCCACCCAAGGCGGCTCCAACGACACCGTGTCCGGCGCCAACGTCGTCGTCAAGACCGACACCGAATGGCTCGTCATCGCCCACGAAGTCGGCCACACCTTCGGCGCCGTCCACGACTGCGACTCCACCACCTGCGCCGACGGCAAAACCGTCGCAGCGCAGCAATGCTGTCCCCTCTCCAAAGACACCTGCCCAGCCGGCGGGAAATACGTCATGAACCCCTCCACTGGCGTGGGCATCACCAACTTCTCCCCCTGCAGCATCGGAAACATCTGCAGCGCCATCGGCGGACAGTCCGTCAAGACGAACTGTCTGACAAGCAACCGCAATGTCCCTACCATTACTGGTTCGCAGTGCGGCAACGGCATCGTCGAGATGGGCGAGGACTGCGATTGTGGCGGCGCGACAGGGTGCGGCGATAACCCCTGCTGCAACCCCACGACCTGCAAATTCAAGACCGAGAACAACGCCGTCTGCGACCCCTCGAACGAGGACTGCTGTCTCTCCACCTGCCAATTCGCCACCAACGGCACGGTATGTCGCGCCTCGACTGGGGACTGTGATCCCCAAGAAACCTGTTCCGGCACCGCAGCCACGTGTCCAGCAGATGCACACGCGGATGAAGGCTCCAGCTGCGGTGCTAGCGGCGACGGATTGACCTGCGCGAGTGGACAGTGCACGTCGAGGGATAAGCAGTGTAAGACCCTCATGGGACCGCAGTACTACAAGTGCAGCGACGATGGGTGCCAGCTCTTCTGCGCCACCGACGCCTCGCAGTACTACTGCGAGGGGCTGACCCAGAATTTCCTCGACGGGACGAAGTGCGGTGGAGGGGGGAAATGCAGTAACGGCGTGTGCAAAGGCTCCACAGTCGGCGGGCGGATTAAGGAGTGGGTGGACCAGCATAAACCCCTCGTTATCGGCATCAGCGCCGGCGTCGGCGGGTTGCTACTGCTGGCGATTCTTAGCTGTATAGTCAGCTCCTGTAAGCGCAGGAGTAGACAGCGGAAGTACGTCGCTAATACTGTCCCGCCGAGAGGCCAAGGGTGGGTGCCTCAGGGGCAGGGGAGGGGGTATGCAGCTGTTCCGCCGCCGCCGATGCAGCAGAGGGGCATGGGGGGGATGGGGATGCCGATGGGACAGATGGGGCAGCCGCCGCAGTATGAGTATGGCGCGGGCGGACAGCAGTATGATGGGCAGTGGAATGTGCCGCAGCGGGCGTATGGAGGCCCGCCGGTTAGGTATGCGTAATATCTGGCGAGTTTGTTTGGGTGCCTTGGTCTTGTTTTAGGGGTCTTGTCGTCTTATTGTTTTGGCGAAAATAGCATTAGGGGGGATGGAAGGTTGGGATTGGGGTTGGGATATATATTTTTAAGGGCTTGCATGGGGTGTGGGTGTTGTGATACATATTGGAGGGGAGATAGAGAGATGTCCACGGCCTTTTGTATAGGATGGATGAGCTGTGATGAATACCCACGAAACGAATTACCCAATTTTGTCATTATCGTCATGCCGTGATTGTCGTGTAGAGCCCCTGAACTCCGTGTCTGTCCTTTTACCGCTGCCCCAAACCAAGATCCCCAACTCCAAGCTCCCACCTGAAAACCCATACCTAAACTCCCAACCCCAACCCGAACTCAAATCCATGCCCAAGCACGAAAGCCACTCACTCCTTAACCCCCCTCCCCGACCGCTTCGCCTTCGCCTTCTTCGTCTTCCGGGGTGTATCCTCGTATCCACAGAGGAGTTTCGTGAAATGCAACCTCGTCGACGGGATCGTCTATCACTTTATCAGTTCATGTCCATCTCTCTTTCCCTTTTTACCCTTCCCCGAGAGTCAGGCCGGGGAGAAGGGGGAGGGGAATGAGAAAAAGGTGCGGGAAGGTAAAGTCAGGGGTAGAAAAAAAGGGGGGAACGAACATCCTGCCTAGCCTGCGCATGCATCATCAACAGCTCCGGACAATCCAGTATCGTAGCCGCCCACCTCCTCCTCTCAACCGCCTCATAACTGTCGTCTGTATAACTCACTTTCCTGTTTTCAGTCAGCTTTTTACCCATCCTCCCTTTACCCCACTCCCCTCCTCCTCTACCTCCCCACCCTCACCCTCCCCCACGCACCCCGCCGCCAATGCAAAAAACACAAGGGGAAAAACATACTCCTCCCTAACCCCATCCCCCTCCCCCTCCCCCCCCGTCCCCCCCTCCTCCCCACACCACACAGCTTCCCCAGTCTTGGGACTTTTATTCCTCGCCTGCCTATCCCTCTGTACAGCTTTCAAACTCGACGTAGCCCCCGACGTCGCAGCTGGTGTCGCGACAGCAGGTGTCTGTGTGGAAGCCGAACTCGTAGTAGTCGTATTGTTGGTGGTGGGAGTAGAATGCGGTTCCGTAGCCCCGAACGCGAGATGGGGTGTTGGGATGCTTGTTGGTGTTTGGGTGGGGGGGCTTGAGGGGGGAGGGGGGGAGGAGGACATCGTTCCTGGGAGGGGGGTGTTAGCTGGGGTTGTATGGAAGAAGGGGGAGGGGGAGGGGGAGGGGGGTGAGAGGGGTACCTTGGGTGAGTTATCGTCGTCGTGAAGGGTTTGACAGAGCGAATAGCTGTAGTTGTGGTGACATATATATCGATGTTGCTGCTCACCAGCTCCAGCTCCAGCATGAGCTGTAGCTATGGTCGTCGTCGGTACCCCACAAACCCGCCTGGTGGTGCGATAAGCGACGATCTGCGGGCGGATAAGATTTAGATAAGATTAGCGAGGGAGGGTAGGGTGGTGAAGCTTAAAGTTGTCCGTCCGTGTAGTGCATGGAGTCTTGATGGATGGAAAACAGACATATGTTTTTATTCAAAGAGTTTAAAGCCCCGAAAGGTTTTACTAGAAATATATACGATGTCTCTTCTAGGCATACTTATAAAGGGCTCATAAAAATTTCTTTCTCCTATGAATATATGTCCAGCAAAGAATCACAATTAAAAAACCCCCAACTCTTGACAAAATTATTATGTATGTAACTTCTATTCTCATAGAAAATCCCTATATGTATATCGCAACTCAAACACGCCTTCCCCGCCCAAAACAAACACAAGACTACACCCCAGAATCCCAAAACTCATTCCAATTCTACCCATACATGTGTGCGTACAACCCTTGCCCCATCCGCCATCCCCGAACGATTCATCGTACAAAAAGGGTATTTCGAATAATCGCTCACCGCCACCCAACCCCCACCGCCGCCGTCCCCAGCGCCTATTCAATAGAAATACATTGGCCGCGGCAAAATCCCCCAACCCCCTTTTTTCGAATCTGTTGTGTATTCATTCCCTCTGTACTCCGTTATGTATTGCATCTGATAATGACCCAATCCCGATGCCCCTCGCCCTCCCCCTCGAACCCATGGTGATGCGTACTGAACAGTAAGGATAAAATTGCCGACAGGCGTACAGGGATAGATATGACCATCCCCCAATGGAACCAATATGCTGAGCCGTAAAGAGGTCTAACTCCAAGAAAACTAGGCGTTACCGGATATATTAAGTGACTGTAACCTCCCTCAAAGGTCAATTAACAGCCACATCCGTAACTACAGGTATAAATTTGATCACAGCAAGCTATTCGAGCATGTTAGTTCTGAACCATAGAACCGAAGGCCCAATCGCGACGCCAGGATAACTTACCATGCTATTAACCCCATACGCCAATCTCTTCCCATCCGCGTCCCAGCACAAGCAATGATGGTACTCCTCCAACGCCGCCCCATTCATCTTCGGGCTCTGCCAACCCGGCTCCTGGCCTCTAACCCAGCGCGCCCTCGGGAAACTAGGATCCGCCATATTCCAGATCAGAATATGAGAGTTCGTCGTCGCCGCCAGGAAAGCGCCGTCAGGTGTGAATGCCAGCGCGAGGACTGCAGCGTCCATAGTCATCGTCTCGACTGGCTTATTGAAGTCTGAGCGGGAGTTCCAGATGTTGATGGAGCCGTCTTCGCTGGAGCTGGCGAGGAGACGCTCGGATTGGTCGTCCGACGAGCTGGGAATTGGCTGCCACTTCATGGATGTTATGGCGCCATTGTGAGTTGCCATGCCTACGCGAGTAGCCGTGGAATCAAATATCTAGCAGCGATTAGCTGGGAAGCTTATTATCAGATAGTAACACTTACATCAATAATACCATCGTCATTGGCAGCAGCGAGAAGATTGCAGTGTGGGTCATATGCGAGACTTGTCGGCCCTCCTTCCTTCCGAATGTCGTAGGTTTTGGTGCGGGTTATTTTGCCCTCCTCAGAAAGATTGAAGCTCGCAAGAGACTCCCCATTGCACACAACGAAATCAGACGGGCCAGTCCACACGGCATCCAACGGCTGGAAGTTAGGCCCCAAATCAAAAGTCGCTGATTCATGCTTCGGTATAGTAAAGACAGTAGCCCAGCTGCTCGCGCCCTTGCCATCGGTGGAAGTCAATGCCAGCACGGTCCGGTCTGATGCGCCCCATCGGAGACAGATGACCGGAGGGTAGCCGAGTGAATTGAACTGGTCAATCCGCGAACCACCTTTACTCCAGATGCTGATCTTGCCAGTCCCATCACAATCGCTAGCAACCGCCAGTGTCTCGCCATCCGATGCCCATGAAATCGAGCTGATCGCTGCCCCATGCTCATTCTCGTCGACAAGGTCCTCAAAAGCGGGAGGCGGCACGTGACCGTCAATTTGTGGGGAAGGCGTACGCGAGGGGACCGTCCATAAGCGGGCTAGCGTATCCATACCCGCTGTGGCCAGACGTTTGGGATCTCGTGGGTTCCACTCGCAGTGCAGGAGAATCGGGTGGTTTGTCGTCGACGTCTGCGCCAGCGTGAGATACGTCGTTTCGGCGCTGAGTTCGGCGACCTTTTCTATCTGCGTGCCCTTCTCGGGCCCGCTGGTGACTGGCGCCGGCGTCGGTACCCGCTCCACCTCGACTTCTCGGGGTGAGGGATACGCGTGACCATTGCTGATCGCGGCTGGAGGAGCCGCCGACTCGTCGAGATCCATAGGCGTAGTAGTAGAGTCAATGCCATTTTCGTAGCCATTGCTGAGTTTAGTACGCTTTGCCGGTGATTCTTGCCTTGCCTGTTGAGACCTCTCCTCCGTAGAGCGCTTGCGCGCGTTTGCGATCTCGTCACTGGACGCCAGTGGCGGTGACAACGGGGCGACAGGGCCGAAGAATCCTGTCGCAGGCGGAGCAGCGACGGCGCCACGACGCGACTATCAAGAGTCAAAATGCTGCCCGACTTGCCACTCCATCATAAGCATTAATTGGGGACTGCGACATACCTGGGCGGATAGGCGCTCTGCTTCGTGATACAGAAGGCCGCGCTGCAAAACAGCCACTAGCGCATGGTTGTTGACATGGGGCGCAAAGTCAAGAGACTGCGGATCGCTCACGTCCCACTCCGACTGTAACTTGACAGCAGTCTCGCGATAGTCTACAACAGATTGTTAATACAGAAAACGTGATGCAGACACCGGACCTGGAGATCACGGGGGTAGAGGGGGATCTGGTTAGGTGGACATACTTGACTCTTGCAGATACCTTTTCGGACAGTGTTAGCGACTGACTTGGCTGTGTGTGTATGTGTGTACCTGCAAAAAACCAGGGCGGCTGGAAGGATGATGGGGGGTGGATGGGGGTTGAGAGGGGTTAAGCATGTACATACCTCCAGACGAGATAGTTGATCCTGTCAGAGTTGAGCTCCTCTTTGGTCATGGCTTTAGGGGAAGCTGCCCTTGCATGGGAAGCAAAAGCGCGACGGTTTGGGGGTGATGGGTGATGAGGTTGTTGAAGAGTGGGTTGAGGAGGAGGAGGAGGAGTGAGTGATGGACGTAGCGTAGACGATGGTAGTAGGGTAGTAGAGTAGAGGGTAGTAAGGGTAGTTAGTAGTAGTAGGTAGGAGGTAGGAGGTAAGGAAGGTGTCGGGTAGGGTCGAGACGAATATGTGAAGTAGAAGCGTGGATGTTTGCTGGCTAGTAGAGTAGGCTAGGATAAGGCATGGCCGAAGTAGAGTAGTCGAGTAGTGTCGAGGAGAGTAGAGCTTGAGTAAAGTGAAGTACCAGTTAGAGCGATTTGCAGTAGTAAATAGTAGTGGAGTTACGTTAGAAGTACAAGCAGCGGGTGTGGGTGTGTGGTTGTGTGGGTGGTGTGGGTGTGGATGTGGAAGAAGTGGATGATGGGATGGGAGGGAGGGATGGATGGGATGGGCATGGGGAGTGGGAGTGGGAGTGGCAGTGGCAGTGGGCGTATACTGTAGTATGTATTTTGCAGGGCAGCCATACACACTACAGCCCAGTATAGTACAAAATTCAGTTTGCTGTACTAGTGGGCGCCAAGGAAGTTTCTGTGTCAGCGGCCGGTACTCTAACCGCAAGGATCGTAAAATTGATGGAGATCAGCGCGAACCCCGAACTGACGCCTATGCCGAAAACACTACTACGGAGTACACCACGCAACAGCCACCACCACTAAGCAAGCCAGGTCTGCGGCCGGGCTAAACAGCCTTGGCTATTCCTGCGCCCTATTAAAAGTAGACCTTGGCTTGACCTTTTTATCACGTGCCTGTGTTTGACGCACGTCATGATCCTGATCCCTCTCTGCTTTGCGCCGGGAGGAATTACTATGATCCATACGTTCCATACTACACGTATGTGAGTATGCGCGTATGCGAGTATGTAAGCGATGAACTACTCTATTACTTATAGCTATAGCACTCTATTCCTACGATAGGTGTACAGAGATGGGTTACAACAGTCAGTCACTCGAACACGGAGAACTCTGTGCTGTACATACTTGTGCCGTACATACACTACTGTACTCCGTAGTGCGGAGAACGGTACGTACCCGGTTAGAGTAGTCAGATCAGATCCTCCTGTGTAAGGGAGGGAGAGGCTGCTTCCGTCTTCACATTTTCCCTCGCCTAACACCCCTAATCCACCCTAGCGTCGTTTTACCACATCCCGACAGAACAATGCCATACACTACACATCAAGGGCAAAGAGAGAGACATGTGACCCAGTGAAACCTGAGGCACGCAAGCAACCCGCAGTGAAACCTCAGGCACGCAAGGGACAATACTCTGAGCCTCGTCCCTGTCTGGACGCTCCCAAGGTGGAGCTTGTCCAGACGTGACGGACGGGACGTGGTAAAAGGCTCCAGCCACAGCCTCACCAAGAATAAAGCTAAAGTTCGAGTATAGATCAACAACACCACCACCTCTGTCTTCACGACTACACCACGACGACACGACTGCGACGGCCACGGCGACAACGACCACACCCACCACCGCCAGCCACCTCCTCCACCACCGCCCACCATGGCAATCCGCCTCAACCTCCCCCCCATCACGCGCGGCCTCCTCCTCCTCCTGCTCTTCCAATCCCTCCTCTCAGCCGCCGTGCACTTCCAGCGCCCAACCGAGGGCCTAGTGATCCCATACCTGACGCTCATCCCGTCGATGTCGCTCATCTACCCCTGGACCTTCGTGACCTCCACCTTTGTCGAGACCAACATCTTCTCGCTCGCCATCTCGGGGCTGACGATCTGGCATGGAGGCCGCTACCTCGAGCGCGCGTGGACGTCGAGGGAGTTTGCAAAGTTTGTTGCGATGGTAGCGTTGGTTCCTAATGTTTATACATTCTTCACGCTGGTTGTCATGTACGCCATTACCGGTGACGTGACATGGTCGTACGTCCCCCCATATTCTTTCGCCCTTCATCCCCCCTCCCCCTCCCCCCTCCCACCAAAATCTTCTCAACCAAGCTAACCCCACCCACAGCCTCACCCCCATCTCCGGCACCACCGCCCTCCAAACCGCCCTCCTAACCGGGCTCTCCCAACTCCTCCCCACCCACACCATAACCCTCTTCCGCGGGCTCCTCTCCCTCCGCCTCCCCCGCCTCCCCCTCCTGCACCTCCTCCTCGTCACCCTCCTCGCCCTCCTCCCCATCTACACCATCTCCGCCCCCCTCCTCTCCCTCTCCGGTTTCCTCACCGCCTGGGCACACCTCCGCTTCTTGCGCCTCCCCTTGCCTGATCTCGATTCGCCGGGGCCGCTGAGGGGTGATGCATCGGATGCGTTTGCGTTGGCGCAGTTTTTCCCTGAGCCCGCGAGACCATCTGTTGAGGCGGCGGGGGATGTGTTGGCGAAATTGGGGCTGGCGCCGAAGACACCGGTGGTTGTGGCGAATCCTAGTCAGGGAGGTGGAGGAGGAGGGGGAGGAGGTGGGCAGAGGCAGGGCGGGAGAGCGGAGAATGAGAGGAGGAGAGCACTAGCGCTCAAGGAGCTGGATTTGAGGTTACAGGCTGCGACGGCGGCGAGGGCGGGGAAGGGGGGGGAGGCGAGCGAGGTTAAGCAGCCGGAGGTGGGGGAGGTTATGAAGGCGCCTGAGGGGGGGGAGCAGGCGTAGGGGGGTGCTGGAGTGGGTGTGTTGTTTGTTTAGTTTTTGGGTTTGGGTGGGAGGAAGGGAGTGTACGATGGGATTGGGATTAGGATGAGGATGAGTATGGCGAGTGTATATGAGGGAGGATGATGGATGAACAAGGTGATCGATCGCAGACCGCAGTGTCCGCCGCCTCTTCGTGTATGTTTGGGTGCGTTTATATACCCAATTCGTTTATTTTGCCCGGGGTATATATTATATATGTAGTGTATTTCATATCTATCCAGCTTCACTTACAACATTATCGCCCTCGTCAGCCCCATTCATTTTCTTCTTCTGTCAACCAACCCCTTATTCCCCCCATTGGTGTGAGACCGGCCCGGAAAACCTCCACCACCACACAATCCCGAACTTTCATCCCGTGTATCGGCACTGCACTGTACTGCGCTGCACTCTGCGCTGTGCACTCCCACTCCCACTCACTGGTATGCACACTCACGCCTCTGCATACGCGACGCACCGCGCATGCATATTTATACCCCCCGGCCGCCGCGCCCCACCGCTCGCTCAGCTGTCATCTGTACTGTCGGCATGTCTATCAGTCAGGTGTCTCTGAGTGTCTCTCAACCCATCCGTCCATACATATCCGTCAAACTGTGTGGGTAATGAGTTGGGATGTGCTATGTCTATGTCTATCAAACAATGTCTTGATCTGTCCGCCCACCCGCCCGTCCGTCGAGCCGTGTACACACTCAGTCAGTCAGGTCAAGTCAGTCAGGTCAAGTCAGTCAATGAGTGAATGTTACGCCCCTTTCCGCAACGCCACGCCCACAAGCCACAGAGCCTCCACCCACGTACGTCCGCAAAGGAGACGCCCCACCCGGTTCCGCGATCTCAGACAGCAGATGTAGGTCCCAATAGGGTAACACAGGTACGGGTTTGTTGGTGTTAAACACGCCTTGTCCCCGTTCTCAGACAACTGGGAGGGAGGTGCTAGACAGGCAGGACAAGGCAGGACAAGCAATACTGCTGCTGCTTTGCGATCCCGTTGCCCCCGATGTCAGACAGGGGGATATTTGACAGCGATACATACCTGCCAGATACGGGTGCGTAGGTCCGGACCCGGATGTGATGTATGTAGGTGTAGATGGGAGGGGGAATCCGGGGATTAAGCGTTTTTTTTGTTGAAGGCTTGCTTGTTGGTGGAGGAGGGCTGTTATTGTTGTCGTTTATGTAGTGTAGTGTACTGTCACTTACTGTCATTTACTCACTTAATTTGGTAGCTGGACCGTAGCGGCCCGTGAAGTCCTTACACTCACACTCGCACTCACACTCATCATGGCTCGCCGCCACGCCTTCTCGTCATCTACGTATTGTATATTTGTCCATCCCCATACCCATACCTCCACACACATCACATCACATCACATCCTCATCCCCAATCCCTGCCCTCGCCACCCCCATTCCCACCACCACCACCACCACCACATCCCCATCCCGCCCCTGCCGCCGGGTGGCGATAGATGAGCGAGGCCCCGGGTTATCTACTGTACTAGAGTACTATTGGTGTGGCCCGTCCGATCCATTCCCATCCATGCCGCCGATGAGTGTGTGTTGGTGTGGATGTTTCCGATTCTAGAGCACGGTGACGCTGGTGGTGGTGGTGGTGGTGGTGGTGGTAGACGCATCTTACCTAATTCATCCCCATCCCCATCCTCATCCTATCCTTACATCCTCATCCTCCACCTCTCACCACGCAACGCCTCTCAGCCACCCATCCCCATCCCATCCGCATCCCTAACTCCCTAACCCACGCCCAGCCATCCAAGCACCATCCAAGCACCACCACCACCCACTCCTCCCCCAAGCCAACCCTTCCCAAACCGCCGAGGAACAGCCAAGACCGGCACAGCACCGAAACAAGGTACATCCCCAAAAGTAACGCCCCAGCGCCTGCATACGAACCACGATGAGCGGCGGCGCTTGCGGACGGTGCTCGGGGAGGGGGAGTGGATTGGGGATGGTGGCTTGGCGGGATTGGCGGGGTGTAGGGTTGGGGGGATGTGGTGTGTGGTGTAAGAGGAGATGGGGGCAGGGGTGGATGGGAGATGGAGAGGGCAGGGGTGGGTGGATGGGATGAGGGCCTGAGGCTGAAGGGGATGGTGCTGCGGGTGGTGCTGCGGGTGTGGTGTGTGTGTGTGTGTGTGTGTGTGTGTGTGTGAGGGAAGAGAGAGAGGGATGATGAGGGAGGAGGTGGGTGTGTGTACAGCAGAGATACGATATACGTGATTTACGTGATGCGACGATACAATACACGATGGATATAGAAACACCACACCACACCACACCATCTATACCCATCAACGCGTCCCCGTGAGCGCGTGGCTAAGTGCCTCACCACCACCACCACCTCAACTGCCCTCCTCCTCTCCTCTCATCCTCGCCTCACAACACCACACATACTAACCACCCCAAGTGGACCCCAATCCATCACACAGTGGAGCCCCCATCCAGCTCCAACAGGAACGAACACCCACCAGCACATCATCATCGTCCCCATTCCCATCCTATCCCATCCCATCCCTCCTCGCCGGTGCCGGTGCCGGTGCCGGTGCCGCCGGTCGATGGTTCCTCCCGTGCCGATCAAAGATTTTTCCTTTTTTGTGCACGCACGTTGCCTCTAGCTTGAGGCGTGAGTGAGGCTGCTCATCCTACCGTGTACTGTACTGTCTGCACCCTCTCTCTTTTTTTTTGGTGGTTCTCGGAGTGAGTGGGGTGTTTGTGGGGGGTACGTATTTTACTTTACTGTACTGTACTGTTACTGTACGGAGTCTCTTGTCGTGGGTAGGGGGTTTGCTTGCTTATGTGCGCGCCGGGCGGGCGGGCGCCAGGTGCGACGCTTAGGTGCGTGCTTGTTCTTGTTCCTCTCCCCTCCCTTGTCCTTCTCCCTCCTCCGCGCTGGCGTGTGCGTGTGTGCGTGCGACCACCCTCCTCCGCCCTTCCTCCCGCCACCCCATTGTCGCGCACCACCACCGCGGCGGAAGGTACAGACAGGGAGGGTGTGTGCTTCATACATACATACAGACATACAGACATACATGTGTGCGCACGGTACGTATCTTCGGTGAGTACAGCAGGGCGTGCAGTGTAGATACAGCGTAGATGCAGATGCAGCTGTCTGCCTGCCTAGGTACATACATAGATGCATCGTACGGCATTGGTGGTGTGTGCGCGATGAGGTACGAGGGATGGGGATGGGGACGGGGATGGGCAGCGTGGTGTGGCGGCTGGCTGGTGGTGGTGGTGGTGGAGTGGCTGGCTGGTGTGGCTTGGGGGTGCGGGAGATGCGGCGGTATGTACGGGGGACGGGGGATAGGATAGATGCGATGAGGTGCAGGATGTGGTGGAGAGTTGTATGGATTGTCGGCGTGGTGTGCCTGAGGCATCGCTGACTGGGAGTTGACTAGAACTAGATTGACTGCAGGAAGGGTGACGGAGTGGGTGTAGGCGTGGTGGGCGGGTGAAGGGTACGGCGGTAGTCACCTCTAACGGTAGTACCTGCGAGGGAAAGGAAGGGCGAGGGTGATTGATCTGCTAGGCTTACCCGTAGATGACGGATGGCTTGTTGGGAGGGGGGGTGTTTGACCAGCACCAGCACCACGGCAGAAGGAGGAGGCTAAGGCTAGAGGGTAGAGGCAAGAGGCTAGAGGCTAGACGACGGCTGCGGTTATGTGTGGTGCGTGTCTTAGTACGGGGGTACTTTTGGTTAGTAGTAGCTAGCTGTACTGTGGTGGTGCAAGTAGTAATAGTGGATACAGGAATAGTAAGAGAGAGAGAGGGAGAGAGGGAGAGAAAAAGAAGTGGATCCCACGGACACAACGCGATCTAGCCTCCTCCCTGCTGTACTAGTTAGTTAGTTAGTTAGTGTATACGGAGTGACATCCACTCTGTCTGCGGATACACAGTACGGAGGGTACCGTACCTAAACACCACCCAAGCACGCACTCCATCGTAACGCAACGCAGTGCAGTTACATAACCTGCAGCCACACCCATACCACCACCCACACCATTTTCTCCACACAACGCGCTAACCCCAACCCTGCACTAGTAGGGGCTAGCTGCAGTGAGATGTGCACACACGCATCTACTCTACCCCCTCGACACATCGGGCTATACTTAGGCGTTGGTGTGAGGCGATGGGTGGGAGATCCACTTCTTTCTTTTCCCTCGCACAGTCCCTTAGCGTGGGTGGGTGGGTTAGGGGAGTTTGGAAGGGAGGGGGGTGTGTGTTGAGGGGGAGTTTGGGGGAGGGTTGGGGGTGTGTGGGTGAGTGTGTGTGATGATCGTGTTGCCGTTGGGGATGGTGGATGGGTACGGGGAGGGACTTGCTGTGTGGTGTTCATGGTGGTGGCGCTTGTGGGAAGGGGAGAGAGTGAGTAGTTGGCAAGAAGCAGCATAGAGAGTGAGCAGTTAGCAAGAGAGCAGCAGAGAGAGTGTGAACAGTTATTAGGAGAGAACAGCAGTTGGCAGGAGAGTGATCAGTCAGCAGCAGAGAGACCACCACCATGTTGTTTGATGGGTGGTGGGTTAGTATGTGTGAGCGTGGTAATGTTATGATGTTCGGCGTTGTTTAATGTGGAGTGCCTGTATATGTATGTGTGTGTGTACATCACGGTGTAATCGTATGCAGGTGTACCTCCCGCTCCCTCTCCCTTGCTCTTCCCTGCTCCTCCCTGCCCTATTCTGTTATTAACCTTCAACCGTGGAATGTATGTACCCTCCGTGTCTCTAACCCGTACTATCCCTGCTGCAGTAACCTCCAATTTACCACACCCACCACACCTACCACACTTACCACACCTTCCCTTTCCCTTTTTGCCGCAACTTGCCATCATCCACCCTTACTTCCCAACACACATCTTCTGCCTGTTCCCCCTAGCTCGAGCCTTTTCCCCTTCCCGCCCCGCCACACATCTACATGCACTTAGAAGTACTGACTTAGAGTATCTACACACATAGTACAGCCACTCTACACTTGGTCTAAGTGTGAGTACCTCTAACTACCTCTAACTCCCTGGTTCTATTATCGCTCCGCTTCGTCTTTTTCTTGTCTCTTTCTCCACTATCCTCTACTATCCTCCACTAAAATACTAATGTACACACCTTAACTCGCCCTTCCCGCCTTGTTCGCTCGGCCGGCCGCTCTTTCCCTTTTTCTCCATCCGTCAACCACAGTCCCTCTTCCCTCTGAGTTTCTCCTCCTCCTCCCACTCCTCTTCTTTGCCCTCTCCCCCCCAAAAAATCTTACTTCAACTTAACTTAACTCGTACCCACTCATACGCATCACATACGCATCCACCCACCCACTCACTCCCTTCCCCCATCTGCATCCACATCCGCATCCACCCCCCATCCACTACTCCATCCACTCCCCCCTCCCCCCATCCCACATCCACTTCCACCTTCCCACCTCCACCTAAATCTATACCATACCCCCATTCTCAATCATAACCCCAACCCACAACATTTTAACAACTATACACCCAAAAAAGTACCCACACACCCACCACCTGACATTCACACCCCCCCTTCCCCCGTCTATCCCTTCTTCATCTTCGCCTTCTTGGTTCTTCTTCTTCTTCTTACCCTTCCACGCCTCACCACGTCAACAACAATCATCCTCATCCACCACCACTTCCACCCAACCTCAACCTCTTCCATTTACTTCTTCTCTTCTTTCATTACAACACCCTTTTCAACACTACAATCTATCATCACACCTTATTCACCAACAGCCGCCCATCCTCACTTCTCCAACTCAGCCCCAGACACATCGTCGGAGAGCTCGACCATCATTCGACTGGGCCCTCACCCCAGCCGCAATTCGACACTCTCCCTCCCATCGACACCAGACACCGAAGTGCGCGGGTCACACTAGCAACCTCACCACCTCTGCGTTCTGCGCATTGCGTCGCGACAACACCGCCAACTTCTTGCCGCCTCGCGCTTAAACACCGTGCCTTCGCTATTGATGGCGTCGCACCACCCCTCGCCTCCAGGTGCCATGCACCGGATGGCCCCTCACCACCCCTCGCCCACCGCCGCGCTTCACATGGGGCAACAGCACCAGGGCCCGCCGAATGGCCCTCCCGGCCCTCAGGCAATGGGTCCCGGCCCCGGGCAACAAGGCCCATGGCCAACCGGACCGCCGTCACAGAACCTCCCCGCGATGAACGAGGCGGTCTGGATGCAGATTGGTAGGCTCACACGTTCGCTGCTAATGAGACGCACGCGCTGACTGACTTTGCGCAGGGAGCTTCCTCGAACTCGTCAATAGCTCGGATGAGGCGATCGTCGCGTACGAGCACGCGCTGCGTGCCAATCCGCACTCGATTCCGGCCATGACGGCCATCGCGGGCATCTTGCGACACCAGGAGCAGTTCCCCAAGGCTGTGGACTTCATCCAGAATATCCTCAAGCTCGACCCGAGCAATGGCGAGATCTGGGGCAGTCTCGGTAGGCAATCAAGATTCATCTACGCTGGGCGCTAAAACTGACTCCCACAGGACACTGCTACCTCATGATGGATGATCTCCAGCAAGCTTATGCTGCTTATCAGCAAGCGCTGTATCACCTTCGCGATCCCAAGGTTTGTGTTTGCCAGATCCCTCTTAGAATTGCCCGGTCTAACAGAAACTGCAGGAACCTCGACTTTGGTATGGCATTGGTATTCTCTACGATAGATATGGGTCATACGAGCATGCAGAGGAGGCCTTTTCGCAGGTTATGCACATGGCGCCAGACTTTGAGAAGTCCAACGAAATTTATTTCCGCCTTGGTATAATTTACAAGCAACAGCAGAAGTACGGCCTGTCTCTGGAGGTATGTGTTTCTCTCTCTTGCAAGGCGCATTTCTAACGGTTCCGGCAGTGCTTCAAATACATTGTTTCGAACCCTCCAGCTCCGCTCACCGAGGAGGACATCTGGTTCCAGATTGGCCATGTCCACGAGCAGCAAAAAGATGTAAGTCGGGCCATTTTTGGACAACCAGCGCATTCCTAATATTTCATAGGTCGACAACGCCAAGCTTGCATACAGGCGTGTGCTTGATCGCGATCCGAATCACGCAAAGGTCCTCCAGCAGCTCGGCTGGCTGCATCATCAGCAGAGCCCGAGCTTCGCCAGTCAGGAGCAGGCGATTGAGTACCTGGAGAAGTCTGTCAATTCTGGTATGTTTTTTCTCCCTCCATATTTCAGCTCGAAGGCGACACCGATTTAACACGTGGCAGACAACAACGACGCGCAAAGTTGGTACCTCTTGGGCAGATGTTACATGTCACAGCAGAAGTATCCCAAGGCATACGAGGCCTACCAACAAGCTGTCTACCGTGATGGCCGGAACCCGACTTTCTGGTGCTCCATCGGCGTCTTGTATTACCAGATCAACCAGTACCGAGACGCACTCGATGCGTACTCCCGCGCGATACGCCTCAACCCGTACATTTCCGAGGTCTGGTACGACCTTGGCACTCTGGTAAGCTACATCCTCCCGTGCACGCTGATCCGTTCGGGACATTGCTAACCACACCTGCAGTATGAGTCGTGCAACAATCAGATCAGCGATGCGCTCGATGCGTACCAGCGCGCGAACGAGCTGGATCCCAGCAACGTCCACATCAAGGCACGCCTGCAGCTTCTCCGAAGTGGACAAGGCATGCCGACGATGAACACTGCTGCGCCGATTCCGCAAGATGTGCATCCCAATGCGTACCAGCCCACCAACGCCGTCGGTCCGCCAGGGCCTCAATGGGGAGGCCCATCGCAAGCAGCGCCACCAGCGCCATCTGGGCCACCAGCCGGCCCTGGACCAGGAAACTGGCCCACCAACAGGCTGGCTGAGATCAACCCTCCTCCGCAGCCACCGAACCCGTACGAGCACCGCGAGGCAGCCCGAGCCCCGCCGCCACCACCTCGCCAGGCGAGCCCAAGGGCGGATCAGCAGATGCGGCCATACCAAGAGCCGCGCTACCTGGGCCCGGTGCCACCGCACCGTGCGGCGTCTCCTCACCCTCTTCCTGGACCATACCCAGGACCGGGTGTCCAGCACCCACCAACGATCCAGCAGCAACAGCCGCCCCTTGCGCCACCGCAGCCACACGCGCCTCCATCTGGTCCCGTGCGTGTCTTGAATCCTAATTATGGTGGCCCAGCACCAAACATCCTTCCTCCCGCACCGCCGAACGGACTGAACGGGCCACCACCTCCAGGCGGTCCAGGACCGATCCCGCCGTTTGGCCGCGGGAACAGCCCACACCCTGAGGTGCGCCCGATCCTCGACAACAGGATCTCCTCTCCCACCGCAGCCTACCCTCACCAACAATACCAACCTCACGCCGAGACCCCCACAACCGGTGGCATCGCCAACGGTGCCCCCGCGCCCGCCTCCGCGCTCGCCGCCGCTGAAGCCGCCGCCGCTGAGCGTAGAGACGAGGGTCCTCCCTCAGTAGGCCCCAAGCGCGTTCGCGAATGGGAAGACGAACTCCCACCTGTGCAGAAGAAGCCCGCCTCGGAAGAGACCCGCGCACACATGAACGACGTGCACCACCGCCGTCCGTCCACCCCGCCACGCGAGACCTTCCGCCGCAACTCCTCTGAGGCACGTCGCGAGGACCAGCGCAGGGCGAATGAGAATTACCACCCCAGCGAGGCGGCGCATCACCCGCTGACGCACACGGTGCCAACGACTACGCAATTGCCGCCTATGCAGCCCGCTGCTACGCCGACAAGGGAGTCCCTCCCGCCCCCACCATCGGTGGGCAAGGATTACCCAATGGTTGACGCCCCTGTGGAACGCCGGAGCCCGCAACAGCTTCCTCCACCTCCACCACCACCAACGCAAGCCCAGCCGCAGCCACCGCAGCCGCAGCAGGCTAGCCCGCCGACGCCTGTCCCGGCGCCGGCGCCGGCGGAGGAGCGCGCCGCGAGGAAGATGGATGTAGATGAGAATTATGATGATGAAGGGGAGGAGGAGAAGAAGGCGCCCAGCACGAATGGAGCACCGCCTTCGGCACCTGGGTCGGCTGGCGGTGCGCCACCAGCGGAGGGAAAGACGGAGTCTCCTGAGAGGGCGAATGGAGCGGGTCCGGGGTTTTTGGCAAATGGACAGAATGGCACGCCGACGCAGGCGGCTACTAAGGTTGAGGGGACTGCCTAAGGTGGGAGGAGGGCTTGTTTTGTACTTGGAATAAGTAAGAGGGGGTTTTATGAGGAGGAGGTTGTTTTACGGCATACAATTACATTCTTGACGAGAGAACCTTTTTCTTTGTTTAGGGCTGGTCAACTTCTGGGAAGCGGGGATAGGAGGGGGAATTTGGGGGATAGGGGGGGGGGATTATGGTATGATAGGCTAGTGCTAGGGTAGAAAGCGAATAGGGATATTTGATTCTGAGTTGGGGTTTTTGATGCAAAAGACGGATGGAGGATAGGTGGGGTGGGGTGGTGTATTCGATTTTACCTGTTTCTTGGGGGTTGGGTGGAGCAATTGGAGAATGAAAAATTATTGTGCTCTTAAGTCTTCCGTGTACTCTCTCGTGTTGTGTGAACATGTTGATTTCACCTTGTGGTTTCGTTCTTCATTACGAAGGTCAGGCGGATATCACGTGTCACAGCCTATTCTTATCAAACGTAGGACGCGGCCGCTAGCAGCCAAAAATGTGGTTACCATTTGGCGGGGTCGTCACCAACGGCCAAAAGTTAACATAGAGAGTCTGCATTTGAGAAAAGACACGCAAACAAAGCAGAACACACGAGCAAACTTATAAATAACGCCCTACTGGCTACATATAACACAGACAGGGTCTGAAACCTTACATCAAAATGGCCGCTCAGGCAGAAGACGCCATGGCGAAGCTCGCGTGTTCGTCCTACCCCCCCCACCACCAACAAGCTCTTGACCACCAAACTGACCAGGTTTACAGTGAGCGAGAACCAGGGTGAAGCTGCCGCCGCAGCAGCACCCCCCGCCGCAAAACCCGAAGCAGAAGACTCGGACGACGAAGACGACGCCCCCCCGGCCGACGGATCCGCCCCCACCGCCGCCGCAAAGAAGAAGCGCAAGCGCAAGCCCAAGAAGAAGACCAAGACACCCACTACCCAGACCTCCCCCCCCAGCGTCCCCCTATCCACCTTATTCCCCTCCGGCGACTACCCCATCGGCGAAGAGAGCCCGTATCGCGACGACAACAGCTTCCGCACCACGAGCGAGGAGAAGAGACACTTGGATCGCCTGGATATGACATACCTCAACGACTTTCGCCGGGGTGCAGAGGTGCATAGACAGGTGCGGCAGTGGGCGCAGGGATGGATTAAGCCGGGGATGGGACTTACTGAGATCGCGGAGGGGATAGAGGGGAGCGTGAGAGCGCTTACTGGGCATCAGGGGTTGGAGGATGGGGATAATATCGCGGGAGGCGTGGCGTTCCCGACGGGGTTGAATATCAATCATATCGCTGCGCATTATAGTCCTAATGCGGGGAACAAGACGGTGGTGAAGCAGGAGGACGTCATGTGTGTTGATTTCGGCGTGCACATCAACGGTCGTATCGTCGATTCCGCGTTCACGATGAGCTGGGACCCCGTCTATGATCCGCTCCTCGAGGCGGTTAAAGCTGCGACGAACACGGGGGTTGCGGCGGCAGGGATTGATGTGAGGATGTGTGATATTGGAGAGCAGATCCAGGAGGTGATGGAGAGTTATGAGGTGACGATTGGGAAGGAGACGCATCCGGTGAAGTGTATTCGCAATCTGAATGGGCATAATATCGGGCAATGGAAGATTCATGGGGGGAAGAGCGTGCCGATTGTCAAGAATAATGATACGACGAAGATGGAGGAGGGGGAGGTGTTTGCGATTGAGACGTTTGGGAGTACGGGGGTGGGGTATGTGAGGGATGATGTGAGTTTCTTCTTTCTCTTTCTCTTTCTTTTCTCCTTTCCTTCGTTTTATTCGTTTTAATTATCCCCATCGCCGATCTGAAGACTAACAACCCCCGCAGCTCGAGTGTTCACACTACGCCAAAGCCGCCGACGCCCCCCACGTCGACCTACGCCTCACATCCGCCAAGAACCTCCTAAAAGTAATCAACAAATCCTTCGGCACCCTCCCCTTCTGCCGCCGCTACCTCGACCGCCTGGGGCAGGACAAGTACCTCCTCGGGCTGAACAACCTCGTCTCCCAGGGCATCGTGGAGGCGTACCCGCCGCTGGTGGATAAGAAGGGCTCGTATACCGCGCAGTTTGAGCATACGTTCTTACTGAGGCCGAATTGTAAGGAGGTGCTGAGTCGGGGGGATGATTATTAGATGTGTGTTTTGGGGGGTTGTTTGCGGAGAGGGTGGTCCCCGAGGGGAGGGGATGGGGATAGATGATGATGATGATGGATATAGGCTTGCATAGGGTATGGGAAAAGTTATGAATCAAAAACGACGAACTGATTTCGCGGGTTTTACCTTGGCGATTTAAGCGACAGCTACTGGTCTTATCGTGTCGATACTTCCTTTGGGGGGGTTCTTGGAGCTTAGTAGGGCTTTGAGGGAGCTTCTAACAGAGGCGTGGGCTTGATAAGACTAGTAGCGGTCGCTTCAATCGTCGAGGGGATCTGTGGGCTGGCTTGCGTAATCTCACCTCTATTACGGTGTCTTACGTGCATACATGTGTGTGAATGGAGGTGGTGTTTTGAGCAGGATCCTTGGTGACTGAGTCGAAGAGTTTCACGGTGCTCATGCAGGTAGGTCTCGCTATTACAGTATCTAAGTCTAGGATGCAATTAGTACTCATGATAAAGTATATCCTTATGACATTATAACCCCATTACTAGAGTGTAGAAACCCGAAAGCAATAGTGATCTTTTAACTTAAAATTTTGTTATAACCATCCGAGGCTTCGTCACGATCGACCATGCCCAAAGCACTGGAGAGATAGAAGGCAGTTCCAATCGCATGAGAAACCCAGATAAAAAAGGCATTTATCTGGGTTTCTCATGCAATCGGAAGCCGGCCCCCTATCCCCCCCCCCCAATTAACCCAAACCAAACCCCTATTCCTATTCCAATTCCCATTCCCAACCTCCCACCCTACCATGCCTATCCAAACACACGAATTGCCACTCCTCATCAAACGCACGCCAACACACGCTCAGCTCTCAACACTCAGCGCCTTCGCCCCCACCAACCTCCCCTCCTCCCCCTCCTCCACACCGACAACCCAGTACTCGACCCTCGTGGCGCCGCGGGGGACGCGGTAGACGCGGACGTCTCCGCCGCTGGTGGCGTCGCGGATGGCGTCGACGATAGATTTGTACTCGCCCCTCTCGTCCCACTGGCTGATATCTAGGATTTCGATTTCGCGGCCGTCGGGGGAGCCGATGAGGTCTGCGAAGGATTCTGTGCAGTAATTAGTTACTGTCTCATATCATCTGCGCGGTCGACTCTCTTCCCACTACGTAGAGAAAACCACCCCCATAATAGAGGAAGCAGTACAGGGAAACGAGAAGAAAAAGACAAAACATACCACCATCAACCATCCCCCTCCCCCCCGTCCCCAAACTCACCCCCTCAAACCCCTCATCCGCATCACTAACATACACCACCCCTTCTATCGCCTTCCGAATCACCTCTGGCACTTTCGCCCCCTCATCCACAGTCTTGAACCCCTTCTTCCCCGAACCGCTCGCTTGGGCTTCGTTCGACCCTCCTAAAGGCGCATTCGCCTTCTCCAAGAAGGAGAGATACGATGCGTCGTCTGCCATTCCTCGTTTCTGCTGCCGCGGCGCCGCGCGAGCTGCTGGGAGTGCTTGTGCTTGTGCTGGTACTCCTGCCGGTGAAGCTGGAGCGGTAGCCCGTGAGCGCGATGACAGCGCAGCGAAGACGCGGGGAGGTAGGCGTGGGCGCGGGATCGTGGCTGTAGGCGGAGCGGAAGTGGGAGATGCGTGGAGGGTATCGAGCTCGTGCGTTTCTGGGACTGCTGGTGCTGGTGGTGGTTGGGAGCTGCGGTTGCGGTTGCGGACGGTGTGGAAGAGGGAGAGGATGACGCCCATTTGTGGTTGTGCTGGTGCTGGTGGTGGGTGGTTGGTGGTGGTTTGTGTTGCGCTGGGGGCGGGGTGGGGTGGGGTATGACGCAGGTTGGTTGTGGGTGGTCTTGGCGGATGCGGCGATTGAGTGATTGATTGATGGGGCTCACGATGGATGGCACGGGACCTGGTGGGAGGGGGGATTTTTTTTACGGAGATTTGAAGATTTAGATAACATTTGATATTTCACGATTGGATGTTTAGAAGGCACAGCACGCATGAGGGGAATCGGAAGCATTTTTGTGATATGCTCATCTAGCATGTGTTTTCATGTCTAGCTAAGCACCACGCGAGGATATCGATTTGCACACCGTTACGGCAAACACATGATGCCCCGAAACCCTCCGCTCCCCGCCCAGAAAAAACGATTTTCCCTTAGTACACCAGCGCGACAACGACCAACAACATGAGCGACAGGCTTACGACTGCTGCACGAGATCCTTCTTGAGGGTACCGAGGAAGGCACGCTTCTCGGCGGGGGTCTGGTAAGCACCGTGGCCGAACTTGGACGAGGTGTCGATCCACTTGAGGTCGACCTTCTCGAGGGCCTTGCGCGAGGTGTGGGTCCACATGGACTTGCGGAGGGTCATGACACGCTTCTTGACACCGGGGACGGAGCCCTTGACCATGACGAAGTCGTTCTTGACCTCACCGTAGCGGACGAAACCACCCATACTGCGATGTTGTTAGTTTATGTTAAATTACGCACAGAAGACTGATGGAACTTACGGGGTGATGGTCTTCTTGGAGACATCGAACTCAGTCGAGGCGTTACCCTCGTCAGCTCCGGAACCAACACGGTAAACCTTGTGGTTGCACGAGGTACGGTGATGGTATCCATCCTGACCGGCACGGGCAACAGTCCATTGGACGTGCGACGGATGCCAGGCACCGATACAGGCGACCTTACGGAGACCCTTGTGCGTCTTTCTCGGGAGCTTCTTGGTTCCCCAACGGCTGGTGACACCGGAGAAACCCTTACCCTTGGTGACGGCGATAACGTCAATCATCTCATCCTGCTCGAAGATGGAGGCGACCTCGACTGGCTTCTCGAAGAGACCAGCGGCGAACTCGACCTTCTCGGCGACAGAGCCACCGTTGATCTGGACCTCCATAAGGTGGGCCTTCTTTTGCTTGAGCGGGGTCTTGCGGATCTGGGTGTGGGCGAGGACACGGACGACGGTGCAGTACTTCTTGATGCGCTCGAGCTCGCGGGTGATGGAGGAACCGGAAGCCTCGGAGTGCTTCTTGGCGTACTTGGTGAAGGCCTTCTTCTTGGACTTGTACCAGTTCTTGTAGAAGCGGCGCTTCAGGTCGTCGGACAGATGCTCGGCCCAGACGGTGGTGAGGGATCGGAGACCACGGGGAGTCTCAATGTAGCCAACAAGACCAACAACGATCATCTATAGAGATGTTAGCCATAGGCACAAAGCCAAGCGGGCTGCGTTGCTCGTACTGGTGGTGTCTCAATGACAGTGACAGCCTCAACAACCTCCTTCTTGTGCGACTTTGCGCCGGGACGGTCGAGGTCGCGGACGATGGTAGTCATACCAGCCTTGTAGCCCATAGTGGCAGTAAGGTGGACTGGCTTCGAGGCGTCATCCTTGGGGAACCTGGGTAGAACCGCAAAAGTCAGTTCAGATCCTTCAAAAGACTTGAACCGTTTTTTCGACGACCAAAGGCCGCCGATATGTTATCTGGGACAGGAAGAACTTACGACTTGACCTTTCCGCGGTGACGGGCGGCCCTCTTGCGAGGAAGGTATGCCAGAGAACCGTGGCGGGGCGCTGTAGATATTGTCAGGAATTGCTTCTCGAAGATCAAGAGGCACGAGATGCAATCAAATCGTCGTCGCGGCTGCGCTTTCCAGGTCGAAATAGTCCGCGACTTCGATAGAAGGCCTCTCAATACCAGGAAGGATTGAAATGCGTACCTTCGAACTTTCTGTGAGACATGGCGATTGTCGTTGTTGTCGATTGAAGAGCTGGAGGAAGAAGTCCAAGTGCGCCGCAATCGAAAATATTGAGTATATTGTTGTGTGTGGGCCGATAAAAGTAAGCGAAAAGTGGTTAACTATAAATGGATTAGCGCGGGTGTGGGCTCAGTTCCGCCGAGTCTCAAATGAGGCACGACCATCACGACCGACATCAACGAGACGGACGACTATCATTAATTTATTTATTACTATATTCTTATAGATCCCGCTATATAGATATTATCCACACCTACTGCGCCGACATAGTAGCTATCTTCACCAAAAAAAAAACACAAGTATCAGTTCGCATCATAAGATTTGCATACCAAAATCTATCAAAGTCTGTCAGGCCTTTTGTCTTTCATACATGTCCGCTTTCGCATTGCTCTGTTTCCAAATATATCATTTAAAGCATCCAAGCAAAAATATCCAAGAATCAACCCCTATTTCGCATCAACATTCTCAAACCTCTCTTCCGTCGTCACAAACCCAATGCTATCCTCATCCCTCCCCGCATACGCCTCCACAAGCATATGATCCCCCTTCCCTGTTAGACTAGCTTTCTTCCCTCCCCCCTCCTCCCAAACCCAAGCTCCGTGTTTATCCAATGTCCACCTCCCTCCTTTCGGGGCCAGCCCACTCTTCCCCTTCACTGAGCTCAACTGTATAAGCTCCACATCACCATCAGCGACAACCTCCCCCCTCTCCCTCTTCCTCCCTAACTTCTCAAACACCTTTGGCAGCGCAGCTGGCATCTTGAGATTTTGCATATTGATTTTCACCGCCTTCAAATCAACTACTTTCTTCTGCTTGTCCATCGGCGGTGATAACGCCCTAACCTCATCTGCCTGCTCTGGCATCACAAATGCCGCGGCCGCAGTGGACGAACTCGTAGCCAAACAGGAGACGAGGCCCATATTAGCACTCAGGCAGGGAAACTCGGCTCGCAGCAGCGCCTTGCGGTTGACGCGGCGATTGATGCCGGCGCAGGTGAACGAAAAGAATATGCACACGACAAAGACGGCGAGGATGCCGACGCCGAAGGCCCATGAGGGATATTTGTAGGGCGGCACGGGCTCAGGTTCGATGTTGGGAACTTCGCCGGTGGTGTCGTCCGGCGTGTCGCGGGTTAAGAGTTGGACGGCTAGGAGGTAGGGGAGGGGGAAGAGGTTTGTGGGAGGCATTAAGCTAGGTTGGATATGGTGTGTATGGTGGTTTGGAGGTTGTATGTTTTGTTTGTTTGGTTACTAGCTCGTTTGCCGATGATCTCGAGAGATCACGGCACAAGCTTTGTGAAGGTTCGCCAAATGGGGTGGTGTTATTATCGAATATGTGGGATTTGTATCTATGAGAACAATTTTTGATGAGATTGTTATGATGAGCCTGCCGTGCAGAAAAAAACAAGAGAAAAGAGGGCATGGTGCGAGGGATATATGGCAATATTTCGAAATGGACTAGGTGTTGGTGTGCTCTAAGCGTTGCTCTAGCTATCGTATGATAATATTTTAGCTTCATTGGCGCACCCCGTGGGGAGCTAATGAGTTGAGTTACCCCAGCCCAACTCAACGGAGTCAAATCGACCGAACCTGGGGTAACTTTTTATTCGCTCAAATTCTCAAATTCGTGGTATCGCTCATGAGCGGCCATCGCAAAAGCTGGCATAATTGCGTTGCAGATCGAGCACTTGCCCGAGTCTGATTCTTCGTTCATGTAGAGAGTCTCGTCGTCGACAGCATCCTGCGTCATTGGTATTACATCCTCAGAGCCCGTAGCTCCCTTCATGATAGCGTCATTGCCAGCACTTGGCTCTGCTTTAAAGAGAGCGTGTGACCTACCACCATCATTAGTTCGGTGGTGTTCAGCAACCCAATCGGGCGGCACGTCTTTATCTTCCACCTTCCACTCCTTTAGCACTTCTTCTTGGTGCTTAAACATGCGGCTAATATCGCGTCCTCGACCTTTAACGGTCTCGCTAGCCGTCTCTACCATATTTGCGACGCAAATGTTGATAAGGTTTAAGCTCCAACCCTTACCGTCGTGGAGGCGGTGAAACAGAGGGATCAGAGTTTCCACAACAAGCTTTTCAACCAACGCATCCACACCCTCCCGTAAGCCGAAAATAAAGTTTGGGAGAGGGCACGAGCGGGAAATTCGGTTGAAACTCCTCGACCGAGTCCCGTCTGGATTCCGCGGAGGTTGGGGCCTGGTTGAGAGTCGTATCGTCTTAGGATGTGCCAACCATCGTTGCTTCCCAGGGTTGTCTTCGTCGGATTCAAGAAGATCTGTATGCATTCTGTTGATGAGGCTAGTAGCAAGGACCCGTAGCTCCTTCCGTACTTCAGGGAGGGTACTGATACCTCTGTAACTGTCTTCAATAGATATCTGGGTCGGAACCCGCTTGAGTGTCTGAACTTCTGATTCATCGATTCCGTTTATCAGTGCCCATGCCTTCGCGCCAATGCCACGTTCGGCACCTAGCCCTCCAAGAATTTCGTCAAGAAGCTCTGGCCCCATACCCGGAAAGAGGCGGACGTCGCGAACCGAGACAGAATCCTTCACTACACGAGAATCGGTCTCATCTTTCAAGTCAACTTTTCGTCCAAGAATATGGTCTCTTATTTTCTGTGACATCTTGAACCCAATTCCCGGGATTTTTCCGATATCGTGGGTGTCCAAAAATGCAATCACAGTGCTTGTTTGTTCTGCTTGATCCTCATTCGAAGTACTTTCGTACGGAGGCATCAATGTTGTCTGTGCCTTGGGTTTATGTAAGTTGCCGGCCAGCTTAGCCAGCAATTTCGAGGTTGAAATTCCAACCGTTGAAGTATAACCCTTGTCTTCCTCGAGCCGATGCCGAAGGTGTTGCGCCAGATGTGAACCTATTCTCAACCGTATGAGAAGCTCCTGGTCCTTCGCTGCGATTTCAATAGCTGTGTCGTCAAGGTCTGGATATTCATGGCCAGCCGTGCGAGAGGCATCGAAGGAAAATCCAATCGTCGGGTCATCGCGGGACAGGTTGAAGAATGCGTGGCTGAGGTCGTTCGGGTTCAGCAGCGACTGGTTGTATGCAACAATATCGGTGACGTCGAGAAAGACCTCATCGAAGCCAAGCTTCTCAACCTTGTTGTTCCATGTGAAGGACTCCAAGAACTTGTAGAGCATTTTCGAGGCATCCCGAAAACGGTCCAGCTGCTCGCCGAGCACAATCACCATGTCCGGGCATTTTTTCTTTGCCTCCGAAACGAGTTGGAGTTTACGTAGTCCTCGTCGACGAGCTTCGTAGTTGCAGGTCACAATAATCTGCTTCTGCTGCACACCGAGCGGAACACTTTTCAGGGCGGGATTCTCGACTTCGAAAACGGACGCGTAGAAGCAGTCGTAGTCCTAGAAATTCGTCAGATTCAACTTTTGTCAGCCTGCTTGGTCTAGAAGCCCTTACAAAGTGGATAATAATCCTGTCATCGCTTCTCTTCAGCGATGACTTCGCCGTTGTGGTCATTGGCATCTCATTGCAAGTGATACATGTATTACTCTGCCCACTTGATAATAGACTGCCTAGAGTGCAGTACTACTCCAGTAATGTCCGTGATTACTTTTGCAACAAGAGCGAGCTCTTTCCTACCAGTCACAGGGCACGCGACGGATTCACGTGAGTCCGCGTTAATGACCTGAGCCTTATCTTATCAGGATCAGGTACAGTTTGTCCAGTACTGTAAATACAGTCACGAGGTACAAGGGCTTTATCTCCAAAGGAAGGTGCGGAACAAACGGCTATGTCGCGTGAATATCAGCAAAGCTTATAAAGCTAAGAGGGGAAATAGTGTATATACTGTACATAGTAGAGGAAGTATCGCGGTGTTCCCCTCAAACACATTTCCAAAGGACATCGTGGGATTTTTCGTCCTTGGAGATTATCGTTATCGTCGCCACCATCTCGCTGTCGTTATCAAAGTCCCCCAGGATAAACTTGAGTACCGAAGGGTCCATTGTTCTATAACAGTTCTTTAATATGCATGGGTGTGAGTTTGCAATTCCTGCGTTCTCGCACGCCATCCACCCCCCTGCAGCGCTCACATCGCACAAATTCCCATGAAACAACCTGGAACAAAACACAATTCTGACGCGTGCATTACTTGCATATTTAGTCTTCGACCAAGATCCCGGCAGATCCAGAAGTCCACGATGGCGCTTCGCGCTTCTATCCTTGCTCGCGCTCTTCCCTTCGTCGAGCGTTGAAGCCGGCATCTTCCTATCCCGAGATGATTCAAGAGGGGCGGTGGCGAGTGAGAGCTCGATATGTAGCAGTATTGGAATAGATCTCATAAGGCGCGGCGTGAGTTCTCATCTTGGTTGCAGGGTTTAGAGTCATGCTAATTACCTTTAAGGGCAATGCTGTAGACGCCGCAGTTGGCACGACGTTATGTGTTGGCGTTATTGGAATGTACCACAGCGGCATCGGCGGCGGCGGTTTTATGCTTGTGCGCAGCGAGACGGGCGAGTATGAAGACGTTGATTTCCGGGAAACGGCGCCGGCTGCTGCATATGAGGATATGTACGCCAATTTCACGATCGGCAGCATAGTTGGTGGGGATGCAAGCGGGGTTCCAGGCGAACTGAGGGGCTTCGAATATGTACATAAGAAGTATGGGGTAAGTAATGTCTCATCGTAACGGGACGGGTAGAATGCGGGCTGACGTTGCACAGAAACTACCGTGGGCTATGGTTGTAATGCCCGCAGCGAAAGTTGCAGAGAGAGGGTTTCCAGGTACGTGAGAGTTGGACCGCGAATGCAAACCTTCGGAGGCATAGCATGTCTTTGGCTTCAGTATAAGTAGGATCGGGGGAAATATGCTAACCTTTTCATAGTGACGGAAGATCTTTTTGGATTCATGACCAGTACGGTCAATAAGGGACAGCATTTTCTCACAGAAGATCCCAGCTGGGCAATAGATTTTGCTCCAAATGGCACACTCCTTCAACCAGGCGAAATAATGACACGGAAACGGTTTGGCAAGACCCTGCGAACGATTGCTCAGCAAGGGGCAAATGCTTTCTATGAGGGACCTATTGCCGAGGCCACTATCCGGGCTGTCCAACTCGCCAACGGCTCCATGACCCTAGATGATATGTCACAATATGATATTATCTCACGCGAACCTGTCAGCATAGACTATAGAGGATATAAGATGTTCTCAACCGGTGCCCCGAGCAGTGGAGCAGTGGCGCTGAACACCTTCAAAATCATTGAGGGGTACAACATGAGCGACCCCAATAACTTGAAGCTGAACACCCATAGACTAGACGAAGCTATCAAGTTTTCGTACGGAAGCCGCAACGAACTCGGCGACCCAGACTTTGTGGAAGGCATTGTCGATTTCCAAACCCAAATGCTAGACACAGCAAGTGCCCATGCGACTAGGCACAAGATATCAGACGACCACACTCTAGACCCCGCAGACTACAACCCGAAACTGCTCTCCCACCCCGACAGCCACGGAACCTCGCACATCGTGACGACCGACTCATCAGGCCTATCCATCACGCTCACCACCACCATAAACCTCTCATTTGGCAGCCGGCTCTGCGTCCCCGAAACCGGCATCATCATGAACAACGAAATGAATGACTTCTCCATCCCCGGCGTCTCCAATGAATTCGGCTTCGTCCCCTCCCGCAACAACTATATCCGCCCCGGCAAACGCCCTCTCTCCTCCATCACCCCCATCATCGTCGAGAAGGCCGATGGCAGCCTCTACGTCGTCACCGGCGCCGCAGGCGGCTCGCGCATCATCACCGCTACCATCCAGGCGCTCTGGCACGTCCTCGATCACGGTATGACGATGCCCGAGGCGCTGGCGCAGCCGAGGTTGCATGACCAGCTGCTGCCGGCGCAGGTGCGTTTCGAGGTGGGGTATGATAATGATACGACGGCGTATATGCGTGAGAAGGGGCATAATATTACGTGGACGACCGAGTTGCTTAGTAAGACGCAGGGGATTAGGAGGTTGGAGAATGGGACGTTTGAGGCGGCGGCGGAGCCGAGGCAGAAGAATAGTGGGGGGTTTGCGGTGTAGAGGGATGTTGGATACCTGTGACATATGCGTGATACTTAGAAGTTTAAATAGAGTATATATGTGGCAATGAGAAGATGTAGCAATTATATGATTATATCCTTAGGACATTTCAAAAATGGAACGGTAACGAGGACGAAACTAGGTCTAAAGAGTATTCGAGGGGGGTCGAGGATCCAAAATTATGAGCGACCAAAAATACAAAAAAATGGTGAACATGAATGTACGCTGAAAGATTCCCCTGTCGACAAGGCAATTGGAAGGCATAGATAGAACATTGTACCGATAGAGCTGAAAAGTGCTCCTGCTGTTGCGCCTCTACCTGTCACCACCTCTGCCTGCCACCATCTCTGCCTGCCACCGCCTCTGCCTGCGCCTGCCACCACCTTTTCCTGTCACCATCTCTTCCTGTCACCATCGCGAACCAATCCGCTCCCCCGTTATTCCCGCTTCCTTGTCCTGGTGGTTGTGTTGGAGAACCGCGTTGGGTGCGCGAACCTTTGCTTTCTAATCCGCCCCGAAGCAAGGCGTGGAAAGTAATTTTCGTGAAGGAAAGCAACGGCCATTAAATCTGCTCCGCTGGATTGTCTTTGGTATAACTACTTGCACTATCTCAGCGGACCACGACTCCCAGTAAATTCTCTCCGGGCCAGTCTATTATGTTACCCCTTATTGGAGTTTTGGGCTACACGAGCAGGGGAGATCAAATGGGATAGGGGAGGGAAGGAGGAAGCATTGGAGATAGGTGATACTGTGGTAATTGCTCAGCAATCACTATCGAAGATTAAATAGATATCACCTTTCATATATTAAGAAAGACCTTGATACGAAAATGACAGTACGCAACAACACCAATATCCAAGCTACCATCCCTTCCCCACCAACCTCTACGACCACGCCCACGCCGCATTCGGCCCCCTAACCACAACCTTTATCAACCACTGCAGTGACCCCTCCGGATCATCCTGAGCAACACGATGTCCGGCGTTCTGAAAAGTATAGTAACTCATCCCCCTCTCCTCGCGCCCTTGGCTGACTTGTTGTCCCTTGGAATTGCGTAATACGTCGCAGGTCGGAGGGCGCGAGAAGCCTTGGGAACCTCCCCAGGTGGTGTTCTGGAGTACTAGTTCCTGGCCCATGTGCGGGATCACGTAGTCGAGGATGCCGTTGAATATATGGACTTTGACGCCTTGGGATATAAGGTTGGGGACGATGGTGTAGGCGGGCGGTTGGGGCTGGATTCTTCTATCGTTTGAGACGAGCAAGCCGCCGAGGTCATCGTTGCAAGGGTTGAATTGAATGTGGGGGGTGTGGATGGCGGACTGGACATCAGCGCGGTTAAGATAGGCGATGTAAGCGCCGTCGGAGTAGAGGTTATCGTAGCCGTGCTCGTTGATGTTGTATGGTTGGAATTCGCGGTTTGCGGAGGGAGAGAGATAGTAGTTGTATGCGGCGTCGTAAGGGTCACAGATGCCGTAACAGGTAGTGTAATTTATGATGTAGGCGAGACGTTCGGGGGTGTTGGTGCCGCCCTCAAAGTCGCACCTCTCGGGGATGTAGCCGGGTGGTGGTGTGGGAGCGTTGCGTTTGAAGTTCGCCCCGGACGGGTTGCCAGGGATGTGGATGGGGCCAGAGGGGGGATATGTGATTTGGGCCCGGACAGCAGGGAAGCCACAGTCTTTGTCGCCTTGTTTGAGCACGTTATACATGATGGGGGGGCTGTTGCTGTTAGAATTGCGGGTGTGTAGGAAGGAGGGATGCTGGGGCTTACATATTTGTCCCGTAGCTTAATCGGTGTTCGTCGATGTATGCGAGTGCAACTACATTGTTCATCGCTGCCCAGTTTCCCCAGAACGCATCTCCCAGGCTGAGAGTGGATAGCTTAACCTTCAAAGTTGCCTTCTGCGCCTGGACCTCCTTGGCGATATATGGGAGAAAAACGCCGGCGTAGCTCTCACCCATCAGGTGGATCTTCTTGGACCGCATCTCCGGGAACACGTTGAAGAATGAGTCAAGCCATTTCACAACAGCAGCAGTATTGTGTTCATTATCCGTGTTGTTAGATGTGCCAGTACTGAAGCCTGTGCCAATGGGCTGGTCGATATATAGGACATTCGCCCCTCGGGTCCATGAATAGGGGTTGCGCTGCGGCTTTGTTGCCGCCTTGGGGAATATGACCGGACCATGTATTTTGAAGAGCCCAAGTAAAGAACTGCATGCTGGGCCACCATTGAACCAGATAATAAGGTCATTCTTGCCCTGCTGCGTCTCGGCCTCCCATAGCCAGAAAAAAAGGGAGTCGGTGCCGAAGCCCGAGCCAACCTTCAGACTGCCAGCCCATGATTTTGGGATTTTGAAGTTGACTTGAGGTAGAGACTTCACCAAGTATTCTGTATGCAAGTCAGCGGCTGATTATTTCTTTTTTTATTTCAGGAATTTGTGGGTTGTCACTTACGGTCAGCTGCATTACCACCGTTCCTGTCAGGCGGCAGCCCAGCCGCCCCCACGGCAAGTAGCGCGATAGACGCGACAGTAACCAAGAACTTCATGATGGACGTATCAGAGGTTGCAGAGCCAAGAAAGCTCCGGCGAATGAATTTGAGGAAGGAGAATTGATGGTTCCGACGAGGGACATGACCACGTTTTTAAGTCTTCTAGAATAAATTTGAGCCCCTTTGGAAGTCTTGAGGTCGGACGTAACGGAACCGGTGGAATGGTTCGAAGCCCCAACCGACGGTGAAGAACAATAGTAAGAACGGATGTCTTGGCGGGACAACAATCGTAAGGAAGGGAACAATACTAAGGGAAGGGTCGCTAACGTCCAACTTAAATGAAGGAGGTCCACGAGGATCATGAGAGGATGCAGCTTGTGTGCAGCTGGCGACGCAAGGGGGTGGAACTCCTGAAAGAACAATGCATCGCTCTCATCTCTCATTCGTAGAATTCTGCGCCCTGTCTGTACCACGACTCAATCACAGGAACACAATATTGGTTTTTGCATATTAATCACCCTCAAATAGGAAGATTCGTCTGAGAACCAACACAGCTAGTAGCTGTTCATACGTGATGCTCAAGGAAAGCCCACGAAAGTAGTAAGACAATAGTATAACTCCGCGGCATGGCCCAATTAAAGCTCAGTTTTGATTTCCATGACTATGATGTCGCTTCCTATAATTAGTTGCCTCGTTAAAATAGCAAGGGGCGGTCAGTAAGACACAGCAAGAGTAAAAGCAAATGGGTATAGTATGCAGCAAAAGTAAGTCCCTCCTCGCCGTGAAGGCTGCCACCTGACAAACGCCAGAATCAATGTTATGCACCTCAGCAAACGATAAACCCCTCCCCAACGCCTGGATAGTGTAATGCCAAACATCTCCCCACCACCCTAATGTGTCATGGCCAAATCCCATCCCCTCATCAAATAGCAAGCCCACTCGAGGTTGGCGTATTGACCATCGCAACCCCTCCATAAAAATATCCCAGCTACTCCATCCCCCGCACTGTAACCAAGCTTACTAGATCCCTGCAAACCCCCCATACCCCTCGTCGTCGAACCATGGTTGATGATAGCTGCTATGGTCCCGCACGCCACTCAACCCAAGCTGGCGCGCAACGTTGACGTATCCCTCTCTATTCTTTGCTCCATGTTTGTCAATGTTTTTAGTGGAATCCTCATCCTCCTTCCAAACGGTACGACAGTATACGCATTTAACCGGTCCAGGCTTGCTCTTCGCCCACTGGTCAAAGCAAGTCTTGTGGATATTGTTCCCGCATGCAGCTTTGCACCACAGAATTTCATCGCTGGGCTTGAATTCTATGACACACACTGGACAATCACCCTCGATCGGCTTTCGCTTTCCGGGATGTGATGTATCTTCGGAGCTATTGGAAGACTGGGGTGTAACAGGGGCGTGGTCGAATATCTGTTTGAGTTCTGTAGAAAGCAGAGCTTGTTGGTATTGAAGATGCTCTGGAGCTTTCAGAACGTTGACGAGAACCTAAGCACTCGTTAGCCCTAAGTCGCCTTGCGAGTGAGCCTTGCGTGTCTACTCACATAGATAATATGCTTGCACTGATTTCCTCTGATCCTCGCATCCATGCATGTACATTTTGGCTTTTTGTCAATCACGACTTCATATATATTCCCAGTTGAACCGGCCATATCAAACTTCTCCACTTCATGCGTTCCATCGCTATTCAGTTTTCTCTCTCGATCAATGAGGAACATTGGTTGGGATATGGCACGGTTCAATCGGTCCTGGAACTTATATGGCGGCCTCTCACGAAACTGATGTAGTCGTTTTTCGACGCGGCTCTCTCCCCCAGGATTCGGCTCCTCATAATCTTTTTGCTTCCGCTTCCGCTTCGGTGCTTTAGCTTTAGGTGCTTTAGCCACAGACTTTCGCATGGATGTCACCGAATTAGTCCTGGCCACGGAATTTTCGTCATCGGAGTCATCAGAGATATTTATGACCACCGGTTCGCTGATGGTCCCCCGCTTCCGCTTCTTTGACGTCACACCCTGAGGAAAGACAGAAGTTGGGCTGGGGCTATCGTCAATAGAGATCGCATTGGATACAGTAGTGCCGAGCGTATCGGCCCCTGGGAAACCTCTCGCACTTCCTGTGGAGGTGCCTCTAGCGCTTGCCTGGTTGAAGGACATGCAAGAAGCCATAAAATCCCTCATGCTTCCTGTTGAGGGAGCGCTTGCCTGCATGGAGGCTTTGGTGCTCTGAGCTGGCGAATTGGTGGTGTAAGACATTCTCCGGGTGGAGGCAGCTGTAGGTGCCCGGAGAATCAGGTTAAATCAGGGTTGAGCTGAATCTCTTCACCGCCAGCTATGGTGGAATGGAAAGAGTGCCGAGCATTGAATGAGCTGACTGTGATGCTAATGTGAAGAGGCGTCAATTAGAAAGCTGAAGTAGATCATTGTTGCCAGAGCTGTGATTTGAGAATGTCGTCACTAGTTGGGAAGTCGCGAACTGAACGCCTAATCACGTGAATTCGGCCAATTGAAAGTCTGCCAGAGGTTTGTCAGGGTGGTTGCCCAAGAGCCCCCTTGCTTCCAGATGGCTCGATGGATCGGGTGGAAACTACAAGGGAGCCACGGGAAGTTAGAGTGCTCTTAACCATCAGTTGAAATCAATCAATCAAGCATAACCACATATCTCTCCACTGATCTCCAGCGGAAATGTTGAGTTGCGTTCCACTAACAGATACAAGGTACAGAATCCCATATTGATATCGATGGAGTGGTGCCAGCTGGTCGGCATCTGAGAACCAGCAAAGCGATTAGGAAGGCAGTGAGTTGCACAAGCATACCCACCTATGGCTTCGACGCGCAGATCAATCACATATGCACAGCACGCTGCATACTCGAGTCAGCAACCAACGCGCCCGGGCGGGTGGCTTACCAACCTCCTGTTACTCTAAATGCAATGGTACACCGTGGAGCCGGAATCCTGCTTTTTTGTTAATGCCGCCCGCCTCATTTGCCCCCAACGGAACAAAAAGGGGTGACGACCTCGCGAGTTGTCCCGTCTATCCATGCAAACCCGAGCAAAGGACTCGGTGGCAGGTGTTGCCCTGGGCAAGGCAGCGGTGTGCAAAATTGTTTGCTTTATCGAGATGGCGTGACGGAGCGGATGGTTGCAGCTGGAATGCGAGAGATAGCGATAAAGCCGACAAACGTGACCAGTCGTTTGCACTTGTATTGTGTAGCTCGTTCTGGACCTTTCACGGATGTCTACTATAGGCAAAAAATGTAAGTACTTTGCCGTGGTTTACGACTCTCCTTGCCTGACGCCAGGAGGAACCCGTGCAGTTGACGCGTTTGGTATGGGGTTATCAGGTCTGGGATCGCTAGTCTCCGTCCCACAATGATAAGTTGAAGACGCGGGAGAGAAGGTTACTAGGATCCAAGAGACGTCAGCTTGGTACGCTGTAGGTGTGGTGGCTAATCCCCGAGGCAAACAGTTTTCACTGTCATGATTGATTCTTGTCCCCTGTCAAATTTTTCTTGTGATGGTGTTTTAGCATTGCTTGTGGAGGGTTGGACACCGTCTTGTTACCTGGTTTTTAGCTGGGAATAGAACACAATACTACACTCGCTTTTACTTCGGTCGTTATTGCGGACTTACCGTTTTGTGCTTTTCGTTTTTCCCTACTTTCACCAAGGGGCCTCTGACCATACGGGCTATGTGTTCGTACATTCCGCTGGTCTATATATGCATAAGCATCTGTTTATGGCTCCTCCAACAAAAGCCTTTGCGAGGTCTGTCATACTAGGGATTCTGTTTCAGCCCAGTTGCTGCACGCACCCGCCCAAGGGAAAATGACCAAAAGTTGTGTTGCCCTTGGTCCGGGCTAAGGGTCTAGAACGCGAATACTAAAACTCTGGTATGGGCATAGACTACAACTTGTTCTGCATCACCCAATTCAGAGGAACAATACTCAAAATAGCGGAGTATCTGAACGCCTAAAGCCCCGAGGTTTGCGCAACATTTGGGAATCGCAAGGCGTGGATGCACATGGATTGGAAGGATACAATGGAAACACCAGATGGGAACGGCCAGGAGCAGGGCAGTGATATGGTGACCGATCATACCAGCTCAGATACAAAAAAAGCTACCACTGGTGTGAAGAAGCCGAAATCGACCCTGCAGAATCCAGCATCGCCACGGGAAGGTCACGAAGACCGAAAGCCTGGAACTGTGATATGGGAGTCACATTATGGAGTCGGTCGATATGGGCTGCAGGACCCGCGAATGACTGCTGGCAGCGGAGCGCAAGGAAGTAAAGTGAAAGAAAGGGAGAGGCAGACACTGGCCAAGGTGGATGTTGTCCAAAACGAAGCTCCATTCAGCAACACGAGACCGACGCCACTGGGCGGGGAACAATCACCTACCACCACCACTCTATCTGTACCGAAAGGAAGCAAAGCGGCAGATGATTCTGGAGAATCCCAGTTGGGGCCTCCAATAACCACGGAGACATTTGCAGAGTTGGAAATCTCACTGGTTATCAGCAATCCGAAATTCCGGCATGACTTTAACTTTGGCTGCGAAATTCCTTACGTCCCAAAGCAACGGAAGCATAAATCAGATGAATTCTGGCGCGCTCTCCGGCTCCAGTTATCAGAGTTTTGGTCGGACCGTGAGGCATTCATAGCGAAGCATCCTGGCAACGCCTGGTCATTACCAATCTTATTGAAAGCGATTGGCGACATGCTAGCCGCGTTACTCCCGCAAAGATACAACTCGGTAATCAGGGAGACTCTAGACGTTGATTTACTCATGCAACAATTGACGAGGGGAGAATTTAATATGGAGCAACTTGCAGACTGGTTCTCTAGGACTCTGAGAAAACATTGTGCTCCTATGCGTGATGGTGCCGTGTTCAGGATGGCCGAACAATTAACGAGCGGCTTCCGTCGTGGCGATGTCGAAAGTCTAGTGGATGGTTTGGTGGTGCTCCTTACAACAATCGAATCAATGAGACTGGTATGTACATGCCACAGTATCTTATTAACAGAGCTAACGGGCCCAGGATGTTACCAATCACCAAATTAACCACCTGACTCTCATCCAAAACTTTGTTACCTTCCAGCAAACGAAAATTCTAAAGATAATTCCAACAGGAGATATCGATATTTATCGGTCCTATGCCTGGTTTGATGCCTATCGAATCCCAGATGAGATTACGGCACTCTGTCATGAAGGGGGGTCCTGGAAATTCTTCCGTGCATTTGTAGATCTGCTTCGCCATTCCAACAGAGAGGCACCTATACCTGATACGCTACAGTTGGATAATGGGCGAATTGCGGATTTACGCATGAAGTTGCTCAGTGCTGTCAACATGCACATGTGCATGCATCTCTTAAATGTAGTTGATGAAACGGTAATCCCACCGAAAATACCTGTCAGCGACGGCCACGCCTACGCACCTTCTCAGGTGGAGTCTGACTCGAGCACAATCGAAAGCAACCGTAGGCTCGCCCATGTGCGTTCCACTTTACATGCGATTGTAGACGACTACTCGAATCCCGACATCGACCCATCTCCCACGCCAACCTCATCGCCGTTGAATTTTGATCCATGGAAGGTTGCTGCTCCCGCACTGGCGCTCGAGATACTACGAAAAGCCAATAGGTCTCTTTCTAATCCATACTTCGAAACGTCCTTCGTCGATGCATTATCCAACCCTTCAAACCAGGACTTCAGAGAGAGCGAACGTGCTATATTTGAAGAATTGGGGGAGCTTGTTCAGTACTATGTGGACGCATGGCAACCACTTGACATGGTGGCTTTATACAAAGTGGCTCCAGTATGTCCTAGGGGGTGTAAGATACATGGCAAACCCAAGGAATTCGAGCCTGTGGAGGAAATTGCGAGGCTCATAGCTTATTTGGGGATTTTGCACTGGAATGTTTGGGGAAATATCGTGTACTTGGTTAATCCACACGAGCATCCCAACCACTCGAGTAGGATAGACTGGGATACTGTTGAATTGACCAACGGAAGTTAGTCTGTCAACAATCAGGATGGATATTCCAGCAGCATTGACCCCCGGTTGATGAAGTGGCAGATACTCCTATCAATCAACGAGAGGGCAGGCTGACGGTCACAATGCCTGACGGCTGCGAAGGGCCTTCCAAATAAAACAGATCGATACCTGCCAATCGCACAACCCAGGAAGTCGCCCGCGGCAAACGACACAACAGAAGTTTTGGCGTTTAGTAAGGGGATAGAGGGTTTGGCTCTTGAATCCCGACAGAATTTGTCGATCAGACTCGCTATGCCATTAAGCACGATCCGCAGCGGAGGTCTCCTCAATGGAATGCAGTCTGACACATTTGTGTCAGTTGTTTTGTCAAATGCTTTGGCGTGATGTTTTTTTTTGCCGTCGCATAGCAACGCCAATATCTTCGTATGGCTTACACGGGAGTGATTCATACACTGGATTTTACGGTTATTGAACTGATAACCAGGAGCTGCGTGTATTTATGGTGTGCGGTAGTGTGGCCTTTCATGGCTGTGTATTCTACCGATGGATGATGTCAGATGGCCACGAATGACTGTCTTTCCTTGGGCGCGGAGATCCTATAGGCCAGATTATTTTAGTTTTTGAAAAGCGAGAGACTGTCAGAACTCTTGAGCATTATAATAGCTCTTTAAGGAGAACAAAAAGTCGAGGGGGTGTGTGGGCACAATATGTGAGACGATGGAATAAATATTTACTTCTTTTGTTTTAACCAGGTAACAATACATAACTTTTCGTAATTTAATCTGCTTTTGATAAGTTATTATCTATTGAGAGACATGAGTTTGAATTTGTACACCGTTGTACACATTTGATTCCCCCTATTGCCCCTGAGCAGGCCGTGACTGATGTGGTCGTCGCCGTCCGTGCCATGCCGCTTTCAAGCGACGCCACCCTATCAGAATCCAATGTGATATCCGCATTCGACATCGACAACGTCAATACCTCACACGAAAGGCTGAACCTCAGCCTCTGAACCCACCAACACCCCCCGTCCGACAACACCACAAATCCACGGCGACAATGCTGCGATAGAAATGCGTGGCCAAAGCTAGCAAACAAACCCGGTCGAAGAGCTAGTTATTATGAAACGCCACGGCGCCAACGGCGAGAACAATGGCCTCCTGGGCGGCAGCGACTGGGAGGAGTTGAACGAATACCCCAGCCGCGCGGGCTCTCACTCGCCCTCTCTGCGGAGCGATGATGCTGCGAACGCGAAGGAGGACGAGACAAGGAGCGCGTCGCGCACGCGGCCGACCCCGAGGACGCCTATGAAAGTGCACTTCGATATCCCCCGCGACGACGACTCGCTCGCCGAAGCGGGCTATATGAATGGAGGAGACGCGCATGAGGGGAGAGGCGGGGCTATAAGGAATTCAGACCATCTAGACGATGATGATGATCGTCACGATGACGACGAGGGCCACGATGCGCCGCTGCTCCCCAGCGCAAGCACTCCGATCGACTCTGCGTTAGAGAACCCAGATGATCGCCCGACGTCGTCGCTGCAGGCTGCGATCTCGAATATGTCGAACTCGATTCTGGGCGCGGGGATAATCGGGCAGCCGTACGCGCTGAAAGAGGCGGGGCTGGCTGCTGGTGTGACGCTGCTGGTAGTCCTCACTGTGGTCGTCGACTGGACCATCCGGCTGATTGTTATAAACTCCAAGATGTCGGGGCGGAATACATTTCAGGGGACGGTGGAGTTCTGTTTTGGATGGTGGGGACTGCTGGCTATTAGCTTTGCGCAGTGGGCGTTTGCGTTTGGAGGTATGGTGGCGTTTGCGGTGATTGTGGGGGATAGCATTCCGCCGGTGATCGAGGCCATTTGGCCAGGTATGAAGGATATTAGATACCTGGGATGGTTGGCAGGGAGGTCGGGCGCGATTGTGGTGTTTATTGGGTGTATCAGCTGGCCTTTGAGTTTGTATAGGGATATTTCGAAGGTTAGTGCAGACCCTGGATTTCTCATACGAGAAGCTACTGCTAGTGGCCATGAGAACGAGAATGAGAACGAGAATGTAGCTAATTATTCTCACACAGCTGGCAAAAGCGAGCACATTGGCGTTATTCAGTATGTTGGTTATCATCGGAACGGTAGTAACGCAGGGATTCTCAGTCCCCGCCGAGCTACGAGGAACGTTCGATTTACCACTCTGGACCATCAACGTCGGCATCTTCCAAGCCATCGGCGTAATCTCCTTTGGTGTGCACCCCTTCCCCCTCGCTACCGCCCCTTTTAATAACCCATCTAACACCCCCCAGCCTTCGTCTGCCACCACAACACCCTCCTAATCTACTCCTCCCTCTCCACGCCCACCCTAACCCGCTTCTCCCTCCTCACACACATCAGCACCATCATCTCCCTCTTCGCCTGCCTCGCCATGGCCCTCTCCGGCTTCCTCACCTTCGGCTCCCTAACCGACGGCAACGTACTCAACAACTTCCCCAACTCACCTCTCGTCAACCTGGCCCGCTTCTGCTTCGGCCTGAACATGCTCACCACCCTCCCCCTCGAAGCCTTCGTCTGCCGCGAGGTGATGGTGAATTTCTTCGCCCCCTCCGCTGCTGCCGATGCACCTATTATGGACTCCCACGACTCGCCCGCCCACGACACCAGCACCGTCGTCCATGTCGCGCTGACCACTGGATTGGTCTGGGGCGCGGCGCTCATCGCGACGCAAGTATGTGATCTTGGCACGGTGTTTGAGATCATTGGCGCCACGTCTGCGAGTATTCTGGCGTACATCCTCCCGCCGCTTTGCTACCTTAAGCTGAGCAAGAAGAAGGACTGGCGGAGGCCGGTGGCATGGGGGGTTGTTGCGTTTGGATGCACGGTGGCGGCGATGACGCTGCTGCTTTCAGCGGTGAAGGTTTGGACGGGCGAGCATGCTGCGGTTAAGAAATGCCATAGTTAAGAAGTGTAGGCAGAGTAGTTAGTCCATAAGTCAGGAAATATAAGGCGAAAGGACGGGTTTGATAGATGTTACAATATACGAGCGGCCGTTTTGACCTGTGTAGATTATGGATATTTTGGATGTAGAAACAATAGAAAACGGCTTACTGCCAGGTTGATATCTCTAATATTTCTTGAATAAGTCCTGTTAACACTGAGCATTTTGAGCCCATCATACTAGAACGCGTCGACCTGTTCGAAGATCTCATAGAAATCGGCGAGGCAAAGATATCCACAACCCTCGGACATATCTCAGCCTTGTGATTATTGTGGCGCATGGTCGCGGCGTATATCAGCACCTCAAATCAAAGCAGCTTGCCAATTTTGGTTATCGTATAATGACACGACATCGTATTTACTGGGCTGTATCTCGACCTTGGCTTTTGACTCAGCCGTCTTTCCTATTAGGCAAGCTGGTCGCAGCTTAGCAACAGCTGATTTCACGATCCCACGGCACAAGTACATACTGGCAGCAGGCCAAAAGAAATATACAAAAATGAGTAAACCATGGATCGATTCTCAAATCAGCGAACTCATCGCCGAGCACGGCACCGTCCCTCCCCCCTACATCAAGCACCCCAACATCCACCCCCTTGAAATCTTCTGGCGCATGGGCTCTGGCGAGAGCTACATCATGGTATATGGTACCTGGTGGGAGCGCCAAAAACCCTTGATGGACGAGACGCAAAAGATTGAATATTTCCGGCAATTCCCGCCGCCGCCGCTGTGGCTGACTTGGATGATTGATCTGCTGTGGGTGCCGGAGGATGAAGAGATGGATTTAGATCCTGAGGAGGCGGATTACTTCAAGTATTTCTTGCGCACGAAGGCGTTGGGGTTTGGGACGGAGGATGAGTGTAAGAGGGCTTGGTTTTTGCATAATGAGGAGATGGAAGCAGAATTGGATAAGGAGGAGGAGGAGAATGAGTAGGGAGAGGTCACAGCATATGGCAGATATAGAACTTTACACAAGAAAAGGGTTCAAAATAATGCCTAGCACAAGACTGAGAATATAGAATCCACCCCCTCCCCACAACGCAACTACAAAAGTATCCCATGTCGCACCCTCGGTAGCAATCCCGAGCCTGACGCCTGCCGCAATGAAGGTATAAATAATATAATACAAGAACCCCTTCATCTCCCAACCCCTCTTCCCATCTCAAACAACTCGCGGCCCCTACCTCGGCACAACACTGCTCACACTAGCACTCCTGCTCCCCCCCGCCACACTCCCAGCCGCACTCCCCTCCTCAGCCTGCCTCTCCAAAAAACCCGTCCACAGCTCCGCCAAGCTCTCCTTCGGCGCACCCTGCAGATCAGGGAAGAACTCGGCATTCAAGCTTGGTGTGCTGGGCGTACGGTGGAACGGGCTCTGTGGGAGGCGTAAGGAGGATCCTGCGGTGCCGGGACGCGCGAGACCGGCTTGCTCTTTTTGCTCTTCGGTCCAGGAGAGGAGGGAGGCGATGACTTGAAGGATCTGGAATTTCTTGGGGTCGGAGCGGTCGAGGGCCAGGAAGCGGAGGAAGTAGTTTGTGACGATTTGGCTATAGGATGTTAGTGTGTTATTGTTCTGGGATAGGGGAGTATGGAAAGGGGGAGAGTGGCTAACCGGTCAACGTTATCTTCTGGCTTGGCTTTCTTGAGGAAGCGGAGGGCCTTGGCGAGGTGGTCGTTAAGGACTATAGCCTCGTGACGTAGCTTTCCGAGGAGGATGTTCTTCTCCTTGACTTCCTTCTCGAATGGCGCCAATCGCTCCAGCTGCGCCGTCAAGTTCTCATTATCCGCCTCCGCCGCCGTCGCTCTCATATCAGCTTCAGCGACGACCTTGTTGAGTGCCTCAAGCTGCGCCTGCGTCGTCTCCACCATCTCGCGGAGCTCGACCCTACGCGCCTCCTGAATCTCCTGCAGTGCCCTCTGCAGCCCATCCACAGCCTGCGACTGGCTATCCCGCTCCGAAGCCGCGCGTTCAAACGACTCACGCTGCGTGGATAGCTGGTCCTCCAACTCGGCGACGCGGTCAGCTAGGCCCTCGCGGATAGACCGCTCCTCCATAGCCAGGACCTCCCAATCTCCCATCGCCTCCTTGGCCGCCTCAGCCTCCTCCCTCAGGTGCTTCGTCTGGGTCAGCAGGTCCTCGCGCTCGCGAAGCCAGTTCTGCTGGGACAGGTTGCTGCGATTCCGCAGCGTGGAGAGCTCCTTCGAGTTCTCCGATTCCTGGGCCGAGAGCTGCGTAACCTCCTGCTCCGCCTTGTCAGCCGCAGCCTTGAGGGCCGCATTCTGCGTCTCTAGCTCCTCAATCTGGTCTTTCGCCTCGGACAACTCCTGCCTATCAGCCGCCAGACGCTCCCCAAGCGTCGACTTGATCGTGTTCACTCTGCCCAAGAGGTTCTGGTACTGCGACTGCGCCTGCTCCTTAGCCTGCTCGCTCTCCTCCAGCTCCGAGTGGACAGCCGATAATTCCTCCTTGTGCCGCTCCTGGATGTCCTCTAGCGACCTGCGCAGCGCCTCGACTTCCGCCCGCAGCGCCTCGCGGTCCTGTGACATGGCTTCGAGGCGGACACTCGCATCTGTGGTGTCGGAGGCGTTGCTCCCTATGCTCTCGTCGGGGGCTTCTCGTGTGGGTGACACGTTGCCTTGTTTCGTATCTGCGGGGGATGCGTGGCCATTCGTATGCCCGTCCGTTTGCCCGTTCACTTTGGCGTCGGCCGTCTCGTCCGATTGTTCCGCTGCGGCGGATGTGGTCTGTAAATTCATCAGCGGGGGCTCGTCGAGGCGCTGGTGGACAGGTGGCTTCCGTACCACAACTGGGGAATCGGGCTGTGCCTCCTCATCCTCCTCGTCTTCAGCAGGGCCACTTCCGTTTGCTGGCGTAATTGATGGCTTAGCCAAGTCGCCGTTGAGTTTCGACTTTGACTTTTTCTTTTTGTTGGCCTTCTTCTTCGGCGCTGCGGGTCGTGGGGGTCAGCTTTGGGGGAGTCTTTTAAATTGGCCGGAAATGGCGAATTGTAGGAAAGGCAGGCGAAGGGGAGCAGAGAGATTGACGACGAACCTAAAGAAGAAACCTGTGGGTTATCTGAGGGCGCAATGGCGGACATGATTGCTGATGTCTGAAGACTGCCAGAGCATCGTACTGTACAGCGGTTGTCGTACTGTATACAGCGGACTTTGTTTCGTTATCAGGACAACTCGTAACGGGCCAGCTCGCTTCGATAAAGTAAGTTAGTGCCGACCTCCCAACTTCCCTGTCCGCTGAAACAGACGAATCGTCGCCCAGCCTTGCACACATGGAACTTCGTATTGCGTTGCGTGACCATTTTACTTCCTAAAATAAAAAATACCAACAAATAAGCCGTTGCTACCTACGTCTTGACTACCTAGGTGATGTATTGCCTTTGTAAGGCAAATACACTCAGGCAATTCATACGCAATGTTGCCCATATAGAAGTGGAACCGGCTTTTCGCCATGCCTTTCCAAGATCGCCATTCGAGAAGTCGAGACGGGGATTGAGCACTTTCAACGCTCTGCGCATGCAACAGACCTCACGTCACTTGCAAAAGTCGACAGACGGGGAAGGTGAATCCTCTGCATATACGGCTACACCCACTTCCGAGAGCGACAAGGCCACGCCTTCGCAAGAGGGCAGCCATGCTCCAGCGCCAGCTTTTTTCGAAATTACACCAGATATAATAGACCAATTGGCAGCAGGGGCCGCAAAAGACGCCCCAAAAAGAGTCGAACAGCCTCTTGAGCCTCTCGAGCGCGAATACCGGGAGCGGACACCTGAGCGGCGCACAAACAGGAGGGAAACCCCTGACAAATTTGCGAGGAAACCTTTTAACAGAGCAGCTCCCGTAAACCCATACCAAGACGACTCTTCCGCCCCTCGAAAGAACTTCCGCTCCAAGTACTCAGAGGACCCGGAAGTCCCCACCCGCTTCCCCAAGAAGACCACCAAAAAAGAAGAAGACGACTGGACCCCCCCCCCGCGCCTCCCCTGGCAAAGCCAAAAAGCCGCCCTCCAAGAAAAATTCTCCGAAGGCTGGGCCCCCCGCAAGCGCCTCTCCCCCGACGCCCTAGCCGGCATCCGCGCCATCAACGCGCAGTTTCCCGAGCAATATACCGTTCCCGTGCTCGCGGCGAAATTCGAGGTCTCGCCTGAGGCTATTCGAAGGATCCTGAAGAGCAATTGGAGGCCCGATGAGGAGGAGGAGGAGGATCGGAAGAGGAGGTGGTATAAGAGGGGGCAGCAGGTGTGGACGAGGTATGCGGAGTTGGGGCTGAAGCCGCCGAGGAGGTGGAGGGATGAGGGGATTGGGAAGAGGGAGAAGGGGTGGAAGAGCAAGGATAAGGAGGAGAGGGATAAGGAGAGGGAGACGATGAGTACGACTTGGAATCCGAGGTTGACGAGGAAGCCGGAGGGGGATGGGTTTGTGTGATTGGAATAAAGGGGGGGACGTGTATGGTATAGGAGGAATGCATTTATCTGGGCGCAAGGGAAAATTGTTGTAGGATATTATGTAGGATATTATTGTACGATATTGTAGGATATGGATATCAGCGGTCCGCTTGAAACAAATATATAAGAACTCAAGTTTATATGGCCGACGCCTTTAATTCTTCTAATCGCTAGCTACCAAGCACACATATCTATCACAATCTACTGGATGTACTTCTTCAGACCCCTCAGTCTCTCCTTAGCCGTGTCCAAAACATCATCATTCTTGCAAACCGCGAATCTCAGATAATCCTCCGCCAAGTGTGCATTCTGCTCAGTATAAAACTCCGTCGGTGGAATCGCCGCTACGCCCACCTCCTGGATCAAAAACCAGCAGAGCTTGAAGTCCCGCGGCCTGTTCGCAACATGGGCAGGGAAGGGGTAATCCTCCGGCAGCTTGACCTTGCTGAAGTTGACGAGAACGAAGTAACCGCCCTCGGGCTCAGAGTAAGGTAGGCCAAGCTCGGGCCAGATCTCATTGAAGCGATCCATCTTGGCCTTCATCTCGGCCTTGGCTTCGGTCCAGAACCCGTTCTTGTCGGCCTCGTTGAAGCCGATGGCGCAGGCCTCTTGGAGGGGAGACACGGAACTGTAGCAGATACGGGTGTGGGCTGCGGCGACGTACTTGATGAGGTGGGGTTGACCGATGAGCCAGCCGACGCGCCAGCCTGTGGCGTAGAAGTTCTTGCCTGCTGAGCCGACGGTGAGAGTTAGGCGCTCGATTTCGGGGGAGAGAGTGGCGATGCGGGTGAATGGGACGTAGAAGAGGCGGTCGTAGACTTCGTCGGAGAGGATGATGATGTTGTTCTCGACGCACAGCTGGCCGATCTTGAGGAGCTCGTCTTTGGAGAAGACTTTGCCGACGGGGTTGTGGGGGGTGTTGAGGACGATCATCTTGGTCTTGGAAGTTACGGCGGCCTTGAGCTCGTCGAAGTCGATCGACCATTCTCCTGCTGAGGAGGTCTCGGTGGCACCGTTTACAGGTGGGTGGAGGGGGACATATACGACCTTTCCGCCGGGCATGGCGATGTTGCTGATGTATTGGTCGAAGAAGGGCTCGAATACGATGACCTCGTCTCCTGGCTCGATGAAGCCCATGAAGGCACTCAGCATGCCTATGATCATAAGCAATTGTAGGTGTAATGGACATTAGTTTGCATACCCTCATTTGCACCAGTGGTGATTGTGACCTCAGTGACAGGGTCGATTTCTCTGCCCCAGAAGGGAGAGTAGGCATCGGCGAGTGCCTTCTTCAGAGATGGACGACCTGTCGTGGGGGAGTATTGGTTGCACTCGACTCTATCCAGGGAAGCTTTGGCAGCATCTGTAATGAACTTGGGGGGGTTGTATCCGAAGAAGCCCTGCCCCATGTTGACAATTGGCTGCTTTGGAGACGCGGCAGCAGCCTCATTCACAATTGTCCTGCTCAGGTCAGTATGGATATAGAATCTAACCAGGCCGAGACGTGAGGAATCACAGGCAGCTCGAGGAAGCACCAAACATACCACACATCTTGTCTGTTATTGGAGACCCTAGCCGCAGGTAGCAGCTTCGCTCTGTTGTCCATCGTATTGCTGAAGCTTCTCACAGCCAGGTGCGTAGTTTGTGTATGTTTGTTGTTTCTCAATGCAAGAAAGCTGGAGAGAATGGGAGAGCTTCGTTGAAGTTTCATGAATAGCTCTCCTGTTGGAAAGGTTCAGAGCAAGAGGAAGCAGAGGCGCGACGAGGCTGTGATGGCGGGGAAGAAGAGGAGGTTATTCAACTGTCAAGAGTAAGTCGTGAGTAATTATAAGAGGGGTCATACACGACGGTAACTTACGGCTTTAGAATTCTAGTTCCGTAGTCATCTACCAGCAATGCAATTGGACCATTAGCTCTTGCGCAATCGAGTTGGGGTAACATGGCGGGGTATGATGTCCTAAGGTCCACTAAATGGAGGCCGGAATCGGCGGAACTATGTTGCCCAGAACCACGCAGGGTACAGCCGAACACCCTTAACCTGTCAGCCTTGCGTTGTTGGCTTCAGGCTGCGGAGCTACGACTTACCTTGCATGGTTGCTTCAGCTTCATCATTGTGTCCACGACTATTGTATATACGCTTGCCGCCAGCTTGCCGCCAACTTACTGCGATTGAGCCACCTCTGATACTGCTTCGACTTTATACTGCTATCATAGATTGATAAGCATTGCATGCGACACCCCCAAGCTCTTCCACCGGCCACGAGGCCGCAACATCCTCTCTCACCTCCACCGTCACCGTGAGGACCGCGACAAACACACAACCATGGAGGAACCCACCACCACCACCCCGCCTCCCAAGGCCGAAGCCCCCTTTCCGCTCACAATCCGCTTCACGACCTCCCTCCCTGACCTGGACCTCGACATCCCCCTCCCCAGCCGCACCACAATCATAACCCTCAAATCGCTCATCCGCGCTGCCCTCCCCCCTTCCCACTCCCCCAACCGCCTCCGCCTCATCTACTCCGGCCGCCTCCTCCCCGACGCCTCCCTCCTCACCACCGTCCTCAAACCACCACCCCCTCCCCCGCCCCAAGCAGACCGAAAAGGCAAAGCCCCCGTCCAGCCCACACAGCGCATCTACATCAACTGCTCCATCGGCGACGCCCTCTCAGCCGAAGACCTCGCCTCCGAAGCCAGCAGCGCGCGGGCCCCCTCGCCCGCCGCCCCTGTCGCTGCTCCCACCACGACGGCGGCGCAGCCGCGCGGTTTCGACAGGTTGCTGACGAGTTCGTTTACCCCGGCGGAGGTGGGCGCGTTAAGGCTGCAGTTCATGGCCGTGCAGGCTTCGATGCATACGCCGGATACGATGCCGTCGCCGACGACGCTGAGGCGGATGGAGGATGCGTGGCTGGATGATAATGGGAGTGGGGGAGGGGTGGCGGAGGTGGAGGCTGCGGGAGGGGCGTTGGATGATTTGCTGTGGGGGCATGTGATGGGGTTTTTGTGGCCGTTGGGGGCGTTGGGGTGGTTGGGGAGGGAGGACTGGGCGTGGAGTGAGCGGAGGAGGATGGCGGTTTGGAGTGGGGTGGTGTTGGGGATGGGGTTTGGGTTGATGAGGATGATGGGGTAGGGGGAAAGGAAAATTGTACAGTGTGTACTCTATGATGGATGGGGAGAGGGAGTTTGTATAATATGGCAGCGTGGCATTGGGATTGGGTTTGCGTGGAGTTTATGGGCGCTTGGAGCTGATGTTTCTAGAAGGGTTCTAGAAGGACTCTGATGAGAAGCGCGTCTGCGAACCACTGTCAAATCCCATGTATTATGGGGCCTAGGGAGCGCCTGAGAGGTGCTCTGGTAGCATAAATTATGCACAGTTACAAACAGGTATCAACAGGCGCTTCGAGGATCTTGTGCAACAGCTCAGACATATCACCACCGGCTTCCCCGAGAGGGACGAAAGTGATATTGTCCGAGGGTATGAAAGTCACAGTACTAGAGTATCAGTTATGACGTCTGGCGCCTCTGTTCTCCATGCATGCTCGCGGTGATCGCCTGGGATCGATGCGGTGCTAGGTCTCACATCGCCTGAAACGAGAGAAATTGCAGGGCTGGCAGTGGAATGAATCACTCTAGTCGCGGCCGCCAATGACGGAGATGAGCAGAAGGTATTATTGTGTGTCTTATGCGTACTGTGTACTCTTTGCTATGGTATTGGTCAGTAATTTATTATTGACTTTTTCTTGGTTTATTATCGATTTATTATTGATGTGATTGATGGTGGTTGTGTGAGAACTGGAGTCAAGCCTTCTCCTGCATTCTTGCGGATTCTTATTGCTGCTTGTTGCTGTACCTAAGAGGCTTGGTAATCGCTGTTAGCGGGCGAAGGAGAAGGGGATTGAAGGGTGGAGACCCTGTTTGCGGTAGTTCGGGTGCTGCTTACGGTGCGGAGAAATGGCGAACCCCCTCGTCGTCGCTCCTTTCCCATCGTAAAGAGCCCTGTAGACACACAAGGTACTTACAGTACGGTAGTACAGTGGGTGTGTTGCGTGGTACCGTACATGCCCTGTGAGGTTGGTGGCGGAAAGGCCGTCTAGGCTCTAAATTTAGCGAATGACCGAGCCACAAACCCCCGTGATTTGTGCTATTCGTCTATTTGTCTCTGTGTGTGCACTGTTGCTGTTGGCTCGAGCGAGTTTCAAGGTTTCAAGGTCTCAACTCGCCATTTCCGCCGCATGATGCAAGTCTAAGACCCGAAGGGCTCATGACATGACGACTCACACTCTCTTCTGACCTTGGATCAGCTACTTTCGCCGTCGCCAGCTCGTCACTCTTCATACCTTCTCGTCGCCTTTCTTGCATTCACGTTCTCTTCAAACTATACAGTACTCCCAGCAGTCTTACACCCCGCAGCTTCTTGCTCAGCCTTACGACTACGCCGCCTTCCTCGTGGTCTATGACACAACGATCGACCTCACAGCATTCCAACTACGCCTCTTCGCGTGCTACTACACGCTCGACCTACTCGAGAGCATCCCGTCGCTTTGACTCGACAGCTCTGAAGCAAACCGTCCTGCCCAGTGACAAAGCGGAGCACGCTGCGCTCTCAACGCACACACGACCCTTCCGACACACGACGATACACCCCGACCAACCCAAACAAAGCAACCATGAAGGAAATACCTGAGCACCAAGACTCGCCCGACGAGACCACGGTCCAGCCCACACCACCAGACAACATGGTTGAAGACACCTCAATCGAGGATGCCCAGCCCTCCCACGAGGACAGCCAGAGCTCGCTCCCCCCACGCATCGCCGCGCGCTTCTACCGGCCCTCGTCCAGCCGCCGCAAGTCGTCCGCCGCGTCGTCACGCCGAAACTCCATATCATCCATGCACTCACACCACTCTCACGCCTCAAACCTCTCTCTCCACGGCGGACCGCAGAGCAACCACATCGCGCAGCACCTGCGCCGCGCGTCGATCATCGAGGACCGCCGAGCGCGACTCGCCGACCGCGCCGCACATGCCGAGAAGGTACGATTGCGCGCTGCGCTGGCCAAGGCGGCGCCGCGGAGCACGAATAACTCGGAAGAGCGCGCGCTGGCGGCGCAGCAGGCAAGGGAGAAGAATTTAGCGGAGATTGTGGCGAGCTGCGCGGAGGAGGTGAAGAGGGCGAAGGGGATTGCGGAAAGTATGAAGGAGAAGCGTGAGGCGGAGGGGAAGAAGTTGAGGAGGCATATGGAGGAGAGATTGGCGGAGGCGGAGAGGAGGAGGGAGGAGATTTTGAATCGTGGGCATGGACATGGGAAGAGGGGGAGGACTTCGAGTATGGCGAGGGATTCGTCGCCGAGCGCGAATAAGTGCCTCTCGCCCATGCCAGAAGCTGTGGAACATATTTCTGAAGATACGGCTGCTAGTCGTATCCAGAACTCTTGGAGGACGCATATACGCTGGAAGGCCTTGAAGGAGTTTACTGAGCTTGGGTTGACGATTGAAAAAGCTCGGGATACTTCCTTTGAGGATGTAGTGACCCTGCTGGCTCAAGAGAAGGTCCTCCTAAGCACTGCTCAGATACTTCGGATATGTGGTCTGAAGGAAGGGGAGAGCGGGTCTGTCAACGAAATGACCGCAGTGCGGACATTTCTCAGCGCGTTCCTCATCCTCGGACATCCGACTCAAGTTTTGAGCAGTAAAGGAGGTAATGGGGAGCAAGAGCAGGTGGGAGCGGCCCCAAGCGCGCCTATGTGCCGTGATGACCTTGCTAATCCACAGTTACAGGAGCTTGTTGCGAAGGCCGGGGATCTACTCATATCCTTCGAGAACGTTATATCGCGGTTAACTGCCTTCAATAACTATACCCCCCCGCCCAGACAACTTGCTCCGTTGTCGGAGTCGTATGCGACGTTTTACAATGCCTTCATTGCGTGGAAGGCTCGCGACTCTAATACGCTGGTTGACATGATGGTCCTGCAGTTTGTTGAGCTCGACGCTATATGGGAGACTGTCAAGGACAGCACAGAGGAGGCTGTGACGGCCTCATACCGTGATGGCATCCGAGCGAACCAGCTGAAACTCATGGTCAGAATCAAGAAGTTGGCAGGCCCGGTGCATGGCAAGCGCCTTATATCGAATGCCATCAAAGAAGCCCGGAAGGCAAGGGCAACCAAGCCGACGGGAGATTCTCGCCCGAGAGCAAGCGTGATAAGCTCAACTCCGACGCCTGATCTTCAAGAGTTAGCGAAGTCAGAGCAGACGGTAGAGAAGCACCTCCAGACTATGACACCGCCGGCTACGCCTACGCGGACGGCACCTGTCGCCGATGCGAATCACGCGGAGCGCCTCAGGACGGTGCAATCGTTGCTGCCTGACAACCGCAATGTCATCCATGAACTGGCGATCGATAAGGAGTATCGTATCGCTATGGAGGATTGCTTGGAGCAGCGCGGTGTAGTCAACCGCGCGATCTTCGACGCTATGCGCCGGGAGGTCGCTGCTGGCAACAGTGATCCTTGGACTCTGGCCATGGCCGAGAACATCAAGGGCAAGCTTCACAGGCTGCTGCAGCCAAACACGTCGCTGCACAACTTGATAAGTGGTGTCTTGGATGTTGACGTTGTCCGCCAGGAGCTCCGCGCCGGGAGTTTCTCATACGAGAAGTTCTTCTCGTTCATGAGCACCATCTTGCCCAAGCTCTGCGCCCCGATCCGCGACGAAGAAGTCAAGGACCTAGTCCAGAATAAGCTTCAGAACGGAGACCTAGTCACGCGTCTCGAGGCATTGATGCATTTCATCGACGTAATGCAGCTCGACTACGCGAACTACATGCTCTCCGAGTCCTCCCCGGAGCTCATCAAACACGCGATCCCTTACGAGCAAAAGCACTTCGCCGATAGTCTCGAGCAAGGCGTACACACTCTCGAGCACACTGAAATGTGGTGGAATGCCGCGCGCACCAAAGTCCTTGACGAAACCGCACGCCGAGACCCGGAAGGCGTCAATCTCCCGCGCAGCCGCCCGACACCAGAGAAATTCTACTCCCAAATGCTCATTGATGTCTTCACCGATATCAGCGCGGAGTCTGGGCCGCATCTTCCTGAGACCCTGCAACTCGATGCGCGCCGCATTAAGCGCGTACGCGCGGATTTGCTGCGTATCCTCTGCGCCGGGGCGGTACTCATCCAGGCCAAGAACCTGCTCAAGCGCGACGTGCGCAGCCAATGGAAGACAGAGGCGTCGCGCATCCTCAGCGTCCTCGAGGGCGCTAAGTCGGCTGCCTCAGCAAAAGACGGGATTCAAGCTGCCCTTGAATCTTGCAGAAGTATGCCATCAGCCACCAAAGCGCATCTGCGCGAGCTAGTCGCCAGGGTGGCGGAGAATACATACGAGCTCGGCTTGATGGAGACAGCAACGCTGCGGGAGCCGGTCATGAGACTCTTACTAAAGAGGCTGAGGACCCACGTCCATGCCCGCGTGTCGGCAACGACAGCGAGCGAGAAGGTGAAGGCTACCACGACGGCGAGCGAGGGGCTCGCGACGCTGGGCTTGCCGGAGTTTGTGGCGCCGATTGGAAAGATTGTGGAGGAGATTGCGAGGGTTGGGGCGGTGGATCGGGAGGCGCATGCGTTGTGGTATGAGATTTTGGAGAAGAAGGCTGCGGCGGGGCAGGAGGATTTGGTGCGGGCTTAGGTTTTGGTTGGGAGGCTGGGAGGTTGGGAGGTTGGGAGGTTTGGGGGATCGGATGGGAGGATGGGAGGATGGGAGGATTTTGGGTGTTTTTATTGTTTTGGGAATGGCATTGGATGGTTGGGATTGGGAGGCGTTTGGGAGAGGGCGGCTTGGGATGGGCTGATTTAGATTCCCCTGGGTTGGTTTAAATTGTATGGGATGGGTTTGGGTTTGGCACTTTGGAAGGGGGGTGCCGATAGCGTTGGCATTTGGAGATTATAGAGAGATGGCTTGTTAGAGGCAGAGCGAAGAGCATACTGCAATATATTGCATCAGCGTTGCCAGTTGGCATTTCAAGTTGGTTTTTGTCTTGATGGAAATCTTTGTGGTGATTTTCTTATGGTGCAAAAGGGTCTTTCTAGACGCTACAGTTAACTAACCTTTCATATAAGGGTCCTGCAGATAAGCATACCTATATTATTAAGAACTATGATCTCAGTCCTGCCTCATGAATCTTATAGTGTGAAACCCGCAAACTATTATAAACAAGTATGTGCCAAGGCGAGGCTGCATATGTGGACCGCGCAGCAATTCGCCATTGGCCCGATCCACAAAGCTATGAAAAATAATTCACGTGACCTAGCGATTAGAGGAAATTTATTTCTCGCCAGCATCCAGCGATGATAATAAATCGCAACTCCCCCCAGTGAAATCCAACGCTCAAACCTCTCCAAGCGTGTCACCCACCCCACCATCACCTACCTGGCTCCGACCAGCGCTACCTACCTCCCATCACCACCTACGAAATTCTCCTCCCGACACACGAGACACAATGTCAACCAAGCGCAAGCTCCCCTCCAAACTCGCCGCCCCGGTGGTAAAGCCCGCGCGCACACCGAGCAAACAGATTCTCTCCGAAGCACGAGCTGTTGTTACCGGGTCAGCGCTCGATCTCGACTCTCCATCCGTCCAACTGAACGGCTCAAACCACCTCGATCTCACGCAACTCTCCTCTGATAACTCCTCCGACGACGATGATGAGGATGAAGACCCAGCGAACTTCCACGCCGAAGGCCCAGCAGACGACGCAGACGATATCTCCATGACCGACGCTGCCGAGCCCAGCTTCGGCGACCTAGTCCTCGCGCACACCAGCGAGCCCATCTCCGTCTCCTCCGCTTTCCCCTCCACCGCAAAGTCCGCGTCCTCTGCTCTCGCTGCTCCCTCGGGCGCTAGTTTGGGAGTCGCGCTGAGCCAGGCGCTGAAGACGTCTGACCACGCCTTGCTGGAGAGCTGTCTGCAGACGTCTGACTTGCCGACTATCCGCGCTACGATCCAGAGGCTTGCAGCGCCGTTGGCGACGACGCTGTTGAGCTTGCTTGCGGGGAGATTGCATAGGCGGCCTGGGAGGGCGGGGAGTCTGATGGTGTGGATCCAGTGGACGCTTGTTACGCATGGAGGGTACCTGGCGACGCAGCCGCAGGTTGTGGCGAAGCTGGCGGAGCTGAATAGGGTTATTGAGGAGAGGGCGAGGGGGTTGCAGGGGCTGTTGGCGTTGAAGGGGAAGTTGGATTTGTTGGATGCGCAGATGCAGTTGAGGAAGAGTGTGAGGGAGGCGAGGATGGGGGAGGAGGAGGAGGAGGATGAGGATGTGGTTTATGTGGAGGGGGAGGAGAGCGAGGCGGAGGTGGTGGAGGGGAAGAGTAAGAAGTTGAAGAGGAGTGAGGAGTTTGGGGATAGCGAGAGTGAGATGTCGGATGATATGCCTGATACCCTTGGCGATCGCATTATTGCAGATTCGGATGATGAGGAGGAGGATAGTGATGATGAGGGTGGACTGCTGGATGATGAGGCTGAGGAGACGGATGATGATAGTGGAGATGACGAGGAGGAGGTGGACTTTGATGACGCTGATGAGGATGAGGAGGACAGCGATGACGCTGCCGCCGCGACGCCTGTGCGCTCATCAAAAATGGCAAGGGTCAATGGCGTGTTTGGGAAGTCGAGATAAACAAAAGTGGTTCTTCATATTGCGATTGCAGCTAGACGGGGAAGGTCGGAGGGGGTGCATCGGATACCGGGGAATGTGTGAGAGCGTGAGAAAGGGGCGGATCGGGAGGCGTAATGTTATGCATGGGCCGGCGTTGTTTCTGCACTCGTTTTCTACGCCGTCCGATCGGAGAGGGGACGTTGTTCATATAGTTGGATGTGCGGCATTGCTGCATGGCATGTGTAGCGTTAGATGGGACTGGAATTAAGAATACGAAAGGCACTGTTTGCGGAAAGAAGGTCGTCTGTTCATTGTTTGAAAGTGAAATGCACAGAAAAAAGCAGGCAGAATTGTAGTAGCGACAATTGCTGATTTGCTGAAGGACAGTTCAAACTACGCTTGGTAAATAGACAAAGCAATATAACTTGAAACCCAGAACACCGTCCTTCCACCCACCGCCCTAGTTGAGAAATAGCATCCCTAATGTGCATCCGCCACACGCCCTCACCATTATAAGAATCTCCTATTGGTCCTGTACCGCGGCGGCGTATAAACCCTTTCAAACGGCGGTGGCCTCCCACTGCCACTTCCCCCCAGCCCCACGGGTCTTAAACTACACCAAATCTTCGCATGGATATTCTCCGCCTCTCCCTGCCCCTCGAAAAACGACTTAATAGTCCTATAATCCGGAAAGTCCCGCGCCTGTGGATCGTCCCCCCCATAGTGAAACATCAGTTGTGACGGAACCCTAAAGTCTGGCCGCATATCGCTGTCGATGACCGCCTTCTTCAGCGTCAATATCGTCATTTGATACCCGACTTTCAATGACAACATGCCCATTCTACCGTTCACCCCGTTGGTCGGCTGGATGCATATAGTCAGCGGGAACGACCTCGGGAGCCCCCCAGGCAGAAACGTCGGCGTAGCCATTTTGCGGAAACACTCGAGATGCGCACTGCGCACGCGCGGCGCCGGTCCATATCCCAGGTCCGCGAGCCGCGTACTTGAGGGCAGTTCCTGCGGCGTCCCGGGCCTGGCAAACCTGCAACGCACAGCGAGCGCGACGCCGCTGCTCCTGTCTTTCATCATGACACGCAGCAGATCTTTGAGGGTGGCGCTCATGGGGATGACGAAGGTGCGCATCTGGGCCACGGCCTCGTCGGCGGGGTTTGGTAGTGGCCCAGGCCAGATCCGCACGGGAATTAGGAAGGTCTGCTCTGGTTCTGTTGGCAGCTGGGGGACCGGCGCGGCTGGGCGATTGAGATTGATGTCGTGGAGCCAACTGTTCATCATGTCGATTTGGCGGATAGGCACCGGCTCGCTCCGCCGCGACCTCTTGGGTTCCGGCTCCGGCCCCTGAGTGGGCCGTTTTGGCGACCGTGGAATATTGGCCGCTGGAGGGCATTTGATGTTCTTCACTACCTTACCCCAGTCTGGCTGTTTTGAGGGTGCGCTACGGCCAGGCGGCGGTTTGGATTTTCTGGGACCCTTCCCATCGAGGATATCAGCGGGCTGCGTGAACTTGTCCCCTGGCCATGGTTTGTGGCGTACGACGGGCTCGGTTCTCCTCACAGGCGGCTGCGCTTGAGCCGTGCCACCGGGCCCCGCTGCAGGAGGCGCCCCGGGCTGATTATTGTTCGTGGGTGGATTCTGGCCCGCCGCCGGGCCACCAGGAGGGTTAACCGGCCCCTGGTTACCGGGTGGAGGGGGATTCTGTCCTGTGGCGGGGCCACCAGGAAGGTTACCCCCCTGGTTATTGGCCGTGGCAGGATTCTGTGGATCGTAATTAATCGCGAGATCGACCTGATGCCGCTGCCGGCGGCGCAGGTTCACAACCTCTTCCATTTCAGGGATCCGCTTAGGCCATACGGTACTCGGGAACTTTCCAAACCATCCATCGAGCATCAAAGTGTCGACGGGTTTGAGCGTTCCATATATTTTCGAAGATGTGGCTCCCCAGGGGTTGAAGTTTTTGAGGCCCGCTCGTGTCCTCCTGACCAATTCCACGGAGGTGGGTCGGAAGGCCGGGTCAAAGTGTAGACATTCGGCGACGAGGCCTCGCAAAACTCTGCTAAGTCTGATTTCCATTTCCAGATCTTCTCCTCCCATAGTTCTATGCCTATGTCGTCTTGTGAGGCGCGTCCGGGTAGGAGGATCAATATAAGGGAAACTATGAGTTTGCATTATGAGGCAAAACATTATGACCCCAACCTGAAAAATATTCGTGCATGCTCCGAGTCGTCGTTTGGGACGTGGAATCCTTCGTAGTTGTTCCTAAGTAAATCAGCACACTGAAGCAAAGCTAGCTAAAAATGGAAATGACCATACCGGCGCCCTATAAATAACAGTTCCGACGTCTTCATACTCATCCAAGTTTTTATCGTGATCTTTGTGGGGCCCGTTCCGTTCGTTGGGGAGAACCTGGGAGAGCCCAAAGTCTGAGATCACAACCCGCCTAGCACCGACGTGTTCATAACCATCAGTCACCGAAACCAGGGCGTTGTCGGGTTTGAGATCGAAGTGCACAACCTCATGCTCGTTCCCCCAGGGCTCCCTACGCGAAAACCGGGATTCCGAGTCCTCCTCATGCCCACGCTCCATAACCATGACCGCTTTGGATAAACAGTGGAACCACGACCACAGCATAGGCTCGTCGGTGAGGTCACCCCTGTAAGAGCTATCGTTGATGTGTTTGGCAAGGCTACCATACTCGCAGTACTCCATGAATATGCGATGCACCTCCCTCCTCTTCTGATCAACCGCTACCCGATCCTGCAGCCCGACATCGCGGTGAACGCGGCCATAGATTTTCGGGAAGTGTCTCGACCCCGTCCTGGTCAGCATTTCCATGATGAATGCCTCGCTGATCAAACCTTTATTAAGCACCGCGCTCGCCTGCTTGACAACGATATCGCGAATCTCCCTCTCCACATCTCCTATTTTATGTGGACCCGCTGCCACATACCGCCAGTGGCCAGCAATCCCGAAGCCGCCAGCCCCTAGGACACTGACAGGCTCCCATCCCTCCGGGAAGCTCTTGTTCCACCGATCCGAGCTAAATAGCCAGTCGTTAGCGCGCGGGTCAGCCTGGTGGATCTGACTCTGCGCTGAATCTCTGTATAAGCTATCTGGGGGATTCCCGACTTGGTTCCATCTGAAGGCGCTGATTTCGCGATCCCTGATTGCCAAGTAGTTCCTTGAGTTTACCGGAGTGGTCCCCCATTTCGAGTGTAGCCATAGGGCCATGTCGTATGATGTGATCCCCCAAACTTGGGTATGGTGTTGCTGGATAGGTCGATATATGAGAGGGCACGAAGATTGGTGATCTGCCAGAAAGGATCAGATTGAAAAATTGCAGAAAATGTGTCCAACTCCAAGCGCGTCCCCAGACAACTTTAATGCCACGAAGACAATGAAACAGCTCGGTGACTTTCCTTCCTTTGTGCCGCCCCAAAAAATCCTTTTATTCGAGTCCGCTCCACAGCAAACATTATCCGCAACCGTCAGAGGAACAAAGACGACTCGACTCGACAAAGAGGCACTCCCAGAACTTCTTTTCGGAAATATCGCCATTTTCAACCACAAACACACGACACTGATCCATCAACCACCCCTCTCCGGAACAGTCACATGTTAACGCCCCTTCAACCTCCCAATATCCACTCTAACCTCTTCAACCTCCCCCTCCATTTCCTCCCACACCCTCGCAATCTCCTTCATAACCCTCTCCTTCCCACCCTCTCTGCCAACCCCATACCTCTGTAACTCCCTCTCCGCACCCCCCCTCCGACTCTCCATCCTCACCTTCCCATCCCTCAAATGCTCCCTATAAACCTGCAACGCCCTGACTGCTTCAGGTCCATAGACGAGGCTCTCCGCGACTTTCCATTTCTGCTGCGCTTCTGTAGCGGTGGTGGAGCATGATAGGGATAACATCTCAGCGTGAGCGCGGGAGTGACGGGAGAGAGAGCCGTGGGTTGTTTGTTCGAGGATGCGGATTACAGCCGCTGCCTGCGCGGTGTAGAGGGCCAGTAACTTTACAGCCAGGTCGGTGAGGGTGGTGCGGTTCACCGCCAGGCGGAGACGAAGGTCGGTGACTTGATCACGCAGGGCGATGATAGATGTGGCGAGGCTAGGGATCTGACGATGTAGGAATGAGGGGTTGGTATGCGGATTCATCAGCCGCGTGAGGGGAAGTGCATGGGTCGTGAGGTGTGTGGAGACAAGGGCAGCAATGGCCTGGAGATTGGCGGGTAGGTTTGGGAGTTGAAGTGGGCTTGGGGATTTGAGAGAGAGGGTGAGTAGGATGATTAACTCCGTTAGCTCTGCGGGCAGTGGGATTTCCGCAGCGGGCGTGGATTGCCGACTTGATGATGTCTTTGATGGAGGCGGCGCGGGAGAGGTGAGTGGGAGATCTTCAAGGGCTCTCCGGAGGATCTTTTCGCGCGTGAACTTTAGACGGAGGATTTTAAGTTCCTAAACTTCCATTAGTAAAGCCCTCTTGTTAAAAATCCGAGGGGACGCACAGTAGCCACCGCATGACGCTCCGCCTTCTTAGGATGCTTCCTCGTCCCCCCATCCGTCGTAAGCACTTTCGTCACCAGCGTCTTGTGCAGAAGTGCGAACTTGGGGTTTGCCGCCAGGACGGCGCTGTCGATTGGGGGTATCATTGCGGTGTTTATGTGGGTGGCAGCCTTGCCGAGGGGATGGAGTTGTTTACAGTGGGAGCGAGGCTGGCAGGCGCGCGCGCGGTGAGGGAGACGCGCTGAGTGGGGATCCACAGCGGGTAGATCCGCTGGGGAGGGTGTAGCGAGGTCCCTGACGGCGATGATTTATAAATTTAACATTTCGCATTGTGATTTTGGGAGGGCGAGGAAAGTACTGGCTTCATGGAATTAAAAAGTACTGCTACATCAAATTAATCCATACGTACACTTCCCCAAGACAAAAACGCAATAACCCATCTCCACAAACGCGCATGTAACCCTCCATCCTCCATCCTCCAAACTAAGTATAGTCCCACATCCATCCCACCCCTCCTCCTCCCACCTCCCGCGTCAAAAGCCGAAAAAAGCTTCCCCCATCCCTCCCATCTTCCCACCCAAGCAAACATTCCCGAAGTAAGTAAGCAGCCACCAACCCCCCCCTTCCTGCACTCCCAAACTGCCGTGTAACCAATCACGCAAAGCACCCGACCACGGAACAACCGATGCACATGTGGGTGGTACATATATTCCCATGCTACCCATGCGGAGCTACTGCGCGGGTCGATAGATGGGTGCCGGGGGGAGGGAGGTTGGGTTATCGAACCAAAGATCCCGGGAATAATGTGGTGTTGGATATGGAATTGGGGGGGGGGTTGCGGCTCTGCGGAGACAGGGAGGGGAGGGTGGGAGTATATGAGGGGGGGATTTGGGGGGGTTTGGGCCTCGGTAGGTGATTCTTTGTTTTATCATTTTATATTTTTAGAAAAAATTGCGAGATTGGGATTCTTGAATCGGGGATTTTTTTTTGGATTGAGAGTGTTTGAGAATTGTTTCTGAGGGGGAATACGATATATGGTTTGATCATTCACTTGAGATTTACTGAGAATTTTCCTGAACTGGACGGTGGGAATCCAAGGGAGAAATAGGACTGGATCCAGAGGCTGTAGATCAATACTCACCACGAAGATACCCGGATTAACAGCACAGGGGAAATTGAGAAGCAGAGTTGGATGTTAAAATCTCAGGTCCATACTCACTTCATACTCACCACAGCAAGCACATATACAGACTCACCTATTTGGGCAAGGGAGATATTCCCAAGCAACATCTCGGTTTTCTCGGAAAGATATCCCAAAGATACCAACCCACCTTCTTGGACAAGGGAGACATTAAAAAGAAACCAACTCACCTTGTTGGATCAGAAGGACACTTCAAAGACACCACCTCACAACTCATCCACAACTCACCAACCCCGTCACCAACCATGGACCTCACTCCCTCCGCCATACCCCTCGCCGTCCACCCAACCGCCGCCTTCACAACTCTCCCCCCTCCCTCTCCACCACCACCAACCACACTCCCCTGGCCTCTCTGCCCCCTCAACCCCGCCACCCGAATCAACAGCCTCACCCCCGTCCTCAACCCCCACTGGCGCCTCGACCTCTGCAGCTCCCAAGGAACCCAATTCCACACCATCCCCCTCACTCTCCCTCTCCCACCACCCCTCTTCATCACCACCACAATCCCACCTTCATCCGCACACCCATCTCTGTCACACCTCCTTGATCTCCCTCAAGCATTCAGCCGCCGCGGCAACTCTATCCAGGGACTCGGGATCGCTCAGCATGTTCTCCGTGCCTTGGAGCACTATTCCGCCAAACACCCTCGGTTTGCAGAGACCTACCGCACCCTTCCCTTCGGCTCCCAAATCGTCATCTCGCGCCTTAACAAAGACGTTAGAAAATGCCACATCACCCTCCTCCGCAACACGCAGCTTGAGCACACGCTCCTCAACCCCTCCGCGCTAGCTGCGCTCGCCCCTGAGATCTCCGCCGGGGCCTGGCCAGAGGCGATCGACATCACATCAATGACTCTCGTGCGTCAGATACACGACAGTGTCTGCGTCGTCGCTCTCCCACATTCCGAGCCGGGGAAGCCGCAGGAACTGGTCATGAAAGCTGTGGCAGGTGATCCGAAGTACCTCTACCACGAGCTGATCTCACTGCTCCATCTCCCAGCGCATCCCAACATCATCCGCCCGCTATACCTGGCGACGAAGAAATGCGGGTTTGGCGGCAAGGTGGGTGTGGTGGGGATGCTACTCCCATTCCACCGCGCGGGAAGCCTTCGGGATGTGCTACCCCTTCGTTCTCTAACAGGAACATTGGCTTGGACTGATCAAATGCGCTGGGCGAAGGGATTAGTCGACGCACTGGTGCATGTTCTGCGCCAGGGAAGTTATTATTCGGACCTGAGGGTTGATAATGTGGTGCTTGCCGAGAACGGGGAGGCTGTGCTGGTGGATTTTGAGCAGAGGGGTGTGTGGGCGGGATTTTCAGCGCCAGAGGTCGCGTGTATCGAGAATTTAGCCATCATTGCGATGAGTGCTCATGGGGAGGTGCCGGAAGTTGTGAGGGCCGAGTATCGTGCGAAGATGGATCGGTTTTTGCCGGGGTGGAGGGACGTCGGGAGGGGGGCGCATAAGGGGAGGACCGAGGGGTTTGCATTGGGGTGGTTGGCGATGAATGCGGAGGAGAGGGAAGCGGCTATGGTTTATATGCTTGGTAGAGCACTGTGGTGTATATTTGAGGCAGTGGGAATGCCAGAGCGAGCAGTGTGGAGGCAGGGTGGAGAAGGCGGGGTAGAGTTCCCAGCGTATAGGAGGGCGGGGCAGAGGGAGAGGGAGTTGATTGATAGGTGTACGAAGGGGAGGGTGGAGGGGAGGAGAGAGCAAGGAGTGGTGAGGATAGGGGGAAGGATTGTGCTGAAGGATGGAGACGGGACGGAGAGTCCAGAGGTTGTGCAGCGGGCTGCGAAGGAATGGTGGGTTGAGGAGCTGGAGAGGGGAGAAAGGTTCTTGGAGGAGAGAGAGATACGGAGGGAGGAGAGGAGAGAAAGCGGCGAGGTGGGAGGGTTTTCTGTGTTTGGTGGGAGGCCGAGATTGGAGGAGGTGCTTGATATTTTGGAGGGTTGGGAGTGTGATGTGTGAAGTTGGCCGATTGGGTACCCGGGTAGGTGTTGGTGATGAACTCCACACCGGTCTGTGGTCCCCGAGATGCCGGGAGGAAAAAGGACCGGATTATGGTCCATTGGATATCGATTCACACCGGTTGGTGAAGCGGGAAGGAGCGAGTTCGTGAGATATTTTAATTGTGGACTCGAGGGCGTACTCGTATTGCTGAACACGGGGATTTATTGAATTAACGCGCATGTTTTGAAGCGAGGCTCGTTTCGAGAGTGAAGCTTGGGCTCGTGTGGGCAAATCCGCAAATCTCGGTGAAGATGGAGAGTTGCAATCGAAGCACTTGTCCCGTGTCCCACGCCCCGGTGAGAATCCTTTCTTCCCAACCCATGGGCGTCTCTTGCCGGCTCATATACTTGAAGTGACGGTGAGCATGACACATCATACTCTCACCACCCTCGCTCCTTCCTTCTTCGCTGACCGGTCTATAAAGCCGTTGAGTTTCACACGATCGAAAGCACGTGCCCCTCTCTGCTCTCTGCTCTCCGATCTATTGACGCTCACCGGTGTCCGTCAAGGTGGCATTCCGATTCATCTCCACATCCATCTCCATCGGTCTAGGCTTGGCCGACGGCGGAAATATCTCCGATCAGTGTCTCCGATTGGGGGAGGTACTCTGGATTAGCCAGCCGGTGAAGGAATCTGAGTGGAGTCGATGCATGGAGTGAGAGGACCGGTGTGTGCAGTGGGTATTGTCAGTGGCCATTCATCGACTTCAATGCTGTGGTCGTCGGTGTCATGCATATCTAACGCTGCGATGCACCCATGATGCACTAGTTTGTGGTTCCTTTGGATCCTTGGACCCTGAACTATATGAGGCTCTCTCTCTCTCCGGTCGAGTTCCCCAGCTCTCTCTCTCTCCGGTCGAGTTCCCCAGCTCCCCGTTCCCCGCTCCCCACTTCCCGTTCTGGTCATCCCTGACTCCCGCGCCGGTCCTTCCCTGACCCCACTGCGCCTCCACAGTGGTTCCTTCTCCCACCACCATCAGCACCGCCATCACCATCATCACCCACCACCATCCTTCTCATATCATCGAATTGAAACATCGTATATCCATATATCATGACCACCTGTTATGACCATCTATCACTGCCACGTCGCACAGAATCTAGCACTTGCCTTTCGTGACTACAAGTGCGAAAGAATTCCTTAATTTCCCTGCCCAGCCTTGTTGGCTGTAGCTGTCACCGTGCAGGGCGTATCTACCCACAGCATATCTATCTACTCAAGATCAGTAGCAAACCCGTCCATCAAGCATGCGTCGCCGGCTCTCCTCCTCTTTGACCGGCTCCATACAAGGTACTTTCCACTGCACCATGTAGTGTACGTACACACTCGTACCAAACATGCAACTACTGACAAAAATATGCAGATACTCACAATACTTCTAATACTTCTAATACTTATTATGCAGCCATCCCGGTTGGGTGTATGTGCGGCTGAATCACTTGCACTTCCCATCCCACACCGGTGAGCCAGCCTTGTTGTAACCCTGCAACCGGTGAGAATCAACCACATCAAACTTCCCCATCTACAACCAACACAATCCAACTCAAACCTGCACTGCCCAACCCCACGGCATTTGCGGCCAACAATCCACTTTCCTTCTCACCATGTCTTTATATCTCTCTCTCTGAAACACTTGATTGCTCTGTACTCCACAACCTCGATCACAATCACAATCAACCAACCCATCACCGCCTCCACTTCTATCGCCAGTCACTTTCTATTCCCAGCCTTGCTTGTCCTTGTTTTGCTTACTATCCCTTCCTTTCCAATTACCCTCTATTCCCCGGATATTGCCTACCCAGGTGCGACGCCACCATCACTGCCCTATCGTCCAGAGGCCGCGCACTGAGCCACTACAACTTCCTACCTGAACGGAGTACTCATGTCTAGTGTCCCCTCTGGCTTCGTTGCATGGTCCGACGTCTCATCCCGGCAGCGTACAGAAAGTAAGATGTCACTAGACCGAAACGGCCGTATCCCAATCCCAACTGGAGGTGACGTCTCAGCTAGAATGGTAAGCTACTCGCTATTCACTCTCTCACCGGCTCGTGATTTGATTCACTCCCTCGGCGATAGAAATATATATCTAAGCCTCTCCTCCCTTCGGTGAACGACATCAACTCACCCAACCTTCCCATGCTTCTCTATACATCATCACACCAACGACATCACTCTAACTCCATCCAGGCCAACCGCAAGAGAAAACACGACGTCGTCGTCGTCGACCCCTCCAACCCCCCCACTTCCAAGCGTCCTAGATCCATCCACCCACAGCACTTCAACCTCGCCAGTCTCCCCACAGACGAGCGAGTTCGCCAAGCAGCTACCCTACTACGCATGCCCGTGACCCGCCTGCGGTCAGTCATCTCCGACCTCGAGGAGGAAGAGCCTGAGCAGGAGCCCGAGCAGTTTGTGCCGTACTATGACTGGCCGCTTTCTCATCAACCCTCCAGAATGAAACGCGGAATGGGCCGGGGGAGGAGCACCCCGAAGCCTCGGTCAACTGGCTCGGTGGGCGAGAAAGCTGTGGGTGGGGAGGTGAACAATTACACGGGAGGACAAGGAGAGAAGACGGTGTCACAATGGAATGGGCAAATGGATGGCTCGTCGGAGTTTTCGGAACCTGCAAGCCAAGGCGGGAGAGATAGTACGTTTTGTTTCCCGAAGGAGGTTTTGGTGGAGTTTTTCTCAAATTGGTGCTCTGTGGACGACGAACCTTCACGGGGCAATGGATACGGTAAGTTGATTGGCGAGACTGGGAGAGGTTAGCTGATGGTGGTTTACAGAAAATCAATCGATGCTACCACCTGCTTCGGCTTCCGCACCACAGTTTGTGGGATCTCAGTTTATGGACACCTATCCTGAGAACTATGGAACCTCGATGGCTGGCCTCCCCTATGCCTATGACAGCAGTGGAGGCCATAATAGCTTTGCTATGGTATTTATTCCCAATGTTTCTCCTGTAGCTTAACTAACATTGCCAGGAAACGTCCTTTAGCTGTGATACCCCTGAATTCAGTGGTCCATGGATGCAGCCCCTCCAACAATACCAAGTGCAGACCCAACCCCATAAGCAAGAGATGACATATCTCCAGCCTCCTAGCTATATGGAATCCAACCTATCCTTTGCGAATAACAATGGATATCTCGAAGCACCACCCCCAGACTCTGGCTTTGTCTCCGATGCCAGCCTTCCGCAGCAGAAGTCAGAGACTAGACAAGGCTCAGACAGCGGTCGCAGTGTAGAAGACACAGAGTCCTCACTGGCTGGTGCACCAACGCGCCGAGGGCCATTCAAGAGCCAGTTTGACCGAGTTCAGACCGCGCAGACTCGGAAAGATGGGTGTTGCCTCCGCTGTCGACACCAAAAAATACGTGTATGTGTCTCCCTTTGCAATTCCAGATCCCTGGTGTTACATATCGCTAATGAGACCAGTGCATCCCGGACCCTGAAGACCCGAAAGGCGTCTGCCTCACCTGCAAGAATGTGAAGGCGGCCAACATGAAGGTGCAGAAGCCGACGTGCATCCGCCACAGGATCACAGATGTTCGCCTCTACAAGATGGGGCAGGTCCCTGGGCTCGAGTGGAGCCAGCGGTGGTCGAATCGGACGCTGAAGGAAATGGGTACGTGGGCGAGCGGAGAGACGATAACTATCCAGGTTAGCGAGGGGTATACGTCCACGCCACTGAAACTGGTGGTTTCCGAGTTTAGGCCTGTGAAGGGAGATGTGCTAGAACGCAGTTGGGTGAGCAGTGCGGGCGTGAAGAAGAAGGTTGCGATCCCTTCGTATGCTATCAAGGACCTGGCGGCGGCACGAGACGCTTATAAGAACTACATAAATCAAGGTGGACCAGAGTTCTTCCAAGGGGCTCTAGACCCTAAGGACAGGTTCCTTTGGATGACCTATAATATGGCCATTACTACCTCTAACGATCCGGATATTGTAAGTTGCTTTTCTTCTCCTCCCTAAACCGCGTCCACACTAACCTTCCGTAGCCAACGGTCCAACGCAAACTCCTCAGGATGGTTCTCCAACTCTGGGTTGCCATCCGCCTGAATACAAAGTCGACCAACATAGTCGGTCCCGAGACTCTCGGCATGGCCCCAGACATTTTCGATGCCACGCACCCGACGCCGGGCCGCATCCCCATTCCGCCCGTGATGGGTAACCAGATCGAGCTGATCCTATCCCGGGACATCCAAGACCCGCTACGGAACGACATTCTCGATGCGCTGCAAAGGCTGATATATTCCAACAAACCTGGGTGCTGGTTCACAATCTACTTGTGCACCTTCATATTGCTGCATAACTGCTCTATGATCACCAAGCATGACTCGGCATACGCTAGGAAGCATGGGTTACAGGTACGTCAACCCCTCTTTTCCCTTCACCTGGGAATTGATCGACCAACCAAACCGTCCCAAACCAAAAAACCAACAAACGCATATACCCCGCTAACCCGATTCCCACAGGCCCGATTTGCGCGACCGGCAATGGTGGCAGAATACCACGCCGGCGCCATGGCGCTACTTGCACATTTCCACCTTTGTAATAAGGGCTCGTACCCGTTCAGCGCGGCTGCGGGCGAGAGGGTAGATATTCTGACTAACGCGGGGTTAACGGAGAAACAGAGCAAGTTTATTGAATCGACAAGGAAATTTGTTAATGGTAATGGTGAGTAAATGCATTTTCTCTCCTTACCCACCCCGTCCCTAGGCTCCTTCCCCGCGGAGATGTGAGAATGCAGTCTTGGCTAACAGGGGCTAGCGGTCCGTTTTGAGGAGTTCCGTTGGGCAGAAGCATTCGATAATGACTACTACTTCATATCCCAGCTGTACGAGCAGGACTGGAAACCTCGTATCAAGATCTGAGTTTCTGCGGCTGAGGCGGCTGAGGAGGCTCAACTACAGCACACCACACACTTTTTATAAGAGTCATGGGGTCTGACATGCAGTCACTGATGAAATATGAAATACCCGGAATGCTATACATTGCAGTGCATTTGCATTGCATGATATCCACATGCAGTTCGCCGAGCTGGGACGAGCAAACAAATACGTTTTTCTACTTCATTTACTGTTTTTGTGCTTTAAAAACATGTATAATAGGCAAACAAACCCAATCAGCAGGGTTCTGGGAAAATACAATACCCAGGGGACGGACGGAGGAAGGGGCGATCATGCGCCATGGAGAAATGGAGTCCGGAGGAATCTGTATGTCTAGCCTATCAGTAATGAAATGCGTTGCGTTTGCCTAGCATCTACATAATCTCACTCGCTCCCGCTCCTCACTCGCTCCTTCCCCAAGAACCTCGATAGTAAAATATAGGCAACCAGCCCCCGTCAGCGTAGCTTACCCCATACCCAATATCAGATAATGAAACACAATAAAACCCCACTTATCCGTATCCGAATCCCAACTTGTCCCAAAACCGAATCCCACAACAACCCCAGCTGAACCAATCCCACCGCACTCCCACCCCTCTCCCGGCATGCTAACTTATAGTTCCAACACACACCCCCGAACGCCTATTGGTGGGCGCCATATAGGCACCCACACCTGGATATATTCACCCACACCTCCATGAACTTTGAGGCTCTAGTGTTGGGATGGTGATTGGGAGACCGAGAGGGGGAGTCATGCGCTTGAGTTGGCGTGATGACGATTCGCAAGTGGGAGGGGGGGATTGAGGCTCTGTGTGGCAGGGCTGAAGTGGGTCGGGGGGGGGAATGGGTGACAGCCGGGGGGGGGGCGCGGTTGTTCGTTTCGTTTCGGGTTTATTTTATGATTTGGGAATGGGGACGAAGGGAAGAGGGAGGGGGGGGGGCGGGGGGGGTGATAAGATTTCCCGGGTGTATGGAGGAATGGCGTCTGTTGTTATTTATGCCTTGATTTGGACATCCAGCATCTGGAGATTGTGTTTGCGGCCCGGCGCGGGTGAGTAAGAGGCGTGAATAAAGTTTACGTAGGTTTGGAGGCGGGTGAGTGAGGTGAGTCTGAGTCTGAGTCTGACATGTGCATGATATGATAGTGGTGATGGCGTGTGTATGGACTGGTAAATGTTTTTGGGAAGGAGGGGTGCAGCACGCATGGGAAGCTAGGATATTTGGAATCTGCAGTTAATCTGCAGGGAAAGCTGAGTGCGGGTAGCTGATATCTGGGGGAGCTAGGAGCCGGGAGCTGATAGATGAGAGGAACTATAGGCGGCAGCTGTAGACAAACGGAATATAAATATTTGACTTTGCTCCGCTTCAATATTCTTTTTTCATTCTTCTTTACTTATCACAGACTACAAACGGATATATATATCTGACTTTACTCAGTCTTCAACCTTCCTTCTTCTCTATCCATCACCAATATTCTCCGGACATTCAACCTTCTTTCTTCTCTATCCATCACCAATATCCTCCAGCCCTTCAACCTCCATCCTTCTTCTCTATTCATCATCCTCGACGTCCTCGATATTTAACATCACTCCTACCTTACCAACACACAAACATCCACTACAACCTCACAAATCTCACAATCACAACCCCCAAACAAACAAAACAATGGCTCTCGTCCACCCAACCCACCCCCTCACCACAACCTCATCCCCAGACCCCTACGCCCTCCCCCCCTCTTTCCCCTCCTCCATCTCCTCACCCCTAGCCTGGACCGGCGCAGACCTCGCAGACGAGAGTTACATCTACCACCTCACCCCCTCCGACCTCTCCGAGATCAAAGATGCATTAGCAGTATTCAAATGTACGTCTCCCCATTTCCCCCTCCCCCTTTCGTCCCTCTTTCGTCCAATAGCCGCCACGGCCCGTCCCGCCTTCCCGCCTTCCCGCGGCGTAGCCGCAACTTAAAGATGGTTACACAGGGCTATACACAGACAGGCAGACATACAGGCAGGCAGTTGAACAAAGACTAACCTCTTCTCTTCTAGCACACAATCTCAACGGCGACCTCGCCACCCCCACGACCTTCCCCCTCCCTACCCTCGGCCCAAAACTCCGCCTACTCTCACACGAACTATACAATGGGAGGGGGGTTTGCTTGATCCGCGGGCTGACGCCGGAGATGTATGAGCCGGAGGAGGGGATGGTGGTGTTTATGGGGGTGCAGAGTTATATGGCGGGGGGGAAGGGGAGGCAGGATGGGAGGGGGAATATGATTGGTGAGTTTGGTTGTTTGGTCTTTGGGTGATGGGCGGAGTGACTGACTGGGGATAGTTCATATTACCCCGTCGGAATATGATGCGAAGCATTCGAGGCATTCGATGGATAGTTTGGTATGTCCCCCTTCCCCCTTTCCCTTTCCCTTTCACCTACCCACTTTCCCCTACCCTGCCCCCTTTTCGCAACACCCACCAACTCACCTTCTTTTCCCCACAACCACTAAACCTCCAACTCCACAAAATCTAACAACCTTACAGCCCTTCCACACCGAAGCCACTGGCGACATCCTAGCCTGGCAAACCCGCGCCGCCGCCGCCGAGGGCGGGAAGTGTATCGTCTCCTCCGCATACACAGCGTACAACCTCCTCGCCGCCACCTGTCCCGAGGTTATCCACACCTTAGCAAAGCCAGATTGGCCGTTTGCATAGTAAGTCTCCCTTTCCCCTCCCCCTCCTCCAAACCAAAGAACCAGCAAGCTAACCCGCCCCAGCCCAACCCTCCACTACCGCCCCATCCTCTACCACACCTCCCCCAACCTCCTCATCAACTTCTCCCCCTCCGCCCTCCTCTCCACCCCCTCGCACCCCCGCCCCTCCCACCTCCCTTCCCTCACCCCCTCCCAACTCTCCGCCCTCTCCGCTCTTCAAGCCGTCGCCCGTGCTACCGAATTACACATCACCACCAAGGCAGGGGACTTGCATTTCGTGAATAACCTCGCGATTATGCATCGGCGATCTGCGTTCTCTGCTCCTAACACCAAGGGAGTGGGTAAAGTGGATGGGGAGATGGAGGAGCCAAAACGTCATCTGGTGCGCATGCGTCTTCGTTGCCCGGAACGGGGGTGGAAGATACCAAGAGAGTTGGCGCCGGCGTGGGAGGAGGCGTTTGGGGAGGAGGGGGAGAGGGAGTGGCATCTTTTTCCGATGCCGGAGGGGTATTTTCCGTTGAGGAAGTATCCTGAGTAAGGTGCGGCGCTCCTTGCTCTCTCACCGGGGTCCTGTGGACTGTGAGTGGGATGGGGGATTGGATATGAGTTTCCGAGTTTCGATTCTTAGGTGGATGGGGTGGTGTCGTTTGAGGCTGGACACGGTACCTCACGGCTCTGACCCCCTTTTTTTAATCTTCTCGGTAGCCCTGGAGGCAGGGTGTTCTTGGGGTTTTCTTCATTTTTTGCGAGGATTTTTGATACCAATCCCGGCGTGGATACTCCCTTTATTTTCTACCTTTTCTTTCCTGGCTAGGTTCGGTTCGCATCTCGGGATAACGGGGGGGGGGAGACAGTGGTTGTACGATGAACGAGGCAGCGCCTCGGAAAACGCCTTGCGATGACTTTCTTGATTTTTTTTTTGCCCCGAGGGGCGGAGCGAAAAGGGGCGAGAATGTCTGAAGTACAAGGCTTTCGGGTGGCGAATATGGATCGGTTGCCTTGGGATCAGTGTGCGCGGCGATGGATTTTACATAGCATGGATTTTCTTAATGATAATTGAATTTCACAGACGAGGTTATTCACTAGCATCTTTGTGAGTGATGAAAAATGGTAAAAGCATATTGATATAACCACCTTCAATAATACAAAAACGCCCCCCCTTGAAGATTTCTAAGTCTAGGTATCTATCTATCCAAAAAATGCAAATCCAAACAAATGCTTTCCTCGCTCCATATGTATTTCCTGTAAATGACGACCTTCTATAAATAATTGATATCCCAACCCCCCCCCCAGCTCCCCGTCTCCCTTTTTTCCCCCGCTAATATATGCATTCCCAAACTCCTGTCTGATTTTGCGAAATCGGTTTCGTGTCTTGCGTAGACAAAAAGAAAATATTGGTATATCCAAGTTGGTAGTTTAAAATAGAAAAAGCTGTATGTGTTGTATGTTTGTCGTGTGCTGTGCGCCGATAATGATTGGTGTTCTTGCATGCGTGCCCTCTTGTAATCCTCCTCTTCTGAACACGCATACCCTCTATCGTATGCGTGTAGTCTTTCAAAGCAAACATTCCCCGTCCCATATATAACCCTCAACACCTAGTCGTCTCCCTTTTCTTATATCCAAGACTCAAGCCAGTCAGATGAACCAGACCTGTCGTGACTGGCACCCACGTGCCCAACACACAGTCCCCCTCATGGACAAAACATACACTTACACCTCTTCAACCCACCCCCCACCATCACTACATGCTTCTCAACCGCAACCGTCAACTTCGGCGCCTCCAAGCTCTTCTGCCTGAAGCAATCTCGCTCCCACTTCTCCGGCGGCTGGAGATTGCGAAATTGGTCCGGCACTGCGGTTACAGAGACGTGGTGGTCGGTCGTTTCCTGTCGATTCTTGACCGTCTTCCGCGACAGCTTCTCCGAGATGGCGAGGTACACGAATTGGAGGTGGATGGGGCGGAGGGCAAGGGTGGTGTTGTCCAGGGTGCTGGGTGCCGTGGTGTGGTAGGCGAAACCGTCGTTGGTGATGGTGTGGGGGTAGGGGTCCTGGGACCCTTGGAGGTAGGGGCCCTGATTGTCGACGGCGTGGAAGTCCCCATGGTGGTTCGGAAGGGCGAAATCCTCGAAGCTCAAGGAGTATGATGGCTGAAATCCGTGGGTGGTGATAGGGGATCTGTTGGCGCCCGCGGCAGCGTTGCGCCAGGTGTTGCGGTCGGCGACGCGGAGGGCTGAGCAAGCGACGACGACGTCTGCGGTGCCGTGGCGTGCTTGCCTTATGGCTTCGTGGATGATTGCGACGAGGATTTCGGCATGGCGATTATCGTCGACGACGCCGCTGTTTGCCTTTTCCTCTTCGGTGAGGAACTGTGGAGGTTAGCTTGCTGTTGGGAGAGAGGGAAGGGACACAGATGGGGATGGGGACTCACGTCGTCGCCTTCGATGAAGATGAAACCTAGTTTGGCGCATAGGTATTTCCCAACTCTAGACTTGCCGGCTCCCGAAGGCCCCGTTATGACCCAGATGTTGGGGGTGGCCGACAGGGCGGTCTGGGGTTGATCCCACGACGGCGGGGGCATCTCGGCCGCGCGATAATGTTTCGTTCTTCGGTTTGGTCGTCGAGACTCCATTATTGCAGAGTAGAAAACGGTATGAGTGGTCCCATCCTTTTCTCTCCCTATACAGTCTGGTGCTGGGGCGCTGGTATTATATATTTCGAGCACCCCTAGCGATCAGGCGGAGGAGAAAAAAGGGCGGGCGGGCGTTGGAAATGTGAGAGTGGAATTAAGTTGGGTAGGGAGGAGATAAGTGGTGATGGCGCCAAGGCTTGGTACTTGCTCAACAACCAAGTACCTCTCAGTATACGAGTACTGATACTCCCCGTTAGCCTCCTGAATTGGAGCTCCAGTTAGCCTAGGATGGGTGTGAACATAGTAGGCTGGCGATGTGCCCAGAGTTTGACACTGACACTGCGGCACCTTGATAGTCCACTGCTCCACTATCAACCAGGCGCCCTCAGAGCACTAAGGAGGCGAAGTCGACGGACTGAGCGGGAGAGTGTGGGGAGTGGGGATAGAGGAGTCGAAGGAGGGAGGGGGGGCGGAAACCAAAGCACAGGCGCGGCACTGTGGCACTGAACTCACGATGGATGGAAGGAGGTGACTGGATAACCGCGTACCAACCCGCGCGTGCTTTCCTGCGAACTGTTGCGAACTCGTCCAATCCCGCCAGTGCCCGCGGACCAAATATGCTCGCTGTGGCTGCGACCACACATAGCTCGGACTGCTCGGAGAAACACCTTGACGTCGTACCCATCGGTATGCGCAAAAAGTAATACCTCAACGGGCGTGATTGCGAACTTCCGCGTTTCTTTTTGCCCGATCACGACCACCCCGAGGCGCAGGGCGAGTTGGTGATCGCAGGGTGGCGAAATTCAGAAATCTTTTCGTCTCGGTGAACGGATTTGGAAGGGAGTATGATAACATATCTTGGAGGTTGAGGGCGTTTGAGGGTCACGATGTTTCAGGCTCTCTGAGGGGATTGGGTTTCCATGCAGGTGATAGGCCCGGATCTTTCCATGAGTGTGGTGACATTTCCTTGATTTGGACATCTTGTAAACACCATCATCGCTCCAAGGCATTTTGATGGCTTTTTTTTTCAATCATTTTTTCTCACGCTGCCTGGTGTCCCTTGTTGGCAACGACGCGATGGCTCAGTTGATTACGCGTACCTTTTCTGGCCCCCAAGGGAAACTGTGTGTGTGTGCTGGTCTCGGAGCGAGAGAAGGCTGTGTATTTTTATCGCTACATACATAGTAGATACTTGTACAAGTACAGAGGAAGAGACGCCGTCTATGAAAGTCTAACAAGCCCCCCAAAAAATCCAGAACCGGGCTTAAACGGTCTAGATGCGCGCCAACGCTGACATTCTCCGCTCACCACCGACACGATTGACTGACAAAACGCGATTCCTAATGAACCCGCTTAGCCCTTGACGGCGTAGATGGCCTTTGCGAGCCTCTTGACGTTGCCGGTTGTGATGCCCGCAACGGAGATACGGCCGTCCTTGGTGGCGTAGACGGAGTGCTCCTGGGCAAGCGTCGTCATCTGCTCGGGCGTGAGGCCAGTGTAGGCGAACATGCCGATCTGGCTGGTGATGTGGGACCAGTCGTGCTTGGAGCCGAGCTGCTCGAGGTTTTCCTTGAGGAGCGCGCGCATCTCGATGATGCGGTCGGCCATGCCCTTGACCTCACCGAGCCACTGCTGGTTCAGCTCGGGGTTGTTGAGGATCTCGGCGGCGATGCGGGCGCCGTGCACGGGGGGGTTGGAGTAGAGCGGGCGAACGATGATCTTGATCTGCGAGTCGACGCGCTTCTTCTCGGCCGCGTCCTCGCAGACAATGGAGAAGGTGCCGGCACGCTCACCGTAGAGACCCTGTGATTGTGTTAGTGATGATCGTCATATGTACCGCCGGAGTTAACTTACCATGTTCTTGGCGAACGAAGTCGCGAGGCAGATGTTGTGGCCCTGCTCAACGAAGAGGCGGACTGGGAAGGCGTCCTTGTTGGTGTCACCGGACGCGAAGCCCTGGTAAGCCATGTCGAAGAAGGCGAAGTGCTCGCCCGCCTTAACAGCATCGCTGATCTGCTTCCACTGCTCTGGGGTAGGGTCGATACCAGTGGGGTTGTGTGCGCAGGCGTGGAGGAGGAAGATGCTGCCCTTGTCGGCGGCCTTGATGTCGGCGACCATACCCTCGAAGTCGAGGCCAATGGTGTCCTTGTTGTAGTACCTGTACTTCTGGACCTCAAGTCCAGACTCGGTGAAGATGGCGCCGTGGTTTGCCCATGATGGCGTAGGAATGTAGATCTTCTTCGCGCCTGGGTAGAACTTGGCCAGGAACTCGCCTCCGATACGGAGAGCACCAGTTCCGGAGATGGATTGTGTGATGACGAGGCGGTCGAGAGCGTTGGAGCCCTCACCGTAGGCAAGGACGGCAGCGGCCTTGGTGAACTCAGGGACACCGGTGATTCCGGCGTACTCCTTGTTGAGCTTAGCAGCGATGACCTTGTCCTCAGCGGTGCGAACGGACGGGAGAACGTATGGCTTTCCCGCGTCGTCACGGTAGGCGCCAACACCTGGATTGTATCAGTATAGTCGTAGATTCGGATTCAGAGAGCATACCGAGGTTGATCTTCTCTGGGAGGGTATCGGCCTTGAATGCCTCGGTGATACCTGGATGTTGTTAGTCGTGGCGCAAAAATATTCACGCTGATGACAACATACCTAAGATGGCCTTCACACGAACGTTTCATTAGCAATTGATTAACACAGTACATATCATCCGGGTTCTTACATCCTATCACATGTTAGCTGATACACAAGAACACCACGTCGATGCAAACTCACTGGTGGACCTTGGGGAACGTTCGCCCAGGTCGAGGCCTGGCGAGAAGCTCCGACAACGCGACACGCCGCACCACGGACGGCCACCTGCCTGCTTGCGACTCTGACTGTGCTAAGCATTATGTGATGGAATTTGAGGCAAAGCGAGGATGAAGATGAAGAAGAGCTTAGAGAGAAGATGTTCAATATGTCAGGAGATGCAATTGAAAAAGATGGAGATGTGATTCACAATCGGAGATGCTGCACTACACACATGTGTCATGAAATTGTTTCGCGGGTAGGCCGGGCCTCGGCGGCTTTGCAGGGGTTTTCTTGGGGTTTTCCGCGCATCCCACCGTAATTTTGGGGTTTGGGGTTTACTCCAGAGTGTTGCTCCAGTGGGGGCTCCACTGTGTCTTTTGCCTGTGATTGTCATTAGGCTAATTCGGAAATAAGTAATATTTTTAGTATTTTATTTCTTATCTACTGTATGGATGACATTTAACTATGAATACTGGGGAAGGCCGGCAAAGAAAAAAGAAATATGTTTCCTTCTATAGGGCTTAATATCGCCCACTTGGATCAAATAGTGCTGTTGTTTGTTATGAGCGATACAGGAGGTAACTAATCAGATTAGTAGTGAAATTCATGTGACGAGTGACGACTAGGCGGTGAGTAACAATTACGTGGGGTAAGATTATACTGCCAGTCATACGAGGTTAGCTAAGTGGTTTCTATCATCTCCGTCACCCCACTCAATAGCTTCACAAATTCCATGTTCTCCCCCACAGAGTCCTGTGGTTTCATTATGACAATAGTGACATCCCGGAGGTGACGGGAGCTTCCTTTTTTGAGCTATTTATATTTACGCTAGAGGCATGAGAATAACGGAAAGGAAAGCCGTAGTGGTCGGCCTCTCTGGAGCGTCGAGCTCTGGAAAGACGACATTGGCTAGGCTTTTGCGCGATATCTTCCCAAACAGCTTCATCTTGCATGAAGATGACTTCTATAGGGAAGAGAAAGAGTGAGTTCTGATATAAACCCTCTGGACGGGTCTATGACGTTGCCCCTGCTCTTCCTCTGCCCTTCCTCTTCTCTACCTACCTCAGAGCTAATATACACGAACCCAAGACTCCCAACAAAGAACGGCCTCCTAGACTGGGACTGCGCCGAAGCCCTCTCCATCCCCGACATCAAATCCTCCCTTAGCCATATCCAAGACCACGGCACCTTCCCCGTAGGTCCCTCCCACTCCAAGCTCCGCTCCCGTCCCGAACCCACTCTGAACGCAGCCCAGCCGCAATTCGACTCCAAAGAAGACCGCAACGACGTCGGCCAATGCCCCGTCTCCGACGCTGCGATCGCCGGGCTGAAGGGTAGAGTTGCTGCGTGGACACAGCCAGGTAGGCCGGGGCATGGGATACTCACTTCGTCGGAGTCGGCGCTTCGTCTGTGTATCTTCGATGGGTTCTTACTCTACGCACCGTCTATGGCGGAGATCCAGCCGCATATAGATATCAAGCTGTTCCTGCGCGTGGGGTATGAGAAGGCGAAGGCGAGGAGGGAGGCGCGCACGGGGTATGCGACGATTGAGGGGTGGTGGGCTGATCCGCCGGGGTATGTGGATAAGATTGTTTGGCCGAACTATGTTGAGGATCATGCGTGGATGTTTGAGGATGGGAATGTGGAAGGGAAGTTCAAGGAGGATGTCTTGAAGGAGAGGGGCATTCATGCACAGTCGCAGCAGGGACCAGATGTGGATATGGAGACCACGCTGGTGTGGACGGTGGATGTCATTATGAAGTCTTTGGAGATATCTTCTGGAAATGAAAAGCTATGAATTGGATAGAGGAATTCAAATATAGCCAAATTATTCTTCACTGAACTGTGCAACCTCCCTTAATCATTAGCGTGGAGCTCCAATGCAAGGGAGCAGTTTCCCGCTCCCTAGATCCTTAGAATGCATCTACCCGCGCTCATCCCGTCACATATCGATTTTTCTGCAAAAGTAAACATTAAACCACCGTCACCGAACTCTTCCATTGCAGAAAACAAAGAAAACACACAGCCTTGTCAAACAGTTGCAGTTGCTTTATGCCACGTTGGACCAGGATGGCACAACGTGAGGCGGCTGCTAGGTTAATCCCGCTTGGGTTTCAGGGGAGACAGAGTCTTGGCAGGTGGGACCCAGAGCTGAATGCTTGGGCTGCTAATCTGCCAATCTACAAACGGCAGCGCTCCTATCTCAAGAAATTAAACTCTTCAATCACCCTCTCTAACGCGACTCTAATTCCCCAACAAACCCCCATGGGCGAGCCATAACCAACGCCCATTCGCACACAACCCAGAACGCCTCGTCGCCAGCTTCCTCGCCCCAGGAAAAGGCAAGGCGCATGTGTATCCTGCCAACGAACCACACCACAGCGACTCCAACAGCCTCGACAAACTCGATGTCACAAATATAGATATAACACTCCTCCCATTCGCAACTACCTCCTCCACAAACATGCCCGTCCAACACGCCTACCAACCGCGTCGCACGCCCCTCCGTCCCAACCCCCGCCGCCTCATCCACCTCACCATCGGCACCATCATCGTCCTCTTCATCCTCCTCCTCATCCCCCGCCACTCCTCACCGCGCCTCCCCAAACTCCCCCCGGCATTACGCCCCTTCCGACCCTCCGCGCACGCCCCGCCCATCCAACCAAACAGCACAAGCGGCGACGCGCGCTGGCACCAAAGCTGGGACTGGCTGCGCCCCTTCTCCTCCGCGATAACTCTCGACGAGCACCGCTCCGTGCTGCCGCCGCTGGTGGAGCGCGTGCCGATATATACATACTATGACTCTGAGAGCGCCGGGGGCGCGGAGACGGAGGAGGTGCTGAATCAGATTCTTCTTACGTGGAGGAGGGCGTGGTGGGCGCAGGGGTTTCGGCCTGTGATACTGGGGAGGGCGGAGGCGAGGAGGAGTGGGTTGTTTGAGGGGGCGAAGGGGAAGGGAGGGGGGGAGGAGGTGTTGAGGTGGTTGGCGTGGGAGAGTATGGGAGGGGGGATATTGTGTAGTTATTTGGCGTTGCCGATGGGGGCGTTTGAGGATCCGGTGATTTCGTACTTGAGGGGGGGGAGGTTTGGGAATCTTACGAGGTTTGAGGGGTTGGGAGGTGGGTTGTATGTTGGGCCGAAGGAGGGGGTGAGGGAGGCTATTAAGGCTGCCCTGGCGGCGCCGGAGATTTCAAAGGTGAAGGAGATATCCGATGTGGTGCCGAAGGAGATGTTCAAAATCGATGCCACTCCAAGCTCGATTGCATACTACGCCATGGACGTGGTGAAAGCCAAATACCCCAAGATCGCAGAGGAACTGCCAATCTCGACATCGAAAGGCATGCGGCTCCTCAACAAACTCATCAACTCACATCTCCACAACAACTGGCGCACCCACTTCTCCGACGGCATCGCCGTCCTCAAACCCATCCGCACCCACATGACCGCCATAGTCGAGCCCGCCGTCCAACTCGCCGAGTACCTCGCCCAATGCCCCTCCTCTCCCATCATGTCCTCCTGCCCCCCCAACAACAAAAACTGCAAACCCTGCGTCGCCGCGGCACCAATGCGCATCTCCACCCCGCCAATCTTCAGGAACAACTCCAAACTCTACACCATCGGCGTCGTGCCCCACCCCTGGACGACCACCTCCTCCGACGCCTTCACAACCGCCATCGACGTCCCCTTCATCCGCCGCCGCAGCAACCGCGATCACTGGCTCACCCTCGTCACCAAAGAGCTCCTCGGCACCGGCGTCTCCACCTCCCCGCGCCTCGTGAAATTCAAAGAAGCAGTCGCCTCCCCCTACGGCGCCGCGCACTCCGTCTGGTTCACAGCCGAGAAGGAATACCCCTCCGACATAGACTGGCACTTTGGCTTCCTCGTCCCGCGCCAATCCACACACGACGGGAAATCCCAAACCCCCGTCCCGGGCCCCGAACGTCGCCCCGCAGACCCAGCGCGCGATCCGCTGGATGGAGTGCTGCCGAGCGAGAAGGAACTCAAGAAGGAGAGGGAGTTACTTGAGTACGCGAAGATGATGGGGACGACGCCGGAGCAGCAGCGGTTGATTAGGGCGATTGAGGCGTGGAATTTGGGGGATGTGGAGGCGTGGAGGTTTGCGAGGGCGTTTATGGCGAGGAGGTCGATGGAGAGGAGGGGGTGGGAGGAGGAGGAACGGTGGGTTACGGGGGGGAAGGGGAGTGAGAAGTGAGATGGGGGGTTGGAGTGGAGGATCAGCGGAGAATGCACATAGGGGAGCGGCTGTATATGATAGGGACGTCCCGTTCTATATGATGGGAGCGGGACGGGGCGTGGGGGCGTTCTTTTTTTTGGGCGGGGTGGTGATGTCGTTTTTCCTTGTATAAAGGGTTTTTTTACGATGTGTAATTACTAGTTGTAAGAAGAAGTTGAGTATTCTTAACACCTTTTTTCATTGGACCTTGGATCTCCGGTCTTGGATTCGTGGTGGCCGAGCCATGTGGCCGAGCGTTTTCCAAGAGAAAGCTTCATGGGGCTTGTTGTGTTGCAAGTTTGCCGTTTGCCGTTTGCCGGACGGAGGACAGCAGAAAGGGATGACCCGGGATGACATACTCCACTATTTAGAGTCGGACGTAAATGATAATAATGGAGACTCGTGTTTCGGTGTAATTCGTGGCACATGTCGAGTTTCTCGTCGTTTTGACACTAACTGACCGCCGCCGCCGCCGCTGAATTATCATGTGGAATGCCAATCCCCCTTGGACCCCTTCGCTTCCCCATACTCTGCCCCTACTAACCATACTAAATATACTAAAATCGCATACGATGATTCAAACTGCAGCTGACACCAAACCCAGCCCACTTAATTAAAACCCCCCATGTTTCCCCAGCGATTGACGCTGCACGAAATAATATTAACCCAGCATGCATCGATCCTCATCCCTTCTCCCGAGGCCCCTCGGCACACAACGAAAACGGCCGCACAGGACGTCATCTCCCACTCCACCCCGCCGTTCCCGCTCCTTCTCTGCCCCACCACGACTTGCGCATGTCCGGCGCAAGGTAAGAGAACGTAAATACCAAGGCGCGGGAAGCTTGAAAGCCACAGTAACATTCGTCGTACCTTGCAGCTTACTTGTACATCTCGTGTCGCACAACATAAATATTTTGGGAATACAAATTATCACTTACGTCCACACGCATACTTACTATCTTATAACCCCTCTACACTTCCAATTATCACATACACCTCTTAACCTACCCCGCCACCACCACTCACCATCACCAAACCAACCAACCAAACCACCCACCAAACCACAGCAATGGCACCTCTAACCCCCACCTGGGCCCAACCCTCCCACGGCTCCATCCAAGAAGTCGTCATCAACGAAGCGGCATTCACCTCCAAGTCCCTCTCCAAGATCAGCGTCGCGCCCTACGGCGTGTTCGCCAAGATCGATTTCCCTCCCGCCACGCCGGCGAGCGAACCCACCTATGCGACGGTGCAGCAGGGGAGGGATACGCATTTGAATCTGAATAGCGATTTGGTTTATATTAATCATAGTTGTGATCCTAGTTTGGTTGGTCTCTCCCTTTCCTTTTCCGTTCTCAGACTCCTTGCGAGGTTGCCCCAGTCGCCCCAGTCACCCTCCCTCAAACCCTCCTCCCCAATTCCCCGCTCCCCCCAAATTCGAGGACACAAAGAGAGAGCCAGAGAGACAGAGAAGCACAAATGCTAACACCCCTCCCCCCAAACAGATCCTCGACATCCCCTCCCTCTCCTTCCTCGCCGGCCCCCGCGGCCTCTCCCCCGGCGACGAACTAACCTTCTTCTACCCCTCCACCGAATGGTCCATGGCCCAACCCTTCACCTGTTTCTGCTCCTCCCCCTCCTGCCGCGGGGTAATCAACGGCGCCGGTTCCATGAGCCAGAAATCCCTCGAGGGGATCTACTTGAACGGGTATATCAGGGATATGCTTGCCGAGAGATGGGCGAGGGAGAATAAGAACGGGGTTAATGGGGTGAAGAGCGAGGGAAAGGCGAGGGTTAATGGGGAGAGGGGAGTGACGTCTAGGGAGTTGAGTGGGGAGATGGGGGGCGATACTGTTAGGGTTTAGATGATTGGGGGGGGGGGAGGCTCAACGCAGGTGGGGGGGTATACCGCGCGGTGGGGAGGGCGCGGAGAGGGATTCAACATCCTTGAAAAGCTTAGTTAGTTTTTTGCTTGTTTTTATGCTTTTTAGACAGAGACAGATTAGATACGTCGCGTTGCGAGTGGTTTTCAGACGAGGGTTGGATAATTATCTTTCTTTCGTAATCTTCTGTCCTGATTCTGGTCTAATCTATCCCTTGATCGACACCCTTCCGCCATCCCGAGCCAACAACACAACACAACACAACGACACGTAAACACACGCCCTTGACTCCTCCAGCTGTAGCCTGGCCTATCCCCAATCGCCCTCGCTCTTGAAAAAACGGAAATAAAACACCCCTATCAGCAAGTATCCAAACCTAGATATACCCCAATCCCCTCAATCCCGCTCACCAAACCCCAAAAAAACACACACATCCATCGAAACGAACCCCCCGAGAAAAGGAGCATCCTGAGCCCCCCATAAAGACAATCCATAACACCAACTCCCCGAAACAAAACAAAACAAAAAAGTAAAGCCGTCGCAGCCCAAACCCCCCTTGTCGCCTACCATTACCCCTCCCGAAACACCAAACGCAAACAAAGTAGTACTAATACAGTAGTCCCCGATCAAGAAAAACCACCCACACACACAAAAAAAACAGCAAAAGGGACAGGAGGATCACATAATCCCCGTCTTAACCTTCCTCCTCATCGACCCCCCAGTCACAACTCCCAACGCACTAAGCGTATCCTCCGACGGCCCCGACGGTCCCGAGAGAGACTTCGATCTCGTAGTCGGGGGCATCGGTTCCGGGTCATCCGACGTCGACCCCGCCGCCTCCCTCGACTCCGCCACGCTATTCTTCAAGCTCTGCCTCAGTTTCTCATCGAAGATACTGACCAGCCTCTCGCTATACTGATCTAACAATCCCGCCAGGGCCGCCTCGCTGATCTTCCTAGTCTTGAGACTCTTCTCCAAGACAGCTTGGGCGGTTAATCGGAGCTCCTGGTCTAGTTCCTTCAGCCCATCCTCCTTAATCGCCTCGGAGCTAGTCAGTTTCTTTCGATACGCGCGCAGCGTACGGCAGACTTGCTCAGTAGCCATATTCACGCTGCCAAATTCATTATAACTCGCCGGCCCAGCACTCTTATTGCGCCCCCTCAAATCAACAAGCGACGCCTTGCGCGCCCCCAAATTACTCCGTCCCTTCGGCGAAGGAGGCGGCGACCGGGAGCGATTCCGCGGTGACGACCGGCGCGAACCGCTCGCGTCGTCGGAGGAGGCGAAGCTGTAGGGGCTTGGCATGGCGGGGATGGGCGGCATGGAGAGCTTGGGGGAGTTGGCGTTCATGGAGTATTTTGAAGTTTTGCGGCGGAGGAGGCGGGGAGGAGAAGAGCGGCCGCTGGGGGTGGTTGCTGTGGAGGGGCGGGAGAATTCGGCGAGTTCGGCTTTGGAGAGGACGCGGCGGAGGGGGGGCATGTTGGAGGTGAGTTCCTTTGGGGGCGAGGAGTCGTCGGGGGTGAGCGTTGGTTCGGGGGATATGATTTCTGGGGTTCGTGTGGTGAGATCCCAAATCATAATGGTAGAGTCGGACCCCGTGGAGATGAGTGTGGTCTGCTCTGGAGTCTCCAGCAAGGCAACGTCTGTGACGGAGCTTGTGTGACCAAACCCACGGTCCAAGAATGAGCCAGTACAGCCATCATATATCCTGACGGATTTATCGGTTCCAGAAACGCCAGCTAAAATAAGAGGCCGTCCCGGCATCGGCTTCCCCATCTTCAAAGAATCCATAACGACGGCGTCATTTCCGTCAGTGTCGGCAGCCTTGAACGTAGAAAGCATCTTTCCTGTCGCAATGTCGTATGTAGCAACCGTGCGGTCCATCATCGAAACAATCACTGAAGTAACGGAGGGGTCATTATCAGTTGTTGTCATCGACACTGGCGTCGCTTTCAGTGTGATGACTCTGATAGGGATCGCCGCGATGACCTGCTGGTCACCGACTTCCTTCGTGACAATCTGCCGTATTTGGATCGTACGATCAGAACTGCTCGAGATAATCTTATCCCCGTCGTCGCAGAAGCAAACACTCGTCACGCTCCCAGTGTGCTCATCCATGGTCTGCAGCAAGACCCAGGTATCCTCCATTTTCTTGAAAAGTTGAACTGTGCGGTCCCTACCAGAGGTCGCAAGCAGTGTCATCGTCTTTCCTTCATATATCGCAATGTCCTCGACATCCGAGTTGTGCGCCTTCGCTACGAACGAACAGGTATGTTTGGGGCCGTCTAGAATCCGAATAACGCCGTACTTATCACCTGCCACAAAGAAGCTTCCGCCATCTGAGGCTCGTACAACCAGACATTGGTTGACGACTTCCTCATCGCCACCAAGCCCCTGCTCCAGATCAACTTGGAATGATCCTTTGCACTGGCCCTCTAGATCCCAAAATATAACATTTCCTGCAGAGTCCCATGACAAAAAGTCTGCGCTGAGACTGTTTGGGCTCAGCAGCCTCACACCCATAACCGACCCTCGGTGGGCTGTAAGGGGGGTCACATGCCCAGACTCTTCCGAGCCATCTTTCATGATCTTGATGGCATGGCGTGAATCGACAGTAACCACATGTCCGTTTATAATAGACATGGCGCAAAGATTGCCGTTTGGAGTCTCGGCAGTACTGTTGAAGTCCTCCTCAAATGGCGACGACGGTGGGGTAGTCGGCGTTAGGAGTTCGTCAAAAGTCATAATCTTAGTCGCGCCCAGGCGGCCACCAATCCGTATTAGCTTGCGCGATGCATCTACAGACACGCATGTCACAGCAAAACCGGCATGAGCTACCTTGAGTAACTGGTTCTGGTCGTTGTTGTCGTCGACCAGGGCAATATGGCCCTTTTCCGAGCACACGACAGCTTTCGTTTCAGAAATGCTGGCAGCGCAGCTGAACGTCGCGTCGATCAAACCCCCAAGCAGGCAATTTCTGCCGCTGAGAGTTCTAGTAACGGTTGCTGGAGTGGACGCTGTGCCATCTAGATTGAACCTCTGTTTCAGAGGTGATGAACTCGTGTTGTCCTCAACTCTCCAGATCTTCACATGGCGCGTGCCGACACTGTCAAGTTAGCATTGGAAAGAGGCGGAGGAGAATGGGGCGCATACGTTATTAGACTGTTTCCCATCCACATCATACTTTTAATGGTGCTAGTGCACTTATTGCTCGCGTGCAGCCTGGCGGCGCCAGTGCTCGATATGCGCCACATGTAAAGAAAGCCGTCATTTGGAGAACCCAAAGTGGCTAGGTAGCGTCCATCAGGACTAAAAGAAACGGCCGTGACGCCGAATGTATGCTCGTTCAATATGACGAGCGGGGCATCTGATGACTCTTGGAGGTTGAATATCAGCACCCTAGGTGTATAGCCCGTCTCGCCCACGGCGAGAAACCGCCCGTCCCTGCTTATAGACAGACATGTCGCGGCCTTGATCCTCTCCCTGCTTGTCCAGGTTTTCGAGAGGGGCGAATCGCTCCAGACTGCGCGGGAGGTGGTTGGCGTCGAAGGGGAGAATCCAATGGCAGATTCTCGTAGAGATGCGCCCGTTCTATTTCGTGAATCGTTCGCGGTGTTTATGGGGGTTGATGGAGTCGTCGCAGCTCCGGGTATCACGGGTACGGCGGTCGGATGCGCTCTGAAGAATCGCTGTGAGTATTGCGAATCTTCCGCTAGCTGGACGACGACGACCGCAGCGCCCGCGACATATGCGAAAATGTTGCCATTTGGCAGGCTATCGAATCCGGTTGGGGAGCTGACGGTTGTCCCGATGATCCTCTTCAACGAGAGACCAGCTTCGTACAGAGGTCGGCATTTGTTTGGGGAACGCGGAGTTCGTGGATATGGGTATGGCGAGTTGTTTGGCGTCAGCTTAATCCCTAGGCCGCTGTTGGCGGCAATCGTCCGTGGATTCGAGGGTGTAAACAACATATTTCAGCCATGTGCTGTCGCTCAGTCCAATGGGCGTTTGTTCAGCGATGGTTGTAGTTGAGAGAGAAAGATGCCTTGCTGCGCATTCTTGGGGTATTGTTTGTAGGAAACGAGTCGCTGGGGGTCGTGAATTCTGTAGTCGACAAAAAGGCGGGTGTTTATCACAACAAGGGAGGCGGAGGTGAATCAAGGTGAAATTTAACAGGGTATAACGCGCGCTGATGTTTATAAACGAGAGACAAGAAATCAGAAGCGACGAAGGAAGAAGGAGAGGAAGAAGGGAAAATCTGAGGATTCGAATGGATTGAATTGTTGAAGGAATGGAAGTAATGAGAGTGTATTTTTTGAGGATATGAAGATATTCTCCCCTTCTTTCTTCGCCGTCGACATGGGGGTCAGGGTCAAGGGGAGCTCTGGGGATGGGCGGGAGCTTCCTCCTTGCCCTAAAGGTCCAAGCTTGCCGGATTGGGAAGACGCGGGCGCGTTTTGGGATTTTGGCGACGGGGGTGTGTTGTTAGGAGAGTTGATGCCTGAGGTATCACTTTTCTGAAATATCACCACTCTTACGGCTTCTTACTGGTAGCTGCAACTGAACGCAGAGGCGATCTATCACATCCTGATTATGTAAGCTGCACATTTACTCTTCCTTTCTTCTGCCCCTTGTGAGACAGCGCTGGGCTGGGGATTTGCTGGAGACAAGCTGGGGATAGGCAGAAGCACCAGCCACCAGGCAGTCCCGACAGGCCCCCACGCGCTGGAACAGCCTAAACAGCCTGAACACCCAAAAAGCCAAACAAAATTACAACGCGTACGCACGGAGGTAGGTAGTCTGGATTAAAGTGGTTCCATCCCGGCAATTGTGGTGGTTGGGTTAGGATAGGTGTGCGAGTAACACTTACGATAGCTGATAGCTGATAGCAGATAGTAGAGTAAATAGTAAATAGTAAATAGTCCCCATAGCAGAGTTCCATACCACAGTTCAGTGCAAAGTAACTCGTACGCCAAAACACTGCCAGTAGATACTTCCTTACCTGTAGTGCAGTGGTTGGGAGTCACCAAAGAGTGCTATTAGTAAATTCCCCTCTATGAAACTACAAAAATTGGAACTTTGTGTGTGGAATTAAAAATGGAGCTTGGCAGAAAATGGAGTAGTACGTCGGAGTTGAACATCCAGAGTCAGAGCGGCTTCAGTCCGTTGAGGGTAAAATGGAAAAATACATATAGATTCCCCCATCCCCAGACTTCACCAACAACCCCCTCTGCTTACTTCATATTGCCTCAATTGATCAAATCCCAAGATCAGCTCCCCTTCCTACCCCATCAAGTTACATGTCAGCGCTGCCACGAAGCCTGGCACACGCCGGCGTCCGTCCCCCGTCCCTCTCCGTTAACAGCCGACATCGTTCCACAGCTGCGGCATTCGGACCCCGACGCTTCCCCGCCAAAATGTCCCCCTCCACCGACCCCTCATTACGTCTGTCCATGATTTCGGCGCAGATAAAACAATCCTCCCCCGCTCTGAACTCGAGAGACCTTCATACCACTTCAACGCGATCAATCGACACTGCAACTACTACTACTACAAACAATACAGCAACAATGTCTCGTCCTACGCTCCTCATTCCTGGTCCCATCGAGTTCGATGATGCCGTTCTCCAGGCTATGAGCCACTACAGGTATGACGTCCCTCGAAGCTATCATGTGCTGAACCCCCTCACCTTCAAACCCAATGCTAACCCCACACCCTTCAGCGAGAGCCACACAGCCCCCGGCTTCATCTCAGTCTTCGGCGACACCCTGACCCAACTGCGCCAACTCTTCCAAACCACCTCACCCGCCTCGCAACCCCTCGTCGTCTCCGGCTCCGGTACCCTAGGCTGGGACCTCGTCGCCGCCAACCTCTCCGAAGCCGGCGATAACGCGCTGGTCCTGCACACCGGTTACTTCGCCAACTCCTTCGCTGACTGCCTCGAGACCTACGGCGCGAATGTTACGCAGCTTAAGGCGCCAATTGGAAGCCGCCCCCAGATTCCGGAGATCGAGAAGGCGCTGAAGGAGAAGAAGTACAAGCTTGTCACAGTTACCCACGTTGATACATCGACTGGTGTCCTGAGCGACCTTAAGGAGCTGTCGGAGCTCATCCAGCGTGTTTCCCCTGAGACCCTCCTCGTCGTCGATGGTGTCTGCAGTGTTGGCTCCGAAGAAGTCCTCTTCGACGAGTGGAAGCTCGATGTCGTCCTCACCGGCTCGCAGAAGGGTCTTGGTTGCCCCGCTGGCCTGTCTATTAGCATGTACTCCGGCCGCGCCATCGAGGTCTTCAAGGCCCGCAAGTCCCCTCCTGCATCCTACTTCGCCTCGCTCAAGAACTGGATCCCTAGTAAGCTTTCCCATCCCCCCCTCCGCCCCCCCAACTTCTCATACCATACCCGATCGGACACTAACAGACCACAGTCATGCAAAACTACGAAGCCAAAAAGCCATCCTACTTCGCCACCCCCGCCCCCCAACTAATCCACGCCCTCCACACCTCTCTAACCCAAATCCTCTCCAAGCCCCTCTCCGAGCGCTTCGCCAACCAAAAAGCCGCCTCCGCGCGCGTCAAGGCCGCCGTCGCCTCCTTGGGGCTAAAGCAAATCGCATCCAACCCCGCCGACCAGGCGAATGGAATGACCACCATCTACCTTCCCGAGGGCGTTGCGGTGCCTACTATCCTGCCGGTGTTGGCGAAGAGGGGGGTTATTTTCGCGGGGGGGTTGCATAAGGAGATTGCGACGAAGTATATTAGGGTTGGGCACATGGGGGTGAGTGTGCATGATGCGGGGAGGGGGGATGTGGAGAAGGCGATTAGGGTTTTGGGGGAGGCGTTGGAGGAGGTGGGGTATAAGAAGGCTTAGAGGGGGGGATGGGGTAGATAGGGGAGGAGTTTGTATAAATCAAATTTATTGTAATTATGCTCCGGTTTGATAGGTGATATGAATAGTGGTTTACTATATCTACCATCCTCGTGATGCCAAATTCGTCATGCTCCCAATATATCCATGACGTGGATTCAAAACACTAATTCCTCGTTACGGCTTGAAGATGAAATATCAAGTCTCCACCCTCAACGCTCCAAACGTCAACACGACCGACGCTACTGCTGCTGCTGATCCTACTGCCGCCAACACCATACTGAGTAGCATCCTTATCATTATCCTCACGTCGCTGGGGCAGCAGCGCTTTTCGTCAAGCAGACGCCCCTTGTCGTCGCGCTTCTGCTGTCACCGCTTGCATTCTTGTCACCGCACCTCTCTCGTCGTCAGCACACCGCAAACCTAGCATCACGACAAAATGACACCACCCCCGCCAATGACCCCAGACCTCAGTAGTCTGGTGCGGACAGCCGGCGCAGTTGGGAGTAGATATACTGCGACTTTTACAGCCACGTTTTGAAGGTTGTGTGTTGCATGAGCTCTTATGCCTGGGTAGATATACATGACAGTAAGTTTCTTTCCGATTTCCGACGCTGGTCTGGTGGGGAAAAGGGGGGGAGGGGGGCCGTTGGCTTTGTTGGCGTTGTTGGGAGGCGCTTGTTGGGGGAAAGATGTATGGGGGGCCGTGGATCACTGTGTGAAGTATGTGTCTGTTTCTTGTGTCTTGTCGATGGATAAAGGTTATATATGATCTGGCTAATTGCTTTAGCTTCTTTGGCTGTGAGGCTCCCTCGTCTGTGTTCCTCTAAGTTGTGCTTGATTTCACCTCATCCTTTCCGAATCTCTATTTCTACAAAATACATTTAATTTGCTGCCAGGGAAGCTATATAAAACATCTTCTTTCGTCGTCAATGAATTTATAGAATATCGAACCTCTTGGATCCTTGAAGGGGGGCTGCGAGATCGCGGATAAATCTTGAAAAGAGTTGAAAAGAGATGTGGAAAATGAACAGTAGCTATTTATCAGAAGGTAAGAGGGATGGTTGCTTTACGTTCTGATATACGTTGTGATATCTCCCAGGCTTGACACGCTGTAATTAAGTTTACCCAGAAATTTCCACATCGATAACCACGATGGGCAAGTTGTGATGGAAGGATGATGGCTGCAGTATATTACACGGCAATAGTAGTATATGGTGAGAGGAGTATTTCGAGGCGGTAGTATGCGGTGACATGAATACGTTGACAACAGTATATGATGACAAGAATGCTCACAGGGCGACACAGAAACCCCTATCCTTCTCACTTTCATAACCTCACGCACACCACCCCCTAGATCGCTTACTCCTTTATAATCGCCCCTTAAGCCGCCCCCCCTATAAAACCACCCCCTAGCCCCCTCCAGATCGCTAAACCCTATATAAGGACCATTAAGCGCCCACCCCCCATGAACCACAACAGACGCCTGCCTTCATAGTCAAGCGGTAAGGTATAGATCCCACACACTCTCTGTAGGAGGAGGGTGTTTCAATTACCTAGACCTCGGGTTCGAGCCCCGTTCAGCTAGGAGCCTTTCTGGTGATGCCCTACACGTCATTCAGCTGTTCCATGTACTTTGTGCGTGGCTTAGTACAGTATGATTATATGATGTTTCTTGTTCTTTGAATTGAAGATTCATCATTAGTACTGTGCCTTTCATTTTTGCCTTTTTTGTCTTTTTTTGGCCCTTTAGATCCAGCCTTACCAAGCTCGATTTAGATGTAGGGTTTAAGTTCACACTCGATTTGATGACTGTTCTGAGTATGCGGTGGTGTTTACCTCCTCCATTTCTCCTCGTGCAGCTGGTGATCTGGAATATATGGGTGTATCTCGGTCATGTGCGCTGCTCAAACCTTGGGATCTTGGTGCTGTCCCGTACAAGCGCATAGATTCGGGCTAATTTGGTACTGGCTGAAGAGGAGAAGGGGAGGTATTTTGAGAGGAGTTTTATACTGTATGATAACCTTCAGGGGTGCTCTGAGGGGTGTGAGTTGGTGGGAGCTTGAGGGATATCACGGGGATTTGAGGGTATTGTTGTAATTGTTGAAAGCAGTTTTTAGCCCGAGTTGCAGCCCATATCGGGTATCAATTGAACCACTATGCATAAGAAGATTAAAGTTAGTCAAGTAGAAGCACAACACCGAATACAACCGTGAGGCAAATGCGAAACGCTCATGTGGCCAAACAACAGTTGTAGCAAAGTTAGGCGCGAGGAAAACTAGATTGAGATTGAAATATCTAGCATTAATGGAAACCACTTGATATATCATTGTGGATTAATATCCTCGGATCAATTTCCTCGTGGTCCCCACGTCATGTATATCTTCTTCATCGGTATCCCCATGATACTCATTAAGATCATCGCTGCCAGGCTTATCCTCGCTCTCATCGCTCTTATAATTCTCATCATCATCCTCATCATTCTCAAAAGCGCTGGTTTTTTTGCTCCTGTCACCATACTTTTGATATCCCTCGTCGCCATCGCTATCTTCATGATCCTCATAGTCGCTGTGGGGTCCGCGAAAGTCGTCTTCCAGGTCGAAATCGTCCACTTTTCTCTCATAATCTTCACCATCATCCCCATCGTCCTCACTAACGCTGATCTTCTTGTTTCTTCGATACATCTTGTAGCCATCGCCATCGTCAGAAGCATTATCGTCGCTGTCGCCAAAGGTAAAGTCGCTATGCACACTGCGATCGCCCTCAGTGAACTCAGAATCTTCATCATTACTCCCATCATTCTCATCATCCTTGGTATCGCTCATTGTTTCGCTCTTGTCACCATCTTCGTCCTCACTTTTATCATCCTCGGCGATTGATGTTTTGTCGACTTCTCCGTTATCCTTATCACTCATACTAACGGAGGCTCCGTCACTTTCCCGGTCATTCCTCTCCACAGGTTTCATCTCACTTTCCCCATCAGGAACTTTCGTCCGTCTTTGAAGCTACCTAGACTGTCAGTAAGCCCCAGCACCAACTCATCAAAGGACACCATCCACCACGTACCTTCTTATCAATTGACCCCTTAATCTCCCTCTTCTCCAACGGCTCAAACAACTCCGCCATGCTCGTCTTCAGCTCCACAATCGGGTCATTGAGCCTCTCCAGTACCTCCTGCAAGACCTCATCCGACTCCATCTTCAAATCCACCAGCTCCCCTTTGAGCGCGTCTTGGAGGTCTTTGATATCAGACATTTTGGTGGCAAACACAGCAGCCCTTTCCCGCACTCTGCGGTTTTTTGCATAGGTTTGTTCGAGTGAGGCGACTTTGGCCTTGGCGGAGAGGATCATACGCTCTTCTTCAGCTTCGGAGTCGATATCCGGCTCCTCGGCTGCTGTCTTGATTTGAGAGGTCATTGGGGAAGTGCCGGAGGGTGAGGCTGGCTCGATTGGTGGCGCTGTATCGGAGGGTGTGGGCGGTTCAATGGTGACATTTCCGTCGGTTTGAGATACCGGCAAGGGACCGACGTCGGGTGAAGCTGTGCCTGAGGTTATGGTGGGCTGATTGATGGTATTTTGATTGGGTTGAGTGGTCGTCAATGGGACGTCTTCGGACGAGTTGGAGTATAAGTCTATGCTGATGTATTAGTATTTATCTTGGTTCAGAAGGGAGGCGGGAAGTCACCGTCTTCCTCTGGGTCTGGCGCGATGTAGCTGGGCCGAGTAAGTCGGGGTCGAAGGTTTCGACGAGGACGGTCTGTCTCTGGTGAGGGGGAGCGTCTGCGTCGAGTAGAGCGGGTTATGGTAACATCTTCGTCCTGATAGATTTCCTGATAGATTTCTCGCAGGATCTCACATTCGGCATCTGTGAGAGGAGTTGCAGGGTCGATTGAATCCATCTTGAAGTGAGGTTTGCTATGTCTGTGACGGTGATAGATGGCAAGTTCGGTGTGTGGGAGTAAGCAGCAAGATCGGACTTGTGAAGTTGACTTATGAATGTGCGAGAGGAAAGTTAGGGTGAGAGAGATGTGATGAACGTGTACTTGTGAGAAAATGTATAGGTGGGCGAGCTCTTGGAGTAACTAAACTTCAACCCTGATGATATAACTTGGTTTGATGTTGATGTTGCAAGGAAGCATGAGAAGAGTCAAGATCCAAAACAGAGTGAACCTCAGAAGGGAGAGAAGGTAGGAAGGTAAGAAAATAAAAAGGCGAAATGAAGTCAAGAAGGCAAGAAGGGAAGAGTGCAAGAAAATAAGAAGGTGGCGAATAGGTATAAGGTTTACGAAGGAAGATCCAAAACGTCACAAATTGAAGACAGAGATTCGGGTAACGATGCAACTTGTCTCTTATATTTACCACTTCGCGCGACTCAATTAATGCTGATATCACCATGATTTCGCCTCAACAGACCCCAAACGCCCGCTAAATTCAATCCACAGCATCTCCAATCTCACCCCAATTCACCTCCCCCTCAAATCCGGATCAACCTCCGTCCCCAGATCATTCTCTTCCATAAACACCCTATTCCTCAGGGCATCAGGCATATACTCCTGCCTCACCCTCCCATCCTTATAATTCGGGTTATACTTATACTCCGCCCCATATCCCAACTCCTTCATCAGCTTCGTCGGTGCATTCCTGAGGTGCACAGGGATAGGAAGGCTAGCTACCCCGGGCTCCCCAAGCGCCGCGTAGGCGTTATTCAGACTACGGTATGAGCGCGTTGATTTGGGAGCGAGTGAGAGCGCTACGGTGCAATGGCCTAACGCGATTCGGCATTCGGGCATACCGATCTTCTCGACTGCTGTATAGGTGGCGGTTGCTAGGGAGAGCATGCTGTTGTCGGCTAGGCCGACGTCTTCGGATGCTACGACGACTAGCCGACGGGCGATGAAGAGAGGGTCTTCACCCGATTGCAGCATGCGTGCGAGATAGTACAGTGCTGCCGTTGGGTCGGACCCACGGATCGACTTATGCAGTGCTGAGATCGTGTCGTAATGCTGGTCACCGGCACGGTCGTAGACGAGGGTCTTGGTGAGAGCAGTTTTGATATCTTCCTTGGTCGTGTCTGGCCTGTTGGATATGGAGACAGAGAGCTCGAGCAGGTTCAGGGCTGTACGAGCGTCGCCATCCGAGAATGCCGCTAGGTAGGCAATCAGTTCCGAGTCCACTAATTCAGAAGGTTTTGTATCCAAAACACCTTCAGTAGTAAGAGCTCGTTCCAATATCAACCGTATATGCTCATCAGTAAGCTTCTGCAACGTAAACGTCCGACACCGTGACAACAGCGCATTCTGGACTTTGAACGAGGGGTTCTCGGTCGTGGCCCCTATCAGCGTGATCTGGCCCGATTCAACGGGGCCCAGGAACACATCCTGCTGAGACTTTGAGAAGCGGTGGATCTCATCGCAGAATATGATTGTTTTGCGGCCAGTGAGACCGAGCTCGCCCCGCGCTTCGGCAAAGATCTTCTTGCACTCCCCAACCCCCGAACTCGTACTGTTGATCTCGACGAAGCGGCTCCCAACCATAGAGGCAATGCAGCGAGCGATGGTGGTCTTGCCCGTTCCTGCCCCGCCCCAGAGGATCATCGATGGCACGCGGTCTTGCTCGATGAGGTTTCGAAGGATTCCTTTGGGTCCAACTAATTCCTGGCCGCATACATCGTCGAGGGTTCGAGGTCGCATCCGCTCTGCGAGAGGTGCTGCCTTGTGAAAGGCATTGACCTTTGGCTTCTTTGCTGTCGGCGGCTGTTCATTTTCTATGGGATCTTGCCGAACTGCAGGCGTTTCCTCCTCGAAAGACCGTTTTTTCTGAGACGACAATGGCGTACTCTGCACATCATTTATCGAAGATTTTGAGTCTCCATTTGTGCCGGACTTCGGGGTACTAATCGGAAGGCTTCGTTTGGGCCCAGGTGTCTGGAAGAAGTTCGAGAGGCCATTTCCAGCCTGTTGGGTTGATGGCGGGGTACTATCGATATGGGTTTCGCAATTGGAATCGATGTGAGAATTGATATCCTTTGGCTTAACAGGCTTATCACATATCGGGCAAGCAACCATTGTGAATTTTATATAATATAAATCCCAAACTACTCGTCGCTCTTCGTGCCTCCCTTAGTCGCGGTCTGGTCTTGGAGACGCGTTTTGGCGGTGTGTAGCGGCAAAATAGTTAATTAGCGGAATATACATAACCCGACGGTAGTGGCCTGGAAATAGGGGTAAGGGGCAACTCTACGGACGGAACCAGGCAAGAGAGACAGGGGCAACATGCAATATTGGTTTAACGGTAACTTTGGTATCAAGAGAAGACTACTATATTGACTATAAAAGCTATATATGAGGACCTTGCTTCTGAAAATGTGAGGAGGGAGGCTTAGAGAGCGTTCAGAATAGCAGTGTAAGCTGCCTTAGGCTGGAAGTTCGCGTCAAAGAGAAGCGGGTTGCTGCTTGCTCTCCAAGAGTCTGGGTCACGCACACCCCAAACGGTCACACCGACACACTTGGCCTCGTTGAGGCAACCATTTACGACGTTGACGTAATCAGTAGCCGCTGCACCTACAATGTCCAGCTCAGTGACAGCAACCTCGGAGACACCAGAAGCAGCGAGGACCTTGATGGCGGCTGCCAAACCAGCGCCACCACCAGCCTGGAGATGACCCTGAGTTCCGATGCCGTCAATTGGGACACCGGCAGCGATCCACTTCTTGACGTGAGCTACCATGCCGGTGGTGACCTTGGCATAAGTAGCAGTGTCCAAGTTGTAGTCGTTGATGTACAGCTTGGCGTTGGGGTCGGCAGCGCGTGCAGCCTTGAAGGCAATGCTGACGAAATCCTCCCCGAGGACCCTAGAGAATACAGAGTCGCGCATGGAGCCGTCCTCGTTAAAGATCTCATTGACGACATCCCATTGAAGGATCTTTCCCTTGTAGCGAGTCACGATGGTGGTGACGTGGTTTTGGATGACGCTCGTCATTGTCGCCTTGTCCGTAATCGCACTCACCCATGATGGGAGCTGGCTGTGCCAGACTGAGAATGTTAGTCAAGACCACACAACGGCCAGTTTCGACAGAACTCACCCAGGGTGTGACCACGGATCAGCTTTCCGTTGGTCTGGGCCCAGTTCACCAAGTAATCGGCTCCAGTCCAGCCAAAGTTGCCTCGCGATGCTGCATACTGTCAGCTTTAATCAAGAGCCATGGTTCGGTTGACTCACGTTCAATGGAATCCCACTTCATGCTGTTCTCCGGGGTGACTTGACCAAAGTCTGCCTGGATGATCGGAGCGCTTCCGCTGGTCAATCTGCCCTGGTCTGTGGCAGTGCCGATGTACTTCTTGCCGTGTGCCTTGAATCTTACATCGATGCTGCCGCTGGTGGAGCCGCCCCCTGTGTTGCCAGGGTTTGAGGCGGTCGTGGTCGGGGTGGTTCCAGGGTTGCTCGAGACTGGCGGAGCAGTACCTGGGAGGCACTGGGAGTACCCTAGAAAGATTAGAGTGGTTAAATTGGTTGAACGTCTAACGTACAGGCGCTATTATCATTAGTTTCTGCGATTCAACTGACTACACATATAGACTTACTTGGAGAAGGTGCAAACGGAGCCTGACACGCAGGTTGTAGGACCAGTCCAGCCACTTCCACCACCTGTATCTATCAGTTCAGCCCACATGTTCAAGACTTCAATACTCACATTGGCCCCAGACAGCGCTTTGCGCCATGGCAAGTGGCTGAATGGCGGCCGCAAGAGCGACCAAGGCTTTCATGCTCAGCATCTTGAAGTATCTACAGTGAAAATATTTACAAGAGAATGCTAAAGCTGGGGAAGGGGAATGGAGAGGTAGACCTTACATATATATTTATACCAAGCCTTATATATTAACTTCTATATCCGGGTGTTATTAGCCGCATCGCGACGGCGAGTCGGTATCACTGCCGAGCCAAGCCGGATGTGCAGGCCGCATCGCTGATTGTTTCAGGCTGATCTCCCGCTGACAACTTGCCTGCAAACCAGACCAGATCAAGAAGTTGCTCGGGGCGGCATGTAGAGTGCACCATCGCAGTGCAGCCATGGCGTCAAGTTGGGCGGTCCATTCTCACCGTAATCGTTCCTGACGATGAGGGAAGAGGGCAAAGCGGGCGTGGCTGAGGCTTATTAAGCATATGACTAGAAGACGAGAACGAAAGGTTGAGGCTATCGCCATGCCATAATATGATCTCTCCTCGTCCCATAAATGCCGACAACCACAACTCAGGAACGCGCACGCACCGCTCCGGTAACGTGGAAATAAGTCTTGGCAACCACTTTTGCCTGAGCGCTACCCCACGTTTTCGACCTTAATATGCGGGAGAAGTCGAATAGAAGCGGCAGGGAAATAACGTTATTACCCAAATCATCGATGGGTTGCCCGCGTTGCATAATGCTTATAGTGGTAGGTGGATGCACTTCTCCCCGCATCACGCGCATTGTATCGTCTTTGACACCCTGTCAATGGATTTTCCGTCCAGACACTTCCCTTGCTGCCACCAAGGAGTAAACAAGATCCCCACCCACTGACGATTTGTTCTCCATCTGTCCTGCCACGTTCCTTGTCTCAAGATGCGATCGAATGTGACGGTAACGGGCCAAAGGCCAAGGTTCACGATCATCGACACCTCACACCACCACACTTCCCCTCAAAACCCGAACTCATCCGAAGCTGTAGAGTATAAATGCAGATATGAACCGTGGTGTAATCTAGAAGTGGCTGTTGCACATTTGGCTATATAATCCTTGGCACCTATCCAGAAGAGGGGTCGATTTGCGACCAATCGCAACCCAAGGAAATACGCTGGAACGTCTTCGCCTGCAATTATATTGCCCTTTAGATTAAATCAGCTCAAAAACAATCAATTTATTTGTGGAGTGTATGACCTGTGATGGAAAAGACAGAGAACAACCGATGGTTGACCCGAAAGGCGCCAAAAATATCGTGTTTCCGGAAACCCAGAGCTGGAAATCGGAGTAATCCCTGGTCCCCATCCCCATATCTCCCGATCTTCCAGGTCTGTCCCAGAACGCTTCTCCGGGGTGCAAATCTGAGCCAAGAAGTGTGGATAAGAGTATATGACCATAAATTGATGGCGCTTGAAGTCGATTCGGTGGACAAACTTCATGTTATCCACCAGGCTCCCCACGGCTGAGCACTCAAGTTCAGTACCAAACAAACATCAAGAACACGATATATCAATATCAAGCACAATTACAAAACCCAATCCATTCGCGCGTTCTATCCTACAGTACAGTAATATTACAGTATTCCACCCCTCCCTCCCAAGTCCCCAACTCCGAACCTCCCCACCCCACCCCTCATCCTCCTCTCCAGCTCGCCGTAACGGGTCCTCGGGCGAGGACTTTGGTGTCAGGGCCGCCGCCAGGCTCTTTCACCGCAGTTCCCACATCACCAATCGAGCTCGAGCTTCGGCATGGAAGCGGCAACTGCGTGCCGACTTCCACGCCGACGAGCCTCGAAGGTGACCCCACCTATCGTCACCGTCTCGACCTCGAGGTGAATGACAACTGGCTGTTGGCGGCAACCAGTTGCTTCGTGGCCCTCGAGGCCGGACCGTGACAAGGATGTCAGGGCCGAGGGTGGTACGCCGGCTCCCGTGAGCTCGGCGACCAAGTGAGAGTGGGCCGTGGAGGGAGCAGCCATGGTCAGTATGCCTCGTGCATACTCACCTCCACGATCCTGCTGGAGAGCAGGATCCTCCACAATTGATGTCAACTCCAGCTCGCGCTGGAGTGACGCGCGGGAGGTGACAGATGGTGGGGGCTTGGTATTGCCATGTCCCGCCGACTCATCTTCACGACTTGGAGCTGGGCCAGTTCCAGGCTCCAAGTCCTCCGCGATTGACGTCGCGACGCCAGTTTCCGTCTGTGTTCCAATGGAACACGATATGAACCCAGTGTCAGTCTGGGTCCCAACTGACACGCGAGACTCGACACTGGGTTTAACGGGCTTTGCGTCGCGACGGCTCTTCTTCTTCGAAGCCGCCGCTGATGGCTCCGATGGCCGAGATACAGGGACCCACTCCTGTTGCTCAGGAAGAGGCGCGACCCATTTGCCGCGCCTCGGCTTGACATTCTCCTGAGCAACAGGAGACGAAAGTTGCGCCAAATGAGAAGGGCCGGCAGAGATCGGGTTTGCATTGTTCAAAGAAGGCTCCACCGAGCGAGGTAAGTTCGGAGACGCGTCGGCGAGGGGTGTGGCTTCATCATCCTCGTTGGAAGCAGGTCCGGAAGTCTGGCCTGTCGGGTGGTGTAGTTTCAGATGAACGCCAGCAACATTCCCGTCATTGGTCGCACTATCCGATGTAGTCTCTGAGACTTTCTCCAATGCTCGAGGTGGATTCAAAGACAGGTTGGTAGTCTCTGGAAGTGGTCCAGAGTCTGATGGGTTGGCCGAAGTCATTGAGATTCCAAGTGCTGATGCGCGGGATAAGGTTCGCATCCGAATAAAGTCAATGCTCTGACGCCTCTCCTCACGCCTCTCCTCCTTTATGCTGGCTCGACGGGCTCTCACTTCTTCAAGGCTCGGTTGTGGTGGTTGCGCTCTCAACTCTTCAATAACCCGAGCTCTATCCTCGTTGGTGGACTGGGACCCATGGGTTGATGCAATATGAGCTCCAGTGTGATTTGGACTGGAACTGGCGGCAGCAACGACCTGAGGAATTACTTGGACCTCCACTGGAGCGGCAGCTTGAAGGGTCACTGCATCTTTGACTGGGGCTTGGGAAGATGCTGTGCCTCCAGTTGGGGCATCAGTTTGAGAAGATGCTGTATGTCTAGCTGGGGCAACAGCTTGAGATTCTGATTTCTTGGCGATGCTTGTGCCTGTTGTAACAATAGTCGTCGATGAAATTGCTTCATTTCTGACAAGGGCTGAGACTGAATCTGAGACTTCTGGGATTGTTTGGCCCTGAGTCAGCTGTCCAGCTTGGTCCTCGGATTGGGCAGTGGATTGAGAAGATTCCTGGCCATGGCTTGACGTGGATACACGAAGGTTTGTCTGGCGTTGGTTTGCAATAATACCTTTTCCGTCCTTGATCGGTTCAGGGGTTCTGGCTTCAGTTTTGTTTGTAGGTGCCTCTTCCAGAAGATGAGTGACGTCGGGAGTCTCATCTATGGTAGGCTCGAGGTCATTGTCTTCAGTAAATGCCTCCAAAGTTTCCTCGACCTTTGTGGTCTCAACTGCTATCCATTTAGTTAGAGCTACCCTCTATATCGATAGTTTTGGGATATTGGACTCACAATTAATCTCCGTAATCTCAGCTTGAATGGTGGCAGCACTGCTGGCTTCACCGGCCTGTTCCACTCCACCAATCTTGCGCTTCGTCCTACGGCGCTTATTCTTGCCTGTTTTCCCTTTTGGTCGCTTTTGGATGGCCATGACTGGTTCAAGCCTTGAAAAGCCCCGACTCGACATCGGAATGACCTCCAAACCATAATATAGTTTCGAAATGTTGTTGAAATTCGGAAAGCCTGGATTTGTTCCTTCCATGTTCACAATACAGTCCTGGGTATCATTGTTCAGACATGTCTGGATCAAGAATCGACGGTTGTCTTTCATAAACTGATGGAGGTCATCGTGAGTTGGAGAGATGATTGGTGCCTCGTCATCAGTATTGGTCTTGCAGCAAAGTGTGTCGATTGAGTCATGCTCGATCTGAAGCGGCTCTGGGTCTTTAGTGGAGATTCCGGTAATGGTCTCGTTATGGGCCTTCATTCTATTGTAAAGAAAGTCCGTGCTCCATACAGTTTGGCCAAATGTAGTGCCAATGTAGATATAGGGAATGGTGGAGTTTGAAGACAGGAGGCGGTGGCTTGCAGAAAGACTTGAATTCTCATAACCCTATGATTATTAGTGAATAGGTTTCGTGTCTTCGGACAGCTATAACCTACCTCAACCCAAATCCTGAGATCGATAAATCCCTCTGGCTCCCCCAACTTTTTCTCCAGTCTGATAGCTTGGTAGCCAGTTTGCTGCCAGAAAACTTCTGGTATGATGCAAGTAGTAAAGTTGTGGCCAATGTTGGCATCATACACTGTGTTTGCGTAGGAAGTCATAGTATCTACTGTGACTGGTGATACTGGTGCGATTCCTACAACGTGATTCCAAAGGAATGCCAAGAAGTTATTGTCAAGGTTCCCGGCAGCTGTTTTGTTTCTGTTGACAATCTGTTGTGAGAGGGCAATCCAGGCCCTGTTCAGGACACTGGCAGGTATGGCAAAGCCACTCGTATTAGTGATGTTCACAAAGGCTGGGATGTTCAGCTTTTCCTCTTCTGGTGCCTTGCCACCACCTCCTTTGCTGCTAATAGTTGACATTGTTAGCATAATTGTAGAACAAGGTTGAGAAATAACTGTGAAGCAATTTGACAGAAATAAAGTCAAGAAAGCAGTGGAGTGGTATGTTGTTGGTGATGTTTGGGGCGTGGTGCCACCGAGGGATGATCTGGTCAAAAATGGCGATAGTGCAGTAGTGAGGTCAATCTGATTGATAGATGTTCGGGATATCCATGTGCCAGTAAAGGTTGTATGAGGAAGTGTGGAAGGTGTAGGGGCAATCGGTAGATCGTAGGTCAGACGAGGCACTCTGCTCGAGTTTCCGGTGAAGGTGTAGGGGCAGTTCGCTTGGGTCACACGTCCAACTGTAGAAGCAACCGAAAGATTGCAGGTGAGAAGGACTGTCTGCTCTGGTTGCTAGGGAAGCTATTGCTCTTCTGGCGAATGAGAACGGGGGTGACCCCGGTCAAGACTCCCGCCAAACTGGCGGAGGCCACCGAGCCAGCGGGGATAGTGCTTTTAAATCGAATAGAGAACAAAATAAAACTATGAACTTACTTCTTTGCTTTCAAGTTCGAAGATAGGAAACGTTAGGAAACGTTGGCGTAGAAACGGTGCCGTTAGAAATTTTGGAAAAGGGTGAAGTTATACAAATCGAAGTAAACTTAACTATTATATCAGGGGCAATGTGCGGCATGAATACGCGAAACTATTAGCGTATCCTACACTACGTACGGTAAATATGATACTCCGATGCCGAGTTTATATTGTTTCCCTTAAAGCGGCCCATGACAAAGCGAGGTTTGGTTTGGCTCATTAGTGAAATCCATGACAAGGCTTCTCGGCCTCGCTGGTATAAACCTGGCATCACATCTTGAACATTAGAAGGAAGTAAATAAATATATGCTTCCTCTTCCCTCGACTTTTATATCAAAGCCAGCCTTATGGTGTTACGGCCAGATAATGTGTAATGAAGAAAGGTATGGAGCATCCCTACCAGATGGGCTCGTTTGGGTATCAAATATGACAAAAGTGAATAGGAAATTACTGTACATTTAGCATATATAACTTAACTGTAATACATATTAACTGAAATTATGGCATCAAAAACATTACAGGTGCAGTTGGTGAAGTGCCTCGATTGCATGGTGATAATATGTCGTTGGAGGTTGTTGGGATGCTTTGACGCGCGCTTCAACTACAAGCGCGCTTGTTGCTTTGGGTTAGCGCGGTTTGACATAGTTTATCGCAAAACCTCTCTTGAACAGTTTGACGATCTTCAACACCCTCTTTTGCCCAAGATACAAATTTAGCCGTCGCAAGCGCATATTTGAGCCAGGCCGCTATAGTGTTGATCTCATCTGTAGCTGGGGGGGGTTTTCTAGCAGTGTCTCTGTTGCGACGCTTTCATACCCAAAGCGAAAACCACACGAAGCAACAGTCTTGATCTACACCACAGCCTCACAAAGATCTATATTGCACTCATGGCTGAACAACCGAGTATCACGTCTATTCTGGCGGCTTTAGGTGAGTTTCAGATAATGCAGATAAATGACGGCGCACTAACCATCATAGCTGCTCAACATGGTGGCACTTCACAGAACCAGCAGTCACCACAGCCAGGGTATCAGGAACAGCAGTACCAACAACAACCACAGGGCCAACCTCAGCATGGATATTCGGCTACACAATACCCATTACCTCAGCCAACGCACTCTGGCAACGTTGACCTCAGCAGCATAAAGCCGGTTAATTCTGGGACTGTTAGCATCGCAGATGCCATTGCAAAGGCAAAAGCCATAGCTGCAGAGAAAGGGCTGGCATATGAGAGGCCAGCATATGGTGCCGACCATAGGGCTGACGCGTCAATGTCGCACATACAACCTCGATCGCGATCAAGATCCCCGCCTCCTGGTCGCCGAGAGCCATTCCGCGACAACTACAACCCCTACCGAGACGAGCGGAGGCCTGATAGGATGCCTGTGGGGAGAGACCAATATGGTAGAGAACGCTCATTTTCCCCAGCACCACGTGCTCGAGGTGCACAGGAGACATTCTCACCCCCTCGGGCTGGTAATGCGGGGTATAATGTTCGCGAGAGATCACCAATCGGCAGAGGTGGAGGAGGAGGAGGTGACGGCGATAACTCCGAGATAATCACGATAGAGTCTAACCTTGTTGGTCTTATTATTGGCAGACAAGGCGAAAATCTTAGACGTGTTGAGGCTGAAACCGCTTGCCGTGTCCAGTTCATTCCCATCTCCGAGGAGAATGGCCCATTCCGCCAGTGTAAAATCAGTGGTCCGCGAGCACGCCGAGCAGAAGCTATTGCAGAAATCAACCGCATTATTGACGATAGCGGTATGGGAAGCGGTGCTCGAGCCGGAGCAGATCGTCAGGGAAGAGATGCCGCCCCAGCTCGTGCTAGCTCACACCAACCAGCACTACGCGATGGTGAAGATAGTATGCAAATAATGGTCCCTGACAGAACTGTGGGCCTCATCATTGGCCGCGGCGGTGAGACTATCCGTGATCTACAGGAAAGGAGTGGATGTCATGTCAATATTGTGGGCGAGCAAAAGAGCGTCAATGGCTTGAGACCAGTCAATCTTATCGGTTCGCGTGAAGCTGCAGCCCAAGCAAAGGATCTAATTATGGAGATTGTAGAAAGCGACAGCAAGAGCATGGCTGAAAAAGGCCGTGCTCCTCCTCCACAAAGGGAGCCTGCCAGAGATGTTAACTACGGTGGGGCGAGCGGAGGTGCTGATAAGGTCAACGACTCAATATATGTTCCTTCGGAAGCTGTCGGCATGATTATTGGAAAGGGAGGCGAAACTATCAAAGACATGCAGAACACCACAGGCTGCAAGATCAATGTAACACCTTCATCTGGCCCTGGCGAGGTCGAGCGTGAGATTGGCTTGGTTGGATCCAGAGATTCAATTGAGAGAGCTAAGCTGGCGATTGAAGACAAGGTAGAGGCCGTGGTAAGTCCTATCGCATTTTTTCTTTCGAAAATCTAGCTAACTGTTGTAGCAATTAAAGAATGGAGGAGGTGGTGGTCGGAACAAACCTCCCCAGAATGATCAGGGAGATCGCAGCTATTCCCAGCAAGCTTATGGAAGTGCCCAAGGACAGCCTCAATCACAACAAGGGCAAGCTCCAGCAGCGACAGGGGGCGAAGACCCATACGCAGCATGTAAGTACGGCCTTTCAAACTCACTAGATACCCACTGATTAGATATAGATGGCGGTTATCAAGCATATGTTGCACTTTGGTACCAAGTCATGGCTGCTCAACAAGGCGGCCAAGCACCAGGCGGCCCGTCACAACCGCCAGGAACTTCCTAATCCCCGCCCAGACACACCATTGCCACTCTTCGGACATCGACACTATCTTGACTGCTTGACTGCATGATTTGATTATTGAGACTCGCCTGACCGAAACTGCACACTGAGACTGTGATGCCAGCACTGGCTGGTATGACATACATGATTGCATGCACTTGTTGATCGTTATGAAGCTGCTGAAGATTGATGCCGCAACTCCAAGCTACAGGTCCTCGGCCACGACATGATCCATTGATGATGCCCCTCTTGGTAGCCAGATCGACTTTGTGGTTTTCTTGACCTGGATGACCCATATGACTGCCTGACATGCTTTACTGGCCGTTAGAATGCACCATGACCGCAATGATACTCCCCGGAGTTCTGTCTACATCCTGGGCTCCGCTAACAATATCTACAAGCACTTCATGCCGGTGTTACAGTTGGATGGAAACGGTTGCATTGCTGGTGATATTAAATGCCCTGGTACGGTGGCCCTGTTGCCTTTTTCGTTCGTCAAGGACGCCGCCTATTGACGCCGATCACAAATCCTCTCATTTTCAATTGGACTTGTCAATGGAATGAGAACTGACTGCATGATTTTACGGGTCCGAGGACGAGTATATATCTGCACAGAGTAAGTGGTCGGCATCGTGGTCGTCTTTTGCTATGCGAATATGTATATTGTAGGATTATTAGTTTTGCGCAATGAACATGAAGTTTCTCCAATTCCAACGTATATAAAACGACTTCTAAAGAGCAATCGGAGAGCTTAGATGTGAGAGTCCTCTGTGTCATGATAGTGAATGTGACAAGTCATGTGACGTATGTTTTTGTAACGCCTCAGGCTGACATCGCCCTTCGAAAAGTTGAAGCTCCAAACCGCGATTGACGAACATATCATCCCAGTCTTCCATGATCTGGACTATGAAAAGAAACTAAGAAATATCTTCAAAACGTGTCAATTACGTCAATAACAACAAGAATCAAAGTTTACAGCACAAATTGCATTGTCCACCGAAGTTACAGCCATCATGGTCCAAATCACTGAAGTGAAGGGCAACAGCCGCGAAAACCGCATTTCAACACATACCCATATCAAAGGCCTTGGTCTTCGGCCTGATGGCATAGCTGAGAAGCAGTCTGGCGGGTTTGTTGGGCAAGTTGCTGCAAGAGAAGTGAGCAAAGCATGGAGCAGCTTATGATTTACAATCCACTAACCCAGTTCACAGGCATGTGGTGTAGTTGTCGACCTCATTCGAGCACAAAAGATGTCGGGCCGCGCCGTGCTTTTGGCAGGAGGCCCTGGTACCGGGAAAACGGCGCTCGCGCTGGCCCTCAGCCACGAACTGGGAACCAAGGTTCCATTCTGCCCCATTGTTGGCAGCGAGATCTATTCGACTGAAGTAAAGAAGACCGAGGCGTTGATGGAGAACTTCCGGAGGGCGATTGGTCTGCGTGTGCGGGAGACAAAGGAGGTTTATGAGGGCGAGGTCACGGAGCTTACTCCGGAAGAGACAGAGAATCCTCTGGGTGGTTACGGCAAGACGATCAGCACGTTATTGATCGGGCTGAAGAGCGCCAAGGGCTCGAAGAAACTGCGTCTGGATCCCAGCATTTACGAGGCTATACAAAAGGAAAGAGTGACTGTGGGCGATGTCATTTATATCGAGGCCAACACCGGAGCTTGCAAGCGTGTTGGACGATCCGATGCCTTTGCTACAGAGTTCGACCTTGAAGCGGAAGAGTACGTGCCGATACCCAAGGGAGATGTGCACAAGAAGAAGGAAATCGTCCAAGATGTGACATTACACGACCTGGATATCGCGAACGCACGTCCTCAGGGTGGTCAGGATATTATGAGCATGATGGGACAGCTGATGAAGCCAAAGATGACCGAAATCACGGACAAGTTGCGCGAGGAGATCAACAAGGTGGTTAGCAAGTATATCGACCAAGGTGTTGCCGAACTGGTTCCTGGAGTGCTCTTTATCGACGAGGTATGCTATAGGATACATCTACGAGAATTGAAACGTTCTAACTTCGCACTAGGTCCACATGCTCGACATTGAGTGCTTCACGTATCTGAACCGCGCGTTGGAGTCTCGCATTTCTCCCGTTGTCATCTTGGCATCCAATCGCGGTATGTGCACGATCCGTGGTACGGAAGACATTGTAGCTGCACACGGCATCCCGCCGGATCTGCTTGCGCGCCTTCTCATCGTTCCAACCCACGCCTATGATGCGGAAGAGGTCAAGAGGATTGTCAAGATTCGGGTCGCGACTGAAGGTCTTGCAATCGCAGAGGCTGCGTTGGACAAGGTGGCCGAAGCGGGTACAAACATCAGTCTGAGATATGCGCTGCAACTTCTGGCTCCAGCTTCGATTGTTGCCAGATGCAGAGGGGCACAGGAAATTGGAGTCCAGGATGTTGCAGAGTGCCAGGACCTATTCTTAGATGCCGGCAGGAGCGCGGCGGCTATGGTTGGGGATGGGAGCGGGTTCCTGGTTTAATTTCGAAATTTGGGGCGGAAAGGAGTCTCGGAAAGGAAAACGGCGTTCAGATGAGTGATACGAAGATGCTGTCTCTGTATACTAGGCGAGAGGTGCAGATTTTAACAGAGTACGATAGATAATAAGAATACCACGTGGAAATTTATCCAGCCGTTTGGTTTATTTGCCCACGGAGATATGTCGACCACTCAAAGTTGGAGAGTTGCAGATATGCAGATGTGCAGATCGGAGCGATACAGCCATCCGTTTATATTTACAGATTTAACGAGGAACGGGCGGAATGAGCACTTACCATCCGTTTGCGGGTACTCTATACACTCCACATTCCACGGACCAACATATACCAAACGCAAGTTTTGAGCCGCATGTCGGACGCGTTTCTTTCATGTACCACCCAGCCAATCGAATAAAATGTCCCTGGCCGGCCAGCCCTGGTGCTATTACTTCTGTTGGCATTGGTTAACTCCTCTATTTTGATTGCTTTCTCCATTGTGAAGCTATCCAGCCCATGGTAACCTCGTCCGTATGGCAGCCTATCCGCATACATGTCTCGCTTTGTAGCAAATGGACCAGTTGCTGCTTGTATCGATGCCAGTGCTCTGCGGTATACTATGATTTTCTTTGTCCAGAACCAGGTTTTGACGCTTATCTGCCGAGACATAAGGGGGCAAGAGGTGTGCAGAAAACAAAGAATCTGCTAGTTGTGAGTTGAAGCTTTAGACAAAGGTTTTATTGTGCACAATATCCTTTCATTGAGATTGTTCCCATTGATTTCTTTTCTGGCTTGTAATGGTTATTTTTCATTCATCGCTATTCTAGTTTACGCTTTGTTATTGTTTCTGTGATAAGGGCCTTTTAACGAGAAAGCTTTCTGCGAGAATCGATTCTGAGATGCTTTACTAAATTCTGTTGGGAATATCCCGTCTTCGGCATTGCTGCGTTTGCGATTTTCATTATCACCCGTACAGTGGATCTAGCCATGGCCGAGGGAGAATCAACTTCTCTTTCGAGCACTCAGATGAGAGACCTTCCAAGATCACCAACGATTATATCTCCATCTTCCTCCAGGAAAGACTCCCTCAGATCATCCAACAATACTGAGAAGGAGTCGGCGCCCTCACCGCCACTCACTCGTTTGATGAAGAAGCGGGCGGCGTCTCTCGACACTGATGCTGCCAACAATCCCTCAATTGCGAACCTCTCTCTCCACAGTGCCAGCCTCGAAAGCCCACGGACTGATTCAAATAACCAAGTCTGTCTCTGCCAACCTGATCCAAAGATCCCCCGACCACGAAACGGTACGTACAAACTATACCCTCTCTTCTGCCATGTTTGTCGTTTATGGGTCAAGTGCTCGCTGTCGCCTTTGTTTCGTTTGTAGGTTTGATTGGACACTGATAGCTAATTACTCTTTGAAGCTTTTATTCTTTATCGTCAACACTATCAAGGGCAAGTCATTGCACAAAATCCAGGACTTGCCAACCCAGAGATATCAAAGATCATCGGAGCACAGTGGCGAGAGCAATCTATTGAAACCAAAAACGAATGGAAGAGACTAGCCGAGGTTCGTGAAGGCCCCGGAACCCTCATGAGAGAATTAGAGCTGACAAGAACACTTTAGGAAGAAAAGCACAGGCACCAGCGTCAATATCCAGACTACAGATATCAACCCAGACGACCAGGAAAGCTCAACGGCCCTCGACCAGCAGCATCGCCTGACGACCCCTTGAGGTGTCCAAAGTGTAACGGTCGATATTTCTCAACACCAGGCACGCCTCTTACACCATTGCCACCTACCCCATCGATAGGAAACTACAACGATAAACCTGTCCAGCCGTTCTCACGTGCGATGGACCGCGAGGGTCGCTACACCACAGACTCGCCAGGGCCCTTTCAAGATTTTCGAACTGGCCCTCCCTATCCACAGCCACACAACCGCCGCCCACAATTACATATTGAGGAAACAGGAAGTCAGTGGCACGATTCAGACACTGAGGTGGTTCAATCCCCGCGTGCTAAGCGTCAAAGGCCCAACGACAATCCAAATCCATACCCCTATCCCACTCAATCATGGCCAAACGGGCCACAACGTATATCACGCGTCCCCATGTCAGCAGTAGCCTATGAGCCTGCCCGAATTCCCAATCAACGCGTCGTGGCATATCACCATCATGGACACCATGGGATGATGGAGCCGCCTCCCCGGTCTACACCAATCAGCGGACAATTTCCTCCTCATACACCTAGCCATGTACGGCCTCAGAACATGGATGACCTGCGTTTGCCGCCTCTGCAGACCAAGATCCCTATTCCAGGATCCGCGCAAGTACAGCAGCATCAATTTCACGGGCAACAACAGCTACTACGGAATAGTATCAGCAACTCACAATCCGTTGAGGCTATGGTCATGACGATCCCATTCCTCAACAAGATCCGCGTCCTTGCCAAAATCGCTCCACCGCTGGCAGCACCAGGACCCACGAGTCCAACGCAAGAAGTTCGCGGTCCAGTCGTTGCAGTAGAAGGAACAAACCAAAAGCTCGTCGCTGAGGTGGGGGAATACATCGAAGACTGTCTGAAACAGAAAGCAGAATGCCTTGTCAAAACATGGACCAGCGACTCTCAAACTCCCTCGAGGCGCTCGGAATCAACACCAACCGACATTTCCATGTCCGGCACTGAGAACGGCGTTCCAGTGCCAGCCGGTATCACAAGCAACATCCAGAGCAGAGGCCCAATAATCGACTACCTCGAAGCAATAGGCACCTGGCACTCCAAGTCCGCCGAGATCCGCAACTTCATCTCCACGCGCCCCGCACCCACAACCCCTCCCAAATCCCCAGAGGGAACCCCCAAATCACCAGCCCCCACCTCAGCTCCGCGCCTCCCTATCGCGCTGCTACCGAGAGGTTTCTCACTTTCCCTCTCAGACCGAGCTGCGATCCATATCCCTATCAACGACGCATATGCGCCGGTGGACCATTGGCAGTGGATGGCTACCTTGTGGCGGGGTATCATTGGCGTGGATCTCACGGTGTATGTGTGCAGTGGGGCGATCGGGGACGAGGATGGAAGCCGGGGAGTGCATCCGGGTATGGGGGGGGTGGAGGTTAGGAATGATGCGAGGGCTATTGTTGTTTACGCTCCAAGTGGGAAGTTGGAGGATAAGTGGTTGCGGAGGGTTGGGTTTGAGGTTGCTGAGTTTGTGATTGGAGGAGGGTTGAAGGGGTAGAGTTGTTTTTTTTTGGTCTGGGGAGCGAGGTTAAGTGAGGCGTCGTGTTTTAATTTTCTAGAATTGTGTTTTTTATTAAATTGGATAATTAATGAAGCTTTGTTTTAATACTTGTAAACCTGGACCTTCATATTTTACATGTATATCACGAAAAATAATCAAATAATAATAGTTCATTATATTCCGAAAATACCCCTTGAAATTCCTACAAATGAGATCTAAATGTATGATGCAAGTGTGCTACTAGGTAACTTAAATGTCCTCAGGCTCAAACCCATCTTTGGCCAACACCTTCTCCAGCTGCTCAGAGACATAGTGGGCTACGTGCTTATTCACCTCATCCCGTTCCATCTCCCCTTCCCGATCAACCGAATTACGGACCGAGCCCGCGTCGCGTTCTGTGTGATCATCTCCATTGATGGAGGTATTAAAATCGCTTCGAGCTCCGATAGATCGGCTGGTCGACGAGCGGCGCATGGGCTTCGGCTTGAACGACTCCGGTTGTCCAATATGCCTTCCGAAAACGTCATCGAAGTAGTGCGCCATGCCTGTAGATGGCGTCCGGGGTGTTTGGGGAAGTCGACAGCTGACTCTGTATGGACATTAGTAAGAGTAGAATGAACAGAATATTTTGAAACTTACCCAGTATCGTGGATCATCCTGGCAATGAGACCAGTCCATCCACACTGGTGCGTGGCTCCCAGCCCACGTCCACTGTCGCCATCGAAGAACTCATAAAACCAGAGGTTGTCCTTCCAGTAAGGGTCAAAGTCTAACTTATCGTCGCCGTCATTGATAGCACGTCTTCCATCGTCGCCGCGAGCAAACAAATGCTGAAGACGATGCTGGATCTCTTCCGCCACATGGCCCAAATGCATGAATTCTCCAGAGCCAGTGGGGCATTCCACCTGGAGCGATTGGCCGTAGAACATGTAGAAACGCTGGAGAGATTCGACAAGCAAGAAGTTGACGCAGATCCAGATAGGTCCACGCCAGTTGCTGTTGCCTCCAAACAGTCCACTATCGGAGTCGCCTGGGATATAGCTCACTTTGAATTCCTGTCCGTTGACTTCCATTGAGTAGGGATTCTTCTCATGAAATTTTGAGAGCGATCTAATTCCGTGATCTCCAAGGAATTCATCCTCATCCAGCATGCGCTTGAGGATCTTCTCAAGACGATCCTTGCTCACTAAAGAAAGCAGGATTCTATTGTCCTTTCCTCGCTTTCTGATGCTGGCCATATTGCGCTCGGCGACATCGTGACGATTCTCAATAAACCAATCAACCCTCTTCTTGAAGTTAGGCAATTGATTGATGAGCTCGGGCTCTAGCGTCAGAGTTGCGTAGAGTGGAATCAATCCAACTAAGGATCGTACTGGGAGTTGTTGAGAATATGGCCCACCCCAGGAAATGGCATCGTAATAGAAGCCATCCTCTTCGTTCCAGAGTGATTGCTCCTCTGTTTGCCCGGGTTTGTACGTCATCGCATCACTGATGAGCATGAAGTGCTCGAAGAACTTAGATGCAATATCTTCGTAGATGCGACGATGCTTTGCAAGCTCCAAGGCAATGTTCAACATGCAGAGGCAGTAAAATGCCATCCAACCAGTGCTATCAGCCTGCTCAAGCACTCCTCCTGTCGGAAGCGGCTCTGAGCGGTTGAATAACCCAATGTTATCCAAACCGAGGAATCCACCCTCAAACACATTCTTTCCTTCCAGATCCTTTCGGTTCACCCACCAGGTAAAGTTAAGTAAGAGTTTCTGAAAGACACGCTCCAAGAAGTCCAAATCTTGCCTGCCGTACATCTTACGCTCAATCTTAAATGTGCGGAATGTAGCCCAGGCATGAACTGGGGGGTTTACATCGCCGAAATTCCACTCATAGGCAGGTAGTTGGCCATTCGGATGCATATACCACTCCCTCGTGAAAAGATCCAGTTGTTTCTTTGCGAAATCAGGGTCGATCATTGCCAGTGGGATGCAGTGAAACGCTGAGTCCCACGCGGCAAAGAAGGGGTACTCCCAAGAATCAGGCATGGATAGAATATCATCGAGATGCATGTGCTTCCATTGCGTGTTCCGGACAGCCTTCCGCTCCGGAGGCGGTGGTGGAGATGACGGATCGCCGTTCGCCCACTGGTCCCAGATGAAATGGTAGAACTGCTTGGTCCACATCATACCGGAAAGCGCTTGCCTCTGGATGTTGCGAAGATCATCCGCCATTGGGAGCGGGCTGATGCGGTAGAAAAACTCATCAGTTTCCTCTCGTCGCTTTTCAATTATATCGTCGAATACCTCCTCGTCCAAGTATGCGTCATTCTTCTTGGAGAAGCGGAATCGAACAACAGCACACTCTCCTGGTGGCACTCCATCTCCCTCGTCGAACGCAAACCAGGCAGCGGCTTTGGTGCCAGTCTCCTTAGGGTTGATAGCGGCCTTTTCTCCATCAACAATATACCGATGAAACGCATCTTTGACATAAGGCTGTGGATTCTCAACATTATAGAGGTGCTCCCGATTTGTGTCGTTCTCCGTGAATATTAATTCAGGTTGTATGTCTTGGCCACTTGGTCCAGTGCCTGGGGATGGCGATAATTGAAAGTACCGGTCACCGAGCTTGTAATGTTTGCTATGCACTGTTGATTCTCCTGACTTTTCGATTGACGGCTTCTTATCCTCAGACTCATGTCCCCACGCCCAAGTATTTCTGAACCACATGTGGGGGACAATGTGCAACGGCGCTGGGTCAGGGCCACGATTCCATGCTGTCACTCGGAAGAGGAGTTCGTCTGGATCATCGCTCTCTTTCGCGGTCTCGATGAATATATCCCAGTAGCGGTCTTCTTCAAATATTCCGGTATCTAGTAGTTGGTATTCTCTGTCTTGCTTGCCCCGGCGGGCATTCTCATCGATGAGATCTTTGTAGGGGAATGCCTTCTGTGGGTATTTGTATAGAAATTTCATGTACGAGTGCTAAAAAAGTCAACAGCGGCCAGTTTTTATGTACGATGACCATACTGTAGGGACATTGTCCAAGTGAAAATGAGCTTCCTTGATGCTTTCGCCATGGTTTCCCTGCGGGTTAGACAGGCCGAATAGTCGTTCTTTCAGAAAGTCACTGGCAACTGTTAGCTATATCCCTGGCAATAAAATAAACGGGCGCATACTCTTTCTCATTCCAAAATGCGAACGCGATGTTCTGGAAGCCGTGTGTATCTGAAACGCCTGCAATACCATCCTCTCCCCATCTGAAAGCCCTTGAGCGGGCGTCGTCGTGGGTGAAGTCTACAGACAATTAATTGCCATTGATTGAAGCTGGACACTGAACTTACGGCTCCAAGCATCGCCATCAGCACTGTAATCCTCACGAACTTCACGATGTTGTCAGCGGCGAGGTCCAATACGACGGAGGACGTGGGGTAAATACCAGTTGCCCATTGCCTTTCTGCGACGTACGGGCCCCATTTCTTCCAATACTTCGTTTTTTCCCGATCTTCCTTGAGACGCTTCTCTTCCGCAGACAGAAGGTCGACCTGGTCGATGCGAACCATTTGGGCAGTGAAGACTCAGAAAAGCCTTTCTGGTGTTTATGAATGAGAGAGGTGTATTTTTTTCAATGAGAAAGTTGAAGATACGGCTGGCCCCGCGTATGACAATAAGCCCACTATAGTGGCGTATTCAGCAGCTAGCAGTGTACCTCAGTACGCGTGAATTAATTAGCTATTTTATAGAAGGGATCGTTCAATTGGCTGGTAAATATCAAAACAGATCGTTCCAGCCAGCGCCGATGTCTGTACCACATGTATTCAACAATATTCCCGATGACGTATCTGCCAGATAAGGAAAACCGGGCACTTGTATAGTATAAGTACCAATGTACCCACTGAATGTAATATTTTGACGGGTAGAGTGTTCTGAACGGTTGATCACATGACTTCGTGCGCGCGCAGAGCGCGTCGGGCGCGTTGAACAAGCTTAAGCTTCCTGAACTATTCCAAACCTCAAGTCCAGCCTCGCTCACAACCCACACCTTGTCTATAGCTGACGATACAATTCTCGGCCCTCGCGATTAGTTGCAATTTAGCAATCTTTTGGCTGGCATATACAACTCCAGTATCTCAACAGACTTCATAGAATTGACAGGGGAAGAACATCTCTTCGGCCGAGTAATACAATGGCGCTTCTTGTGGACAAGCATCGTCCCCGCTCTCTCGACACATTGAGCTACCATGACGACCTTTCTGAGCGCCTTCGGTCCCTGGTATGCCGCTCAAACACCATCCCAACCCAGAGGCTCAGCTAACCTCAACCTTTCAGGCACAAAGCGGGGACTTCCCTCATCTCTTGGTATATGGCCCATCCGGCGCGGGCAAGAAGACGAGGATAGTGGCTACTCTCAAAGAGCTCTTCGGCCCAGGAGTAGAGAAGATCAAGATCGATTCTCGCGTTTTCCAAACCTCGTCAAACCGCAAACTCGAATTTAACATCGTAGCTTCTGTCTACCATCTCGAAATTACGCCCAGCGATGTTGGAAACTACGATCGAGTCGTTGTCCAAGATCTGTTGAAAGAAGTAGCACAAACACAACAAGTCGATCAAAGTGCTAGGCAAAAATTCAAGGTTGTGGTCATCAACGAGGCGGACCACCTCACCAGAGATGCACAGGCGGCACTGAGAAGGACAATGGAGAAGTACAGTCCGAATCTGAGACTCATCCTCCTGGCAAACAGCACAGCGAACATTATTGCTCCGATTAGGTCAAGAACCTTACTCGTCAGAGTCGCAGCCCCAACTGTGGCCGAGATATGCGACGTGCTCGCCAAAACAGGCGCAAAAGAAGGCTGGCCGTTGGCAGAAGAATTAAATCTCAGAGTTGCACAAGAAAGCGGCAGGAACCTGCGGAGAGCACTACTCATGTTTGAAGCTGTGCACGCGCAAAAGTAAGATTGATGGCCCATCCTCAGATACACCGGGTGCTAATTCAACTCAGTGAAAAAGTCACAGACAAGACCCCCATCCCACCTCCAGATTGGGAAGCGTTGATCTCCTTGATTGCCGATGAAATCATGGCCGAGCACTCACCCGCACGAATCCTACAGGTTCGCGCGAAACTATACGACCTACTCACACATTGTATCCCGCCTACGACAATCCTCAAGACCCTTACCTTCAAATTGATCCCCAAAGTCGACGACGAGTTGAAGGCAGAGGTTATTATGTGGAGTGCGTTCTATGAACATCGCGTCCGGATTGGGTCAAAGGTTATATTCCACCTGGAAGCATTTGTCACGAAGTTCATGAAGATACATGAGACTTGGCTCATGAGCATCGACTTTTAGATTGGGTGGTGGGAGAACGCCCTGACGCAAGGGATAAAACTGTGTGACTATTTTGGTTAGGGGGTTGGGGGGTTGGGGGAAGTGATGATAATGACTCTCAGGCATTGAGAATGGAGTTAACCTACGGATAGGGGCATGAGATTTCAACATGAAACTACTACGTCTTGCCACTCCTTTCGTAATACTTCCATGTTCATATGTGTGATCCGCCCACAACGAAAACATTACAGAATACAAAGATCACCATAGTAGCATCGAGCACGCACCAGTAGAATTTAATTTCTTTAGATTCTGATGAAACCCGCTCTTCGTACAAAAAGCCCAACAAATGAATATCGCTCAAAAACTGCCCTATGGGCCACGCCAAAAAACTCCGCATCAAACGTCGTCTATAGCACCCATCAATCATTATAACATCATGCTCCTCCTCCTCGCCCCAAGCCTCTCAATCCCCTCCCCCTCCTTCGGCGGCACCTGCATACTCGAAGGCCGCTGCACTGTCTTCTCTCCATTCTTATACTCCTCCATCTTCGTAGCAGCTGCATCTCCCACCCCAACTCCAAGCGTAGATTGTCTCCGCCTCGTTGACTGTCGCCCCGCTGTCGTTAAGTCCAGCATATCCGTCGCGCTCTGACTCCGCGAAACTCTTTGTTTCTGCGGATCTTCATTATTGCGGCGGGTCCGGGATTCTCGTGGGGGCGACCCAGAGAACTCGTAGATGTCTAGGTCGGCCATCCTTTTCTCCATCTTCTTGAATGCCGATGCAACTGGATCCCTATCCGACAGCTCTGTCTTAGGCTTCCGATTCGCTGACATTAATGCGGCTATGGCCGCCCCTGAACCTGACTTGGCCTCTTCATCCCCGCTGTTGGTGTGTAGTTGCGAGCTTCGGCGCTTGCGCTGCGGTATTTCTTGTATAGGGGCTACATCAGCCACCTTGCCGGAAAGTGGGCTATTGCTGTAAACACTGGCGTTTGAGGCGGTGGGAAGTTTGCTTTTCCAAGAAGCATCGTCACCTGTTCCAGGCTCTGGTTTGATCTTAACCGCCGTCAGTGGTTCGTCTTCAGCTGGGACACAGCTAGCACGACGGTATTTGCTTTCTCCTGAGACAGCATCGATCTGCCCCTCCGCTGGCCGCCTCATTTTATCACGTAAATTAGGCTCGGCGTAGTTAACACTAGCTCGAGCGCGTCTGCTTGGCCTATGGCCCTCTCCGCCCTGGCCGATTTCTTGCGGTGGAGGCGTGTCCCGAGATATCTGGCGAACAGTTGATGGTGCAGAGGAAGTTGGTGAGAATAAGTCTTCAAGAGCCGCAGGTGTTTCTGGCTCCGGGATTGTCTCAACAGATGGCATGGCGACGACAGGGTCGACTTGTGCGGGTATGACAATCCTTGGTTCATTTCGACTGCGTGGGCGTTCTTTCCCTTTAATTCCAGCGATCTTCCCTGGCAGAGAGGAATCGTCTCCCACTGGTGGCTTGGAGGGTTTCTTGGGAGAATTCGCGATGTCCGTGTTCGATGTTTTTGGTCCAAGTGCCTTCCTTGGAGGCCCTGATGCAACTATTGGAGCACTGGCCTGGACGTTTGATGCAGCCTTATCTCTGGTTTTGGCCCGAGCCAGTGCAACCTCTCTTTGGATTCTCGCGACAGGTTTCTCAGCAGGCGTAGATTCCTTCAACGGTTGTGACTTATCTACAGCCGTTCTCCTGCTGTGCCTCGAATCTTCCGGTGCGATTGAAACTGGTCTTGCTTCTCTTTCGTCTTCTACGTCGTCACTGACGTTGAATTTCCTCTTCGCACCACTCTTCGTGGGCTGAACAGACTCCTTCTTCTCGCATGGTGCCGCATCGTTCTTGACCGGCCGTTCATGATCTGGTATGCCGCTCATATCCTTTCTCTTGCGCCTTTGTTCCAGGTTTACTGGCAGTGTTGGACCAAAGTCGGCCACTTCTTCCACATCTGTTTTCGAACTAGTAGGAAGATCTATCTTGACAGGATCTTCATTCATAAAATGCGACACAGGTGGTGGCCCAATATCAGGCGAATCACTGATTCCGGGTATTGGGTCGGAGAGAATTTCTGTAATTTCCTGCGCGCTTTGAACTTGTTAGATCATGTTTGTATCAATGAGGAGGGTGCATACTCTAATGTCCGTCTTGGATAGTGTTTGTTTTCTACTATCGCCGGTAGTCGCCCTTCCTGCTCGGCAAGTGCATCCATCATTTGCCCTCGTTCTTCTGTGTTCCTCCGTTTGGCCTTTGGAACCTTGGTGCCAGCTGAGGACCTTCTTGGCTCCTTCACAGGCCGGTCCAGCTTTGCAACCAAAGCCATAATGTCCTGTAATTTGGCATCGAGTTCCGACCTGACTTCCCCAACATGGCTAATAAAATTCCGTGAGCGGTTTGGTTGTGTCTCCTGGGTTATAATCTGTCCACGAAGATTCAGGTTCTCTGCCAGAAGGCGGGACACTTCAGTTTCGAGATTGCGAATTCGCACTGCCTGGATCGAGTTCACACGAGCAATATCCTTGTTTTGTCGTATATATTTTCGCCGTACTAAAATCACAGAGTCAGTTGATGTCCTGCACAAAGATAGACACCATGAAATTGGAACTCACAAAGCTCAACAGGATCAGCAGGCGCAGATGCCTCGTTCAAACGCGCCATGGTTGTTTCTCATGCGGCAAAGGAATACCATCCACAGATTATGGCGCTTGGCAATATATCCAAGATATGAGTGGCAGAGGTGCTGGTTTGAAAGCAAGCAAGAGAGTTGAAGCTGTCGTTGTAATTATGAGGTTTTTTGTCATGGACCAGCTTTGATGTTTACACAAAGGCTCGAAGTGGCTAGACGAATCCCCTGTTGCTAGAGTGTACTAGCGCGGGCCATGGCGGGATACTGCCGACCTGACAGATAGAACCCCACCCATAGACAAAATATACCACAGTACCATTGTCGCCCATTGAACAATTAGAAGGTCCACTTGCTACCTTTGTGCCAGTCTACAATATCTAAGATATTTTACTTTGATACAGAGAATCTTCTGGGGACAAGCCCAGAAGCGCCACGATGTCCTACCCCTCACGACCCCTCCCATCACACTTGCGACAAGCGTCCGCCTCAAACAATGGAAATTCGTTGCAAGGACAGTCTCCTGTTCTACTTGCGCGCATCAACGAGAAACGGCAGGAACTTGAGAATCTGAAAGAGCTGAGAGATCTCAGTGCTGGCCTGGCTGGGCAAATGACCGTTCTGGAGGAGAAGCTTGCAACCCTGTCTAATGGCACTGAAGGTAGGATACAACATGATTTGATCCGGCTTCAAAGCTATACTGACAAACCCGTAGCTGTTGCGATGGTATTAGGCAACTGGCATAATGTTCTCAGGGCGATAAGCATGGCATCAAGTAAGTATATATCCTACAGTAGAAAGGCTCCCACTGACGCGCCGCAGCGAAAATACCGATGCCTAAGGACTCCCAAAACTACGAAGAAGAACGAGATGAGGATGTACCTCTGCCACAAACCCTTGTCAGGATTCCCACAGAGCAGGCTCCGTTAATACAGCAACACGAGGAGGCAGCGAGAGAAGCTATCAATGAGGACCAATAAGGGTTGGAATAACACTGGATTGTACAACGCTGGGTTTGGGTTATACATATGACTGATGAGATAATGAGGCTGGTGCAGGATATGGAGTCAGGCGTAGGGTTTGGTAGGCTGGTACTGCTGGAAATACATGGTATGGGCAAGTCCATAGTAGGCTTGTTGCCACAGATATGGCGCTTAGTTTCAGCGCACCCACGAGAGGTCGTGAGAGCGTGAGCATCTATGGAATAAATCGAGTTTCCACTTAACTGTACATTACCATGAGTCACTGGAGGCTGGAAGATTGAAACACACGTTTTGTCGCGTCGCATTTTCCTAGAAACGCGAAATCGCGTCAGCGTTTCCGCGTCTATTATTCGTTGCTGTAGTGACGCGTTGGTGTACTTTTCGATTTACTCAAGGCCATCGCGACCCGATTCTCATATGAATAGATACCTTCCCCGCCAACCCGTAAGCATACCTCGAATTCTCCAAAACGACCAAATCACACAAACGGCACTGTTCATCCATTTCCCCCTGCTTAGCAGAAGGATTATTCACATTTCATAGACACTGTCTTGAAGTGTTGTCTTTTTAGTTACTGAGCCAAGCCTCAGGCGCACCACAAACCAAAACAACATTACTGCGTGTCTCAAGCGCATCAGTCGCAAGCGCAGCCATGGCACGAGTTACAAGGTCCACGAAAATTACAATCTCAGAGGATGAAACCAGCCAGTCCATACCCCAGACCCAGCATATTCCGTCAGCCGAAGCACGGGCTCCTTTACAAGAGATTAGCAACACCACCGAAGAGATTGTGAGCCTCGAAGACGCCCAGATCGCCGACGAAGAGAAGATACTCAAAGCCGCGTTTAAGACAGCAATTGGCATCAAGAAGAAGAATAAACGAACGAAGAGTAAGAGGAATGTCGACCAGGAGCAACACCGCAACGACGAAGTTATCCCAGACGATCAACCAGCATCCTTGTCACCCGCCGCGGCCGCAACCCGCGCACTTCTGCGATCCGACTCAGGGCCCATTGCGCAAATCCGCGACGAACTGCAAGCAACACATCTAGGAGGATCAGAACAAGACCCAATGGCAATTGACGCGCCCAATCCGACTACTACATTCACAGGGCGACTTACGCGCAGTCAAATGAAAGGTGTACAGCCAGGTCAGTATAACTACAATTCTTATGCCAATTATGGCACGTTTGCGCCGGCGGTTCCCAGTGCTCCCCATTTTCATTACGGCTATTCTAAGTATCATACGGGCCATGTTTCGCCAGGCAAATCGATCCCTCCCGCTCTCGGGTGGCCTGTTCCACGTTGGCTTCCTTACCGTTATGGCGATCCAATATCCCAATATACTAACACGGACTATCGCGTAGTGGGGCAGGAACAGGCTTATTCCTATAGTGGACCCAAAATATCCGAATATATAGACGGGGATGGAGATGTTGCGATGGGAGGCGCCACTCGAGGCTCTGCCTTGCATATTGAGGACATCGACGAATGCGCCAGAGACATAACACCTGAGCCAAAATCTTCGCATGACGACTCGTTCGTCGAGCATATTGTGGGCCGCTCTCCTGCGAAGCCAGTGTCCCGACGCCTCTCGGTGGAGGAGATGGTGGCCCTCCACTCATCTGCTAAGTCTTCCCCAAGAATCGAAGACTCAGTGGATGAGTTGGATAGATTTGAGGAAACTATCATTCGATCGCCTGCCAAGCCTGTCTCGCGCATCGAGGATTCTGTCGAGGAGCTAGACTTATTGGAAGACATCATGGAAGCACTCACAGAGGCCGCGAGGGCCCAGGAGCTCGCGTCTCCAGTGAAGTCTAGAAAGGCAACACCTGCTATACTGAAATCTTCTCGTCCACCTACTTTGTCGCCAGCTTTAAGGCCTACTCCTGTCAAGGCTAAAACCATCGGGGTTCGAGAAGGAAAGGCTCTGATGAATGAGATGTTGGCGAAGAAAGCTGCCTCGGGAACGTCGACTGTCCGCTCAAAACAAGTCGCCGCGAAGAAAAGCGTACTGCCACCCACCTCAACACGTTCTGCCTCGGCCGAGCCAAAGCCTGCCGCACCTATCACCAAGCGGCCAGCAGCCAAGCGTCCGGTCAGCCTCATGCCTCCAAAGGAGCCAATCAAGTCTACCAAAGCCCCAACGCGCTCGACATTTGAGCTTCCTGGTGAAGCCATCTCGCGGAAGCTGAAAGAGCAACGCGAAGCACGCATTGCTCAGCGCCAGTCAAGCGTCTCCTCGGACTCGACGCCACCAATCGTTTCCGCCAAGGCAATGGCACCGAAGGTCAAGTCAACAAAGGCCCCAACTAGACCTACCTTTGAGCTTCCGGGCGAGGCCCTCTCTCGCAAGAAGCGTGAGGCTCACGAGGCACGCCTAAAGGCGCAAGAGGAGGAGGAAAAGAAGCGCAGGGAGTTCAAGGCGAAGCCTGTTCGCAGGAGCATCGCCCCGAGTATGCAGCCAAGGCAGACAGCCGCCAGTCTGGCGCGAAGGAGTATAATGAACCCCGACGACGCCGGAGAGGGGTTGGTGGTGTCGAAGCGACGCTCAGTCATTGGCGTACCTCGTCCGTCACTCACAGCCCAGAACCTTGCCAATTCATCTGCCCCACGCACGCGTGTGACTGCCCAAGGCGGTGGCCACATGACGGCTACGGCAATGAGCGATGCGTCTCAACGCTCGTCATCTGGGGTCCCATCATTGGTACCAAAGCTGAGTGGAAGGGATATATATAAGCGTGATGCGAGAGCGCTGGAAGGTGCGGAGAGGGAGAGAAAGGAGAAAGAAGCTGCTGCGAAGAAGGCCAGAGAGGAGGCAGCTGAGAAAGGCAGACAGGCGAGTAGGGAGTGGGCAGCGAAACAGAGGAGGAAGATGATGGAGGGCAAGATTCCCGATGAGGGTCTCAGTGCTGGGTATGGACCCGGTGGGCAACTGGGCTTGAAGGGCTAGGTGTGGAGTAACTGTATGAATGATGTCGACAGGTTGTGGGTGACGAGACGGGAGTGTGTTTTTGTTAAACACCATGTTTTGATTTACTTTGCTTGCTGACAGTCAGATTGGGGAGCACAAGTCGATGTATGGTCGGCTTGGGAGGGATCAATCGATCATTGCTTGTGAGTTGAGGATGATTACTCGCTCGTTTTATACATATGTTTCATTTGTTGGCGCGGCGAGTTGGGAAGCGTGTATTATTGGGGAGAGCGGGATTGAGTCTGGCGTCAGCTGACAGCGTGTATTATTGAATGATTATTAGTGAAAGAATTGACTGAATGGAACAATTGAAAACAAGTTTAGCTATGGAGTGAATGCTGAATGAAGACAAATATATATCAAAAGCAAAAGGGTTTCCCATATTGTAATATGACATTAAGATGAAAGATGACTTGGCATGATAATGCCTGGACTGTTCTGCCGTCGATAGCCCCCCCTGCCAGATCTGTATGTACCCTTGTACCGCCACATTGCATACCACGCCTTAATCCCTGTCCCCTCTCCTTAAACCTTTTCCCGACACGATTCTTCCAGACCACCGTCCTCTGAAGTTCAACCAGGCTACAGAGTATCGTCGTCGTCGTCGAGTATATTGCCTGCACTGGAGTATTTTGCATATTGCATCTCCCCCACGATCGTTTTCACCGAGACAACTCGAGCAACAATCCGATACCCCGAGACAACACCGACCGAATTCGAATTGCGCGCGAACTGCTGGTTTCCGTCATAATCAACGTGGAACCTTGCCCTTGGAACTGACGGCCTCTGAGGACGACATATGATGCTTTTAGAGTCCTCGACCTCTCTTTAGTGTCTTTTCAGGGCCACGCGCCAACGTTTGTCTCGCAGCCACTATGCGCTTTTCCAAACCCTCGTTCCTGCCCTTCGCGAAGAGCTCCAGAAAGGCAAACATAATCACCGTCTTCCGCCATGCTCGCCGGAACCCACGCGACTTCGTCAGCCGCTTGTGGTGCCCTCGAACTATCGCGAAATCGCTGGTCTTCCTTTCCGGTCTCGTCGTTATCGGTACGGCCATCGCCGAAATCCTACTCTATATCCGCACAGGGAAGAACAGCCGTATAGGCACTACGGTCATCAATCCGTTCATACCGCTCGCGCGTCCCAGTGTCCAAATACATCAGGGCATCTACAGAGGCGGCACCGCCAAGACTGGCCATGTCTTTGTCGAAAGATTCCTCGGTATTCCATATGCACAGACGACGGGTGGATACAACAGGTTTATGCCGCCGGTCAAGATGATGGCAGGGATGACAAAACATGATGCGAGATATTGGGGCCACAAGTGCTGGGGAGGTCCAGACGGACCTGACCAGAGATCGGGAGATGATTGCTTGAACATCAATATTTGGCGGACACGAGGCGTGAAGGAAAACCAGAATGTGCCAGTTGTTGTTTATTTTCACAGCGGATCATTTAATTTTGGGAGCGGTGCCGAAAGGGACATCGCTAGTTTTGTGGCATGGAGCGTGGATCCAATCATTGGTATCTCGGTGAACTATCGAGTTGGTGCGTTGGGCTTCTTGAGCTCCAATCTTACTGCCGAGGAGGGCATTTTGAATCTCGGTTTGAAGGATCAGGCAGCTGCCCTAGAGTGGGTGCAAGAAAACATCCGCATGTTTGGCGGAAACAAGGATCGAGTCACCATCTGGGGAAGCTCAGCAGGTGCACATTCCGTAAGTTACTTCTAGACTACCATTGATCGTCATGAGTGCGAGTCCTCTGAACTCTACGATCGTTTGATTGCTCAAACTAACATTACCCAGGTTGGCCACCACCTCATGAAGATTGACGTCCCCGCACACTTTCAGGGAGCTATTATGGAATCTGGCGCTCCAACAGCTCGCGCCGTCTATCCATATAACCATCCCCTCCACGAGGAGCAGTATAAAAGGTTTCTCGAGCTTACCGGCACCGCTGATATCCCCGACGAGTCAAAGATGACACATCTTCGCTCCATCGATATAGAGACAATTGTCGCTGCCTCAGAGTCAGTTTTCCAGCAATACTCCGCATCTCTGCGCTGGCCTTTCCAACCTGTTATCGATGGACCCGGAGGCATGATCCCATGCGCACCCCTCGAGAGCTGGAAAGCACGAGCGTATCACAAAGTCCCGATTCTGACCGGCTTCAACACCAACGAGGGCAGCATGTTCGTGGATACCGCCGTCGACGATCCAAAGGAGTTCGACGAGTTCTTCCAGACACTGATCCCAAATTTTACCGAGAAGGACATGAGAGAGCTGAATGAGCTTTACCCAGATCCCTCAAAGTCACCCGAGAGCAAGTATACCGAAGATCGCCCTGGTGTTGGCAAGCAGTACAAGCGTCTCGCGCGCGCGTACGGCGACTACGCTTATATTGCGCCAGTACGACACACTGCCCACTTCGCGAGCGCATTGGATAGGCCCGATGATGCGGCGGTGTGGATGTACCAGTTCGACGTGAACCAAACGGTGATCCGCGGTTCGAACCATGGCGACCAGGGAGAATACGTGGTGTACTCGCCCAGTGTGAGAAAACTGCCGTGGAGCAGGCATGGCGCGATTGGCGAGCAGATGCATGGTTATTGGACTAGCTTTGTGATATCTGGCGATGTGAATGAAGTCAAGAAGGGTCGGGTTAAGAACCGCAGCACCTGGGCTCAGTATGGAAAGAGAGGAAGCAGCGCTAAGATGGTGTTTGGAGAGCATAATAACCAGCGAGCCGGAGGGAAGGATGAGGGTGCCTTGACGGAGAACCGACCGGATCTTTGGGGTGATGCAGAGGGAGATTTCTGGTGGATGAGGACGATAATGTCGGAGAGGATATGAGGGGACGCCCGGGGGGGCGATGATGGATGCGATGTGACGATTATAGACGGGACTTTCCAACGACGTGTTTTTGTGTCAGGAGTTTCATACGGCGAGGGTGTGCACAGGCACGAGAATTCTAGGAGTGATTGGGATAGGACATTCATCTTGTAGCATAATATTTATTCACGCTGTTTATTTTAGTTCAGTACTGCGAATAGTAATACTCATCCAAATTACTGTGGTCCACCCTTGCCATTTCAGTGACTGGCTCCTGAAGTTCCCCCTTCAGTCACTCAACTACAAGCTAACCACCACAGACCTTCGAACAAAGCTCATATACCCCATTAACCCAACTCCTCCCGCCAACAAGCAGGTTAAGTGGTCAATGTGATAAAGTGACTGACGCTCATTCAGTAAGTGCTGAGTTCGAGCTCCGCAGTTCACATCAAGTAAAATCCAAAAATGGGTTTTCTTAGATATCGATTACCAACTGTAATCGAATCGTTATTTTTGCATTTCTCTTCTAAAAACCAACTGCTCTTCATTAATCCTTCTTCTAAGTATGTCATCATATATCCCATGTAATGCAAGTTCAATATCAAACTGCAGATACACAGAATTTATGGGGTTGGCTCAAACGTCTATATTTTTATTCAGGGATGCTGAAAACCGCTGCCATCTCAACCAAGACGAACAAGCTCTCTAAACTCATATAACAGAACAAACTATCCAAAGTTTCGTTCTCTACATAAAGTCTGACAAGTAATCATCATCTCTGTTCTGGTTGCTGCTCGCCTCCAGCGCCTCCTCCGTGAAAACATCATCATAGGCATGCTCCTTTTGGTACTTCAACTCCCTCCTCTCCTTCGCAATGCGCGCCTCTTCCTTCTTCCGCGCCTGCACGCCCGCCTGGTTCTTCTTGCTCTTCGCCTTCATGATCTCGTCGCGCTCGGCGGCGAAGTCGGGGAACTTCTCCACCTTGGTCTTGTTCAGACGGTTGATGATGGCGTTAATGCGTGTTGGCACGAGGATCTTCTTCACCTTCTTGTTGTCGTGAAAGCTGACTTGGCCGGTGGCCATGGAGCCGTCTTTCTTCAGGTTGCTCCATGGCGTGTAGATGATGGTGACATTGTCTTTCTTGTTTCCTGAAAAGAGGTTAGTCACGTGGTTGAATAAGTCATGGGGATTTAGCTTGCCTTCGATGGAGTTTGCTTTAGTGAGTTGAGCAAGATCAGTGAGGAGGTCTTGCGGGATGGATTCCCATGATTGGGTTTCGGAGAGGCGGAGGTAGATATGGGCGGATGAGAGATTGTCGACGTGGAACTGTGGGAGTTGGTGATGTTTCTTTCAAACGGAGATTAGACTTACCCTGGGCAGTTATTAGCAAAGAACCTATTTAATTATTCTTAAAAATTAGGATATAACTTACCAAACGTCTTCCTCAACTCCGTATGCGATTAAATCCTCATCTGAGGCAAAGATTAGTCACACGTTGCTTCTCAAAGAGCCAAGAGAAAAACCAGTAAAAACTCACTTTCGACCTTGTCTTTACCAACATAGACATACGCCGACGGCGACACCGTGTTAGAGGTGAAATAGTAAACCATCCTGCCTCCCGAAATCGCAACTTCGTTGTGGTGTGAATTTCTGGCCGAGGCCAAAATTATATTGACGGCGCCTCGGGTCTTTAGCGCCGACCGTAGCGAAAAGTATTGGCTTCACCTCCCTTCAACTTTCAATGACCTCCCTCCCCCAAGGCACCAAACCACCCACACAATGGCGCCCAAACTCTCAAAACTAGGAGTGGCGCTCCAATCGCCCTCCTCCTTCCTTGCCGATACCCACGCCCTCCTCCCCCTCATCGCCAAGCGCGGCGTCAAATACGGGTGGACGACCGCACCCGCCCGCTCAAAGGCGACACCAGGACGCTTCAACCAGGTCTCCGCTGGGCTCCCCATCCTCTCCGCCTCGCCCGCCGCGGCATTAAAACGAAAAGACTTCACCCTCCCCCTGCGAACAGGAGCGATGGGCATCAAGAAGGGCATGACCGCCATTTACGACCCCGAGACCGGCAAGCGCACCGCCTGCACCGTCGTCCAATTCGACCGCGTGCAGGTCGTCTCGCACAAGACGCGCGAGAAGAACGGATACTTCGCGGTGCAGGTCGGCGCGGGATGGAAGCACCAGAGCAACGTCACGAGGCCGCTCCTTGGGCACTTCACCGAGGCGGGTGTCAGCCCCAAGAGGCACGTTGTGGAGTTCAGGGTCAAGGATGCGACGGGACTGTTGCCGACGGGACAGATGATCGGGCCGGAGTGGTTCACTGAGGGACAGTTTGTGGATACGCGCTCGAACTGTAGGGGAATGGGGTTTGAGGGTGGTATGAAGAGGCATGGCTTCAGTGGTCAGGGAGCGTCTCACGGTAACTCGAAGTCGCACAGACTTATGGGTTCGAGTGGTGGTTCGCAGGGAACTGGTAGCAGAGTTTTGCCTGGAAAGAAGATGCCGGGAAATATGGGTGGCCAACAGGTCACTGTGCAGAATGTTGAGGTGCTGAAGGTGGATGCTGAGAAGGGCATTATTGTGCTAAAGGGATGTGTTTCCGGGCCAAAGGGCTGCGTGGTCAAGCTTCAGGATGCGATTAAGAAGCCATGGCCAAAGATGCCTGTTGTGGAGGAGGTAGTGGCGAAGGTTGAGGAGGTTGCTGCGTAACTCCTCGGCGAGGAGAGAGCGTTGGGTGGGTTCTTGGTGTGAAGATATTGTCGAGATAGGAGTGTATATTACCAGCGGCGAGGCGTTATAGAGTGTATAGTAGACAATGATACTACATAAAGTCTTGATCTTTCCTAGTTTTCCTTGAGATTGCTTATATTGAGATTGTTTATATACATATATGTTCCGGTGATGTAGATGCGGATTGTCCTACCCACAGCCTCAAATCCAGAACGGAGTTGTTGTATAATATAACCACACATTACCCCAGAATACAAAGGAATATTACAGAGCTTTTGATCAGATGTTTGAGAGTAGTTGTACAACCTATAGTGAAGTATACACGGCCCGTGCAAATCACGGCCACAAAGACGCCATCCCATGCCATTTCATTCCCACATCTCCCTTCCCTCCCCATCACCAACCCACCCTATCCCGAAAGCGTCGGACTATACGACCCCCTCCCCACCTTCTTCTGCTCCTCCTCCGCCGCATAAATCGCCTTAAACACATCCCCCCTATCCAACAAATCGACCTTCACCCCATCCTCTCCCTCCAAACTCCACTCCTCCGTCTCAAACACCCCATTCCTTCCCCCCCTCCTAAAGCTCCTGAACCGCATCGTACCCTGCCTCTTCGTCCCCCTGACTTCGAAATGGATATTGATCCGCCCATGAAGCTGGTTCATCTCCCCCCAGATCCACGGCATCTGGTGCGCGAAGTAGATCTCGTCGCCAAGGAACTCGCGCGCGGCGGGGGAGGTGCGAAGGGCGTACATGGTGGAGGAGACGACGGAGGAGGAGGACTTTTGGTAGTTGAAGATGCCTAGGGTGCAGCCGGTGAGGACGGCGATGAAGATGGGGATTGAGCGGAGCCATTTCATTCCCGAGCGCTGGATTTCTGTAGACACGCACACATTGGTTAGCTTCTGCCTTTACCTAACCCAAAAACTTCCTGCTTGGGGATGAAGAGCTTCTTACCAGGCAGTTCCCTATCAGCTCTCCTCTCCATCAACGGCGCACCCCCCACCTTCGGCGGACTGACAAGTCCCCGTCTCTGCACCGTCTTCCCAGCATTCGGCGCAATCCTCGCCCTCAACGGCGCCAACACAGCAGCGCGTCCTCTAGCGCCCAGCATTCGCTGCAGCATTGTATAATATTGTGTGCCTGTCAATTCCGAAGCGGCGCTTTTGTAGTTGAGAATGCGGGTTGGGAAAATGGGGTATATAATTCGTTGTGAAGAGGGCGGCGCGGAGCTCGGGGGGAGTTTTTGGGTTAGTCAGCTGCGAGGCTGGGGGTGAGGCTGTGGTGGGTGACGTCTTTGTGTCCTTGGGATCTTGGGGGGAATCTATTTGCGCAGACTTATATAGACGCCCGGATTATTGGATATTGTTAAAGATTATTTTGAGAGCGAGAAGTGATCGGTTATATGTACCTAGTCCCTTCCTCCGGTATTCATACACCCACCACTCACAAAATGGCCTCCCGCGCCCAAGCCCGCTTCCGCAAAACCTTCCAATACCCCGACTCCGACGACGATGACACCCCCGAAGCACTAGATGAAGAAGGTTCGTCTCGCTTTTCCCTTCGCCTCCCCCTCCCCTTTCCCCCTCTTTCCTTCCTCCACTCCCCAACCCTCCCCCTTCTTTCCCTCCCTCCGCGCCCAGGCAACCCAGCTAACCCCCCCCCCCCAAGAACAATCCCACCTAATCCACACCCTCCGCGCCTCCGCCACAGCCACAAACACCCTCTACACCCGCCTCTTCACCACCTTCCCCCTCCTCCTCACCCTCGCCTACCTCCCTCCCCTCTCCAGCGCTCGGGGCGCCCTCCCTCTCATCGCCCTAACCTCGCTGCTCGCTAGCGCGTGGGTGATGTATGCTTTCCCTGTTGGACGGACTGGGTGGCCATGGGTTGATGAGTGGGCTGCGGGGTCTGGCTCTGGGGTAACAAAGGGTGGTAAGGATGTGAAGGGAAAGGGGAGGGCGGGCGATATATCACCCGGCGAGGAACAAGGACCGTTGAGAAAGTGGCTGGTACCGCTGAATGCGGGATTGGCGGCAGTGATTCTTGTTGCTGGGTTATTGGGGACGGGGGGTGGGGGGGTGAAATTAAGTGTTCTTCCGGCACTGGCGTTGGGGGTTGTGGTGACGGTGAAGGTGCAGATGAGGGGGGTGGAGGCGGATGTGGAGGAGTTGGAGGGGTTGAGGTATGGGTATAAAGGTGCGTGAAGGTGGGGAGGAAGCGAGAGGTGTTTTTATAGATATGCGGTAGTGGTGTACGAATAGTCACGAGGGTAATGAAGTTGTATGATGCAACGCGTACTTGTTTGCTTGCTACCTGTAGCGGTATCTATCTATCTACCCTCTCCCACTGAGTTTTCAGGAATTATAATCCCCCTTCCCCCTCCCAGCCCATCTCCCCCAACCCCTTAACCCCCAAACCGAAGTGATATATAGACCTGTCCTGTATACCTATACCCTCCCCCCACACGCCCCCAGCAACGCATTCTACACATCAATCGACTCATTAAACCTTAATACGCCATTCCCCTTCAATACGCCATCGATGCCCTCCGGCAGCCTCGGGAACGGATCGCTCAGCGGATCCAGCGGCGCCTGCTGCTCCGTCGACTTGTCTGTCACCAGCACGAGGCCTTCGGATTTAATCGCGTTGATGAGCGAAGGTACCATGTCCTGTTTGCAGCATTAGTATCCAATCCCTAAATATACACACGCCCAAAACAAAAATTGGAAAAGGGAGGAGAAAGAACGTACCAAAAGCCTACTACACGAAATCAGTCCCATAAGATTATTATCCTTCGCAATCTTCACCGCCTCCTTCACACTCGTCGTGCGCCTCCCATCCCTCTCAACACCCCCCTCCGCACTCACTATCGGCGCGCCCTCGCGGCCGAGATCATTACACAAGAACACCGGGAAGTTAGGTTGTTTCCAGTTCAGCGCCGCGCAGATGGCCGGGTTGTACGCTGAGAACACAATACTGCGCATCGCAGCCGGAGGTTCCGAGCGAAGACGTTGCGCGTGATCGAAGACGACCGTGATGATCGCGTCGACGAAGGTGTTGATATTAGCAATCGGCCCCAGATGCAGAGCTTCCTCCTCCTCGATAGAGGGGTAGATGACCTGGATATCAACATGCAGGCCGCTCGGAAGGAGATTCAGCGCCTCTTCCAGCGAGATAGCCGTGCGCGCCAGGACATGGTGGATAGACGCTACTTGCTCCAATCCCATAGTCGGGAGGCGCGCGAGATCAGCGTCATTGCGGGGACCCGATTTCAGGAACTCGGCGTAGGTGAGGCGGGTGATGGGGAGGTCGACGGCGTTGTAGGGGAGTGTCCAGCGGGGCCAGAGGACGGGGATGCCGTCCGAGGTGTGTTGGACGAAGAGCTGGATGTAGTCGCCTGACAGGCTGGAGCCGGTGATGAAGGCGTTGGGGGTGTGGTCGAATTGGCTGGTTGCTTTCCAGTAGGTGTCGAAGTCGGTGATTTCTAGGGGCTTTCCGGAGAAGGGCTTGATCACTTGGAAGTTGAATGCGATTTGGCCGATGGCGCGGAGGCGCGGGTCGAAGAGGGGGAGGCAGCAGCGGCCGTAGTTGCTGGATAGGGTTTTGAATGTGCTGGGTAGGGCGACGGTCTTGGCGATGACCTTTGCGCCGTAGGTGGGGAAGATGTCGAAATCGACAGCGAATGACTCGAGGCTGTCGATTTGGAAGGAGACATGGCGGGTATCTTCCTGGAATGGTAGAAGGATGTTCTTTGGAATGAGGTCTGAGAGCTTGGAGGAGATAGTAAGACGCGCAGCAGGATATTTGCTGTCGTGGAAGAACACCATCGGCTTCTCGTCGCCCTCGTCGAAGCTAATCTGCACGAATGTCTTCGTGTCGAGGAAGTTGTGGCCGTATCGGCGGAGTGGGATGATGGGTGGTGGTAGGGAGAAGTCGGGAATGCCATCGATATCAGTGCTCATCGGCATTGGCGCCGAGCTGGTCAACTGCGGTGCTAGTTGAGGTTGCGTTGACGAAGCGGCTCTGGTAGGTCTGGCAATAGATGAGAGCAGTCTCATGCACTCCAAATTTCCCTCCCATGCTGCGTAATACATCGCATTGAGGTCTTTCTCGTCCAGGATATCTGCACGAACTCCGACATCTAGAAGGGTCTGCATCGAAAGGACATTTCCTTCGCTAGCCGCGTGGAATAGTGGTGTCCAAGAGTAGAGCTTGTCGATTTGATCGAGGTTTGCGCCGAATGTTTGTAATAATAATAATAACTGCGGCGTCTGTCCCGATCTCGCGACGAGATGCTGAGGGTATAGTCCCTCGGCATCTGGCAATAACTTCGCTCCATGCCTCAGGAGCAGTTCAACTATGCCAATCGATCCATGCTCGCAGGCAAGGTTGAGAGGAACATGGTCACTGTCCTTCAACGGATCCAGCCTGGCGTTACGAACAAGTAGCATAGCCACGCATTCGAGATGCCCGTGTATAATCGCGTGTATAAGAGGTGTGAAGTTGTCGTGGTCGATGAGATCAATCGCCGTGGGATTCGCAACAAGTAAAGCTTCCATCATATCTAACCGCCCATGCATAGACGCATAATGCAATGGCACTCGTCCGTAAACATCTGTCCGGTCGACCGCCACATTTTTCCTCAGCCCAACTTCGAGGACGAACGAGTTGCCGTATATCGTCGCTTGATGCAAGCAATTCCTCTCGTTGATATCGTCTTCGGAAAGGACATCAACCAGCCCCGTGTCCAGCAGAATCTGCAACGAAGGCGCTGGCGCCTCATGAATAGCCGCGAGGAAGGTCCTCGTTATCCTCTCAGTGAGCATCAGATCTCTCGTCGAATCCGCCTCATTCGCCGATTTCAATCTTAACAAGAGATCCTTCAGTGACTCGAGGTTCCCCGAGATCACCGTATCCAACAGCAATGTATCCGCATCCCCCTCATCCGTCCCGAGATGGCTGCTAACAACATGCTCCGTCTGACGCTCAATCGTAATATTATCACCCTCAGACCACGCGCCCAGCTCCTGCAAGCTCATCGTCGCCTGATCCGACAACTCGCTAATAACCGCCTTATTGAAGAACGGCTGTACCTCTACCGCCCTGGACAGGTACAGCTCCTTCGTCTTCGACTTGCTCGTCTTATCCCACTTCTTCAGGATCTTCGAGAACGCCGTGCCATTGATCTCCACAAACTGCTGCAGCTTATTCAGATCATTCCCGAACTGCTGGAACCCTTCTTCAAGCGTCGTAAATTTCGCCGAGCGCCTCGACGTGTTCTGGTTGCGGCTCTGCATGACCTTCTTCTTATCCAACAGCGTCTTGAGACGGATCTTCAGCTCCGCTTCCTTCTGCAGGTAAAACGCATTCACCTTCTCGAGCTCGCGCTCGAGCTGGAAGAAGAACTTGGCCTTGTTGGCCTGCAGCGCCGCCTGCGAGTCGATCGGCTCATTCTGCAGGATGTCATTCTGCGACGCCAGCAGCGGCGTCGCGGATAGCTTCTTGATCAGCTTCTTCAGCGCCTTGTAGTTGACGAAGCTCGCCGCGTACTCGGGCACCTCGAGCTGCCGCTTCTGGATCTGCTTGCCGAACTTCCTAGGAGGGGCGCAGGCGCGTTAGTTGAGGGCATTGGGAAGGGGGGGGGGGGGAGGCTGGGGGGGGGGGGGGGGGGGGGAAGCTTGGGGGTCTTGGTGGACTCGGCGCGTGGAGGGTGATGAACTTACATGTTTGCGCCGTGGACGTTGGTCGCAGTGGTGACGGGTCGCGCTTTACGTACGTGATCTCCAAAAACTCAGGTTCGCGCGGGGGGAATAAGTCGAACTCCTCTATCGATCACCGAGTTTCAGGCATTGTCGGCGCAGGAGATATTTATCTGAAAGTGACGGGGTTTCCCAAACACGACCACAGTGGCTTAACTCCGTGACTGATAATCGCAAGTGTTGGTATTCAACAAGAGAGAGAGAGA